TGTGTTTTGAAGCAGACCTATATATAATGATTGTCACCCCCATACAAAAAAGTTTGTTATATTTATGGTCTGCCTACGGGAGACTAGGTGAATTGTAGTGAGCCTGCACAACGTGTCGCATCGAGCAAGATCTTAACACCGCATTTTGGAGATGAAAGTGTTTATGTAAGGCGATATCGTGTCTTACAGCTTGGACCCCTCAAATTGAAATAGACTAGTCTAAGACCGGGAGCAAGCACAAGTACGGGTGTCTGAACTCCATCAAACATGCAAAGAACTTATGGAGAGCTTGCATAAAGTCCACAAGGTACTGCAAACAAACCAAACATGATGATGTGTGCTCACTACAATGTCTAGATCAACACACGACCTGTCAACAGCTTATACAATAGGTCTAATGCCTTGACAGTGACCTTTGCCGTACCACACATTCTATGACCATGCAGCCCTTTTCAGGTAGTCCGGGTGCAGGGATAAAGTTTGGACAGATGAGTACAAGACTGTGGACTGTGCTGACCTGATGGCTTGACTGTTTCCCTTGCAAATTTGCCATGGAATCACTGCCATAGGTACTCTGTGGGGTTGATGCCTTGCACACCACGAAGCTCATTCAACAGACACATATCTTTGTCATCCTCATTCTGTGGCACAAAGATTGGAGCCCTGTACGGCATAGCCGGATACTGTGCGACTCTCTATATATACATGTCTTTCGAGGACATGTACATGTTCGGTACACCCAGCTGAGTCTGATTGTAGCAGCAGGCAGCTCAACTGTTGTCTCAAGCCAAGAAGTGTGGTTACCGATGTGAGAACAACGCCAGAAAGACCACCGGCAGACAATGTCCTTGATGGACAGGGATCAATGGGTGATAAGGTTACAAACTGATGGGGCTACCTACAGCACACAACACCTACATAAGTCCTATTCCCACACCGGTGCATGACCACATGACCCGGGCCGGCAGCGATGCTTGCCCGACATACCCAAAAGTCAACAATCGACACTTGGTGCTAGTCTGGTTCAATTTGAGGGGTCCCGACAGTAAGACACGATTTCGGAGTTATGTAAGCTATTTCATCTCCGAAATGCGTCATTAAGATCTTGCTCGACGTGTCGCGTCGTGCAGGCTCACTACAATACACCTGTCCCGCGCGATATCTACACCAGCAAATGCTATTGAATGTCATTATTTTTATTCTATGTCTGAATCCAATCCCTCTGTCACTCCTTTTTGCTTCAGCTCCCCTGCCAGATACCAGTTATGCCGCGGGGACTTCGAGTTATGTAGTTCCAATTGCCGCGATACAGAGGGGGAAGTGTCACCGCCGGGACATGATATTGGCATGGCAGTAGCAGATCGCGCGGTGTCGGAGAATCATGCAACACAGTGAGTATGGATGTGACATATCGGGCTTCAATGAAAGGCAGTGGTTATCTCGGGCAACGCCAGCGCCACAGCTTGCAACCAACACCAAGGTAAGTTCAGACGGCCATCAGCCGGCAGGGCCCGGCCATCAGTCGGCAATCGCTAGCACGCTTGAAATGCTGTCTTACGGTCCGGGGGGCGCGTATTGAAGCAGACCTTTAGAGAGCCCATCCTCTGACCATCAAGAAGGGCGCTCTATTGTAGGCTGCCTAGGGGAGACAAACTTGGTGCCTTTACTTAGACATGGCTGGTCACGAATGAGGGAGGGAAAGCAGGGAAGGACACTGTTGATAAGGGCCTAAGGTCTACTAGACACTCAGCGTCCGACGTACCGCCTATCTCGTTGATCACATTGAATGAGAACTGAACCTTGCTGACAGGTCAATCAGTGTGTATCGTATATATACGCACATGCATGCGGGCATGCGACCCTGTGTCATTCTCCTTTTATCGGCCATGACTTCCGTTGGATCTCTGGGTGACCCCGTTACTGCCGATATTAGCTACACACATTGCCCAGGTGGTACTTGTAAGGAGGGTACTCAATCGAAGGAGGTCGAAGGTGAAGGTGGTCAATCGAAGGAGCCTCCTGATGGTGAGGAAACATCTTGCGCCGTACTACACTGGTTTGACTAACAGCCTACGTGAAGGAACATGTGATTGCAAGCCAAGTTGCATTGAATGCAGAACTCCAAGTTGCAAATGTGAAGCTAAATGCCGTACGACTTTCTTTCAATATGTGTAGGCAGCCCTCAGAATGTCTCGGCAGAATGCAAGACGCAAGTGACATCAAGTAGTGGGTAATCTGGGGTTAATGAGATAAATACTCGGAGAGCAGGTTGGACAGAAGATATGAAGCACGGAAGCGTCGCAAATTGTGGATTCCCTGTATTGTTCCGCATCGATCCAACCTACACACCACTATTCACGTTGATTCAATCAGTTCCTGAGAAACATTCGGCACAGGATTCGGAATTTAATATGAACTGGTGTAAGAGCGCGGCATATTCGAACTCACTAGCCTTTCAAATGCGACGATGTCAACAGCTCCCCAGGGCTGTACTAAGCGGCCTCCCGGGCCTTGTATAGTTTTCCAGGCCACCGCGCCGCCCTTCCATCTCACTAAGAAGTAGTATCACAACAGGCTGATAACAAACTTTTAGACAATTTTCTGACTTTGAGATTGGGTTCAGCTCGGACGGAGGTGAGACTCGGACAGATGATGTGTATGAAGATGACATCAGGATGCGGGGCTTACCGGGTGATCTGGTCTTCGTGGACGATCAATCATCACGCGAATGTAGCGGTCCTTTGAAGACTCCGCGGCCTACTGTCAGACATGCCGCCCGCTACGGAACCAGTATCTGTACCTCAGCCAGTCTCGTTTGTCAATACGGTGATGTTCCGTGCAGCGCAGGACTCGCGATCTGATTGAATCTCGGATGACGTGCCCGCTGTTTGGAGGCTGGTGTTAGTTATGTCTAAACCTAGTTGATAACTGTCAGTGCCATGTCGAAAGCCTGTCGAAAAAACTCTTGAGAGTTTTTCCCGGGACAGTATTCTAGTTGGAGCCCATCGGATCGACTTACATCCGGAGTCTGAGCTGAATGGTCCTTTGGCATTTACAGCCGTCATAAAAGATGCCAGCGGCGGCCAAGACTTGCTGCGTTTTACATCGCGCGCGCAAATGACAGGAACTGGAGTGCGGAATAGGAGGACCCATTCGCGATTGTGCATGTCATTATCCGAATTCTGAGGAAGTCTATGGCCCTAATCAATTCTGTCCCTCCCTAGATATCCCCTACGCAGAGCCCCTGGGCATCGAGATGCGGGTCACCTGGTGGTCCGGCCGCGAAGTGCGAAAGTCACGCAAGCATCAAAGAACTGTCTATATATACACGTCTTTTCAGGACATGTACATGTTCGGTACACGCAGCCGAGCCTGACTGTAGCAGCGGGCAGCTCAAATACCAGCTAATGTCTCGGACCCAGAATTCAGGTTACCGATACTTGGTGCCGCCCTTAGCAGACATGGCTGGTCACGCACTTATGAGGGAGGGAAAGCAGGGAAGGTCTGAATTGATAAGGGCCTAAGGTCTACTGGACCCTCAGTGTCCGACTTACCGCCTATCTCGTTGATCACATATGAGAGCTAAACCTTACTCGCAGATCGGTCAGTGCGTATCGTATATATACGCACATGCAAGCGGCTACACCTTGTGTCATTCTCCTATCATCGGCTATGGGTTTTTTCTCACATTGCCCAGGTGGTACTGTTCAGGATGTCGACGAACGTTTTGTAGGTGGGTGCGGAAACATCTTGCGCCGTACTACACTGGTTTGGTGGTCCTAACTCACAGCCGTAGTGGAGTGCAAGGAGAACTGCCAGCTATGCAAAGACAAGTTGTCTACCTCGCCTTTGAGATGCAAATGTGAAGAAGGCTGCAAAAACTGCAGTACGAGTTTCTTTCAATATGCGGAGGCAGCCCTCAGAATGTCTCGACAGATTGCAACCCGCCGACACCGACCAGTAGCAAGTAATCTGGGGTTAATGAGAACAATACTCGGAGAGTCTGGACAGAAGATATGAAGCACGGAAGCGTCGCACATTGTGGATTCCTTGTTTCGCATCGATCCAACCTACACATCACTATCCACGGCTCAACGAGTGCCTGACACGCATTCGACACCGGGCTCGGTACTTACTTGGATGTCGTACACTGGTGTAAGAGCGCGGCATACTTGAATTTTGAAGTCACAAGTCACTAGCCGAGCGGTATTTGTGAGTCAAATGCGACGATGTCAACAACTCCCCAGGGCTGTAAGTGGCCTTCCGGGCGTTGTACTTTGAAAATGGGTTCAGCTCGGACGGAGCTGGGACAGATGATGTGTATGAAAGTGACATCAGGATGTGCCGGGTGATCTGGTCTTCGTGCACAATCACGCGAATCTCGCGGTCCTTTGAAGACTCCGCCTCCTACTGTCAGACATGACACCTGTACGGAACCAGTATCTGCGCCTCAGCCAGTATCATCGTCTGTCAGAACTCGGATTGGATGGTGTAGCCGCCGTTTGGAGGCTGATAGTCATGCCAAAAACTAGTTAGTAACCGTCACTGAATGTTGATAACATACCCCTCTCCCCAGTGCCTCATGTTAATAACCAGTCAAAAACTCTTTGAGTTTTTCCCGGAACAGTGCTTTTGGAGCCCATCGGATGGACTTGCATCCGATGTCTGAACTGAATGGTCGTTTGGCATCGACAGCGGTCATAGAAGAGGCCGTGGCCAAGACCTGCTGCTCAGATCCCGTCTTGGATGTGTCAGAAACGCCGCTGACCATCGCGCGCGCAAATGATAGGAATGTTTGTGGTGGAGACGCGTGAGGTCACCGATGCGGTACTTGGGATGGAAGACCATCTAATCTGATAAACACGTGATGGCTCTTGCAGCAGCAACATATTTCCTCCCCTTTAAAAGCGACCTCCTCGCTCCCATCCACCCCTTTCTGCTTGTCGTCTTTGTCCCGGACACGCCATACCTGGATCGCTGCAACGACATCAACGCTGACCATGCTGCCCGCGCGGCGCAGGCATCTCTCCGACGCCTGGCAGGCCGTCCTCGCGGTCGTCCTCTCGTCCGTCTTCCTGCTCGGCATCGCGACGCACTACAGCATCATCCCCCGCATGCGCCGCCCCGGCCTGCGCAAGGGCAAGCCGGACTACGGTACGTCTGCGCCCCATCGGGCGCCCGGCTGCGGCTCACACCGCTAGCCGCGCAGAGTTCCCCGACTTTGACAAGATCGTCCCGCTCCGCACGCTGGACGCGCACGACGTCGGCCTCGGTGAGTCCGCGCGCCCCTCGTGCCGCCGCCGCCCCTGCTCACGCGGCAGCCCGCCAGACGACCCCGCGCGGCGGTTCCTGGTCATCGGTGACGTACACGGCATGAACCAATCCCTCCAGTGAGTGATACGTCCATCCGGTGCGCACTCCGCGGTTGCGTGCGCACGCCATCTGCGGTCGCTGCGCAGACGAGACGAGCCACGACTTGCGCCTGCGGCGGCGGCCCCTGGGCATAGACGCGGTAGGGCAATGAGGGAGTCGCGATTCGCTGCTCGGATCGGGCGTGCTTCGCTTGCGTGCGTGCTCCGGGATCTGCCCCGGATCTTCCATGTCCGGATCCGAGCGCCCGCGGGAATACCGCGGCGCGTGGAATGCACGTCACGCGAGATGCGAAGTTCATTATAGGGCTCCATCCCACGCGCGCACGAGACCAAAAGCTCCGTACACACTGTCCATGACATGCAACCCGTACCCTCGTCCCTGGCGCAGCATGCTCCTCGTCCTGCCTTCCGCGCGCCGCGTTCATCATACGCAGTACGATACGTCAGCTCGTGCGCATAGGATCCGGACTGCTGTAACATGCCATTCTCGGCTGCACTGCGACAGCTTCATCACGCTCCTACCACAGCGCTAATACCCCCACAGCAAGCTCCTCGCCGCCGTCTCCTACCGCCCGGCGACCGATACCCTCGCCTTCGCGGGCGACATCATGGCCAAGTCAACGCACGCCGGCTCGCTCGCCGTCCTCGACTTCGTCACGCAGCACGCGTGCGGCGGCGCCCCCGGGCGCGTGCACGCCGTGCGCGGCAACCACGACCAGATGGTCGTCCAGTGGCGCGCCTGGCGCGACTGGTTCGCCGCGCTCCACCTCGACCCCACCGCCGCACCGGCGCCGTGGGTCCCCGCCCTCGCCCCCGCCCGGCGCGCCCTGTCCCGCTCGCGCGCGGACCCAGAGAAGAAGGATCCGCCGGTGCACAGCGGGCGCGCGTTCCTGGCCCTCATCGAGCGCGAATGGGCGCGCGCGCAGCGCGAGGACCCAAAGGGCGCCGGCGACCCGGACGAGTGGGCGGACACCGCGCGCAAGCGCGCCGCGGGGACGTGGCGCGCGGCGTGGTGGCGGCGCATCCCGCGCGCGGGCAAGGGCCGGCACAGCAAGGACTGGGCGCTCTTCTCGGACCACTACTGGATCGCGCGGTGCGTGTTGGTGCGCGCGGGGGGGGTGGGTGCTGTGCTGACGCGCGGCCGCGACAGGGACATGACGGACGCGCAGAAGGAGTGCCTGTACACGCTCCCGCTGGTGCTGCACGCGCCGTCGGCGCATTTCTTCGTCGTGCACGCGGGCGTGCTCCCCGCGGACCCGACCCGCGCGCCGGACGACGCGCGCCAGCCGCTCGCGCACCCGCCGGACCTGTACAGCACCCCGGAAGAAGAGGAAGAGGCGGATGCCCCGCTGCGCCCCGGCGCCGGCGCTGGCCAGCGAGCCCTACGTGCCGAATCCGCGTCCGCGTCCGGGCTCGATGCAGCGCGGCAGAACGTGACGCGGGAACGCCTCCGCGCGGCGCAGGAGCGCGCGATCCTGCACGACGTGCCGGACAACCGCGACCCGTGGGTGCTCCTGAACATGCGCGGCGTGCGGAAGAGCGGGAAGGTCACGCGGTAAGTCCACTCTCCCTCTCCCCCCTCCCCAATTCCCCCTTCCCTCCTGCGTTCGACGCTCGATGGTCAACGGGTGCGCGCGTGCTGACGGGTTCTGCGGGTATACATGTGCTGACGGGTCTGCGCGGCTGCAGGCAAAACGGCAAGGGCACGCCGTGGAGCAAGGTGTGGAATCGCGAGATCGCGCGGTGTAGGGGGTTCGAGGCCGGGCTCGACGGTGAGGACGGCGATGACGGCGATGACGGTGAAGACGGCGGGGGAGGGGCGGCGCTGTCGCTGCCGTGCGAGCCCGCGAGCATCGTGTATGGGCACGCGGCGACGCGCGGGCTGGACGTGAAGCGCTGGAGCGTGGGCGTCGACACGGGGTGCTTGTACGGGCGGCGGCTGACGGCGCTCGTGCTGCAGCGCCAGGGGGAGGACGGGGGCTTGCCGCCCTGGGACGATGATGACGAGGATAACGATGACGATGACGAGGACGACGAGGATAACGATGAAGAAGAGGAGTGCGACGACGGCGAGGAAGAAGACGACGACGACGATTTCGCGCTGCAGCGCGTCCCACGTCCGACATTCCGCGCAAAGAAGCCCTGCAGACCCTCGAAAGCGCCGCGCAAGCCGCCAAAAGCGAAGACGCGGCGCATCACGTTCGGGGACGATGACGCGCGGTTCGGCGCGCACCTCGTGAGCATCAAGTGCCCGAAGGTGGCCGATGGCTGAGGGCGTGCGTGCGCGCGCCGACGCGGTCGGGGACTGGTCGTGAGTGTGCTGTAGACACACACTCATACACGCACGCAGGCATATACATATAGGTATACAGTGCTGGCTGATATTGTAGTGTAACGAGTTGTAATTTTCCGGTTTGTACGAGTCTGTATCTGTAGTACTTCGTCCTCTCAAGGGTACCATCACGCCGAGTCGCGGGACTCGTAATAATACATTTTGTCGCATACGCCACCGCCGTGCATGTCGACGCGGGTCACCAATGGTATGTCGCATGCGTTCTCGGTGTGCTGCACTCGCTCGAGTGGTCTCTCATGAAGACAACGCAACCTGTGTGCATGCCCTACTCCTGAGATACTTCTGGCTCATGCAGCTTGAGTGAGTAAATGTAAATTAGACCTCATTCAGGATCATGGTTGTCTTGCTGAGTGCATTGTCTCCGGATAGTTTGTTAATGCGGGAGCCCACTGCTTTACTTAGATAGTCACCATTATCGGGCCAGACGTGAATTTTTCTGCTTTGTAGGAGTCATCAGTTAAGAAGAACTGCCCTATACATATTACAGGCCACGCCGCCACTGCATCAGCGTGCCCGATCGATCTGGCGACAATGTATGAGGCTCGGCGTATTTCAGGCAAGTAGGCGCTTGTGGCCACAGCTGTCTCCTACCTCTTCCGAACTCCAACTATCCTCTAGCGAGTACTTTCTTCTTTTCATCCGCAGGTGATGCACCACGCCTTAGATGTTGCGGAAATCGTGTCGCATATCGTCTCATATCTCTCCTGGGATCCCGCAAGTCGCTCGTACCGAGATGCCCGCAGCCTCGGCCGACTTGCTAGGACATGCAAAACTCTCAGCGCGCCGTCTCTGGATGGGCTGTGGATTGCACAGGCCGGCGTCGAAAATATCGTCAAGGCAATGCCTCCCGATTTCTGGTCAGAACGAAGGGAGACATGGCGTGTGTGAAAGACACTGCCTTCCAAGGAGGACGTGTACTCTCATTTAGTAATATGTTGCTCAAGTTATCCGCACATTGTATCTAAAGACATTCAATCTATAGTGGTTCAACAGAGAGATCCGCCCTCAGGATTGGGTTCGTTTTCGTTTCTACGCTCAACGTGTCCGCATTATGCTGTTAAACTACTCGTGGGGTTCACACATCAGTGACGGCGTTCTAGACCACGAACACATGACAATGCTTGGAATGTTTGCGATATCCTCGCCATCGTTTCCCAATCTTCGGGAGCTTGAGACGGCGCAATCGACCCTTCCTGTCGAGTTGATACCCAAGTTGCTAGGATCGAAAATCACGCACTTCAAGATGGCCCTATGCGATTCCGAGAAAATGACCTATGCAATACTCGCCCACTTACCGGTCCTGGTGCCCAACCTACGCGCGCTTCAATTAGATCATTCATGCGCGCAGCCGGAAGATCGCAATGGCCCCTTCTCTTTCGCCGGCGGCGCAATACAAGGGTTGAGTCGTCTGGAGAGCTTCAAGTTGTCAGCCGGGTCTACACTTTGCTTCCAGTCGTTCAGGGAGCTTATTTCCTCACCACGGCTGATTTCTCTGGAGTGGACCTGTAACCGGGTCATTGATCAGCTCATTACATCCGCCCCGCTTGTCAGTGTCGCCTTCGGAGACCAACAGACACTCATGTCATCTGTGCAAGATATCAAGATCGGATGTAACAGGCTTACAGCCTCGTTGAGGGTGCTTGGCGCGGTCAAGTGGGTGAATCTACAATATCTCACGGTCAATGCAGTCCATGCAGGTCGTGAAGATCTTCTTGACCTGTGTCAGAGGCTTGGGGACCAGTGCTCGACAGCTAGCCTCAAATGCATCAAAATCCAAGTCAATGAAGCAGAGTCCGTCAATGACCTTCCGGGATCTTTCTTACGGCCTCTCTATGCGTTCCGTCAATTGGAGTCAATTACGACCAATATGGAGTACAATGTCATGCTCCGAGATGCCGACCTCATGGAGATGGCCGTTGCGTGGCCACGTCTGCGGCATCTTGTGATCGATCATGAATTATTCACGGATACGCGACCGTGCAGGCCCGCCACGACGCTCAGCGGACTGCTCCATCTCGTAAGACACTGTCCGGCCTCCGTCACGTCGCCCTAGACATAGACGCATCCTCACCGAACATATCTCTCAACACGAGACCTGGGGGAGGTGCGTGCAACGCGCACATTAAAACACTGGCCATGGGATCCTTGTCTGTGATTGGTGACCCGATCCAGGTTGCGGCGTTCCTCATAGATGTCTTTCCCAATCTGCGGTCACTACGCTGCCACTCGAGTGAGCTTGAGGACAGTAACATGTGGGAAGAAACTGAACGGTTCCCGTCGATCCTGGCTGCGTTTCGTATGTGGGCTGTCCAAGAAGCTACTGCTAGTATGATTCCAAAGGCGGTCGCAGATGTTTCCTTGCGTACGATTGTGTAAGGATTGCACTCGTTATCTGCTCAATACGACCGATGTACACATAACCTTATGAGTTCGTGATCAGCCTGCGGAACCAGTAGTAATGATTTCATCGACGTGTGATGTTGTAGCCAAGAATATGCTCACCCATTGGCACCGAATGTCTAGCCGGAGCTTCGTATGGTCTCGTATTACTGACTCTTCTCATAATAGAGCTCGGCTTTGACAACAGATAGAGACTAAATCGCGGGTTGTCAGTACATACCATAATCTGGATGGCCCTGACTGACTGAAGCCATGCGAGTCAAGTTCGGGCGTCGGTGACACCACTTGGGTCACTGGCTGTAAAGCTTTAAAGGCTGGTCTCCGGAGCATAATTACATACGCCTGTACATGTAGTAACAACCGACAAGAGTGCTGGCAGAACTGTATCAGTTCTGCCAGCACTCTTACAGGTGAACGCGATTCATAGCATAGCTTCGAGATTGGCAAAAGAGATAGATTGAAGCCATTTATTTCATGAGCAAACACATTAGCAGAAACGCAAGGCAAGTAGCCCTACCAGACAATGACCCGTTGTGCACTAAGAGTCTCAAGAATCATCGCGTGATCAAGAGGTCCATCCACGCAAACGCGCCACGACTTGCGAGACTCGCTCCTCACTATCTTCCTCCATCTCTTCCTCCTCGCTTTCCTGCTCACCCTCCGCGTCCTCAGTGCTCTCTTCTTTCTCAGCGCCCACTCCCTCGCGATACTTCCTCTTACCCTCCGCGTCCTCCTCCTCCACCCACTTCCGCCACCTCCCAAGCGGGGCCCAGTCAACACTCAGGGCCTCCGCAATATTCGCGAGCCACCCCAGGTCCGCCGCCAGCTGCGCCGCCCCCGCGTTAGTCAGCTTGGGGATGCGCAACAGTACGTCGCGTGTGAGATGCGCCAGCAGTGTACGCGTCAGCGACGCGAGCCATGCCGCAGTCACCGCCTCCGGCGAGAAGTGCAACTCCTCAATTGGCACTCCGGTGCTCGACTGGGCCTGTGCAGCAAGCTGCGCCTGGGCCTGTGCTGCGGTGAGCGCCAGCGACGCCGAGCGGCGCGACGGCGGGGGCCGCCCTGTAGCCTGCGGGGCTGCGGGGGGCTCCGCGAGTGCACGGAGGAAACGCATACTGAGGTGCGGGAGTGTTTCGAGCGACACGGCGAGCGCGTCGTCGTCCGCGTATACCTCGAATAGTCGCGGGAGGCTCAGCAGGCCCTCTGCGACGCGCGCCGCGGTGGCACTTGGGCTGAGCGAGAACGTCGGGACGTGGACTGCGCTCGTCGCTCCTCCTGCCGCGCCGGGGCGCTTGCCCGCTGCGTCGGGGGCGGTCCACGCGGACAGCCCAGCATAGGACGCAAGATGTGCGTAGAGGGGCCCGAGGATTGTGTCTTGGAGCGCGATCTGGCATGCACGCGCGAGGGAAGAGATGGCGCTGCGGGAGGAGACGACGAGCGGCTGGGCGGGCGAGGCGGCTGCGGTGAATGGCGTAGGGGATACAAAGGACGAACGGCGCGCGTCGGGCGAGGGCGGCACGCTAGACGTGCCCTGAGTCTGGGCGGGTGGCTCGGGGTCAACGCTCTCCAAGAGGGCGTGCAGCGCGGCCGAGTTTAGGCTTGACTGCATGAGCATCTGCATCGCACCGCGCGTTGTCCCCTCTGGCACTGTATTCACGCTCGAGAGGTCCGTCCTCGCAGCTCGTAGCGTCGTGGACACTTGTACCAGGCTAGTGCGCAGCTTGGTCTCGAATCCAACCGTGCGGTCCAGCACAGCGCGCACAGCGTCCAGAAAATGCAGCAGTGCCTGGATCTCTGCCCAGTCGTCTGACGTGTAGTCAAGATCTGCAAGCTCGCCTCCTGAGGCTTTCGTGCCCGAAGTCGTACTTGTTCCACTTTTCCTCCGAGAGCTGACCTCCGCGCGTGAGGTGTCGGCAAACGAGGATATAAGGCGGTCAAGTGCCTGTACCAGCCCTGAAGCGCCATACCCGTGAGTGAACGCTATGCAGCGCCCGATGGCCTGCTCCGCCGCGACGAACACGTCTACGGCACGTTCCCTAAGAATCAGGGCACGATCTGTACCACCAGCGACCATAGCCGTGGCCAATGCAGCTTCTAGCAGTCGCCACTCGAGGGCGGTATAGTCCGCTTGGTAGTCGACAAATGGCGCGAACAATTCAGTGTCCCACTCAAGGACGGGCAAGAGCGGGGAATCCAAAGGCACCGTGGACGGTGCATACAAGTTCCCGCTGATAGATGCCCGACGCGAGGGCATGCGTCGCGACATGGACATGCGGGCTGATGACTTGCGGCGAAGGTGGCTGCGCGGGGCATCGGTCTCGGTGGCAGCGACAGGTGCAAGCATGCTTGAGTAGCCCATTTTCTCGAAGATCTTGTCGACAGCGAGGGCAAATTCCTCCGTTGCGCGATAGGCAGCAATGAGTTGGCGAAGCGCAGTCGCACCTTGATGCGCAGAGACAGCAGCAAGGCGTTGTGAGAAGGTCGGTTGTAGAGTGGACAGCGTCGAGGTGATTAACGTTGAGAGCGTCGATTGTGGGTCAGGGAATATAGCAGGGATGGACGTGCGTTCGCTTTGCAAGATAGAGAGGAAAGACGCGTAGAATGTCGGCAGGAAGCTTGCGAATGTCTGTCTGGATGCCTTAGGTGCAGTCCCTCCGTCGGTATCCTGTAGCTCGACGTTCTGCCATGCCTCGACAAGCGGTGCGCGGCGGGACCCATAATAGTAGTTGCGGAACTCGGTCTCGCGCTGGATGTTGCTGAATATGCCGAAGTAGTTGCGACAGACCGCTACATCTTGCGACGAGACAGCAGCAACCAATGCGGAGCTCAGGGCGGCCTCGAGCTGATTTTGCAGGCTCACCATCAGAGTACGTCGGGACTCGTACTCCGGGGTGTTCTCGAAAACGGCCATGCTCTTGCTCGCCTCAGACAGCCTTTCGGCTGCCTTTTCGTAATTCTTCTCACCAAGGAGGGACGTCACGTCGCTTTCCAGAGTGCTCCAGCTCTCTGCCTCGCGTAACACCTCCCTGGCAGCTTCCATATTCCGCTTGACTGTGTCGAGGTAATGCAGCCGAGCGAGAGCAGCATCTGTGTCGGCACCTGCGGGTGCTTTCGACTTCGACTCTACATTGTGCAGCACGCCTTGTAGCGATAGGGCACCATCACGCATAAAATGCAAGTCGTAGGTGAGCCGAGAGGCCCCACGGGAGATGTTGTCGATGAGTCGTTCTACCTCGACCGAGGTGTCTTCGCTCGCGATTTCCAGCATCCCGACCAAGCTAGCGACGCGTCGATCGAGCTCGGTTAGTTCCAAGGTAGTGTCGGCGTCGAGATTCTCATTGATCCAAGAGACAACGTCTGTGTGGTTTTCCAGAGAGGCTAGCAGCTCTGAGGAAGATGCCATTGTGGGAATGTCTGCTTCATTGATACTGGGGTCTACTGACTGTTCAGCCAGCACCGACATACGTTGCATCGCAATGGATGCGCCTTCTGCAAGGACGTCTAATTGAGTACATCACTTTCATCCGCGCCTGTCCTACGTCCAGTCAGACGCGCAGGAGCATGGCAACGAGGTACTTACAATGTACCTGCGAGTAGTTATCACGGGTGTTCAGCACAGGACGGTTTTGCACTCGAGAATTCAGAGATGTTTTGGCCTAGATTGCGGATATTCAGAGCTGAAGCGGACTACACGCTACAATCCAAAATTTAAAGTCGATAGTTCATTTCATGAGGTTCCAGATTGCTGGACGGGTACGAGTCAGATCTAGACGACAACAAGACCTGCAGACTCTAGTTCGTCGGATAGAGATCAGACGTGACACTATCCCGTGTGACAAGTGCGGTTACTTCGGTGCGCCTTCATGATCAAGCTCATATGATCATGCATACTACTTAGATGCTTATCCAAAGCTGCTTTGCGCTAATGTCGATTCCATCTTCACAAGGCTTTGGAACCTAAATTCATACGGGTGCAGCGTACATGTAAAAGCGTGCTATGCGAATGATTCCCCTCGACGATTGCATATTAGGCGGCATTGGCAACTGGCGGGGCAGCTATCGTTGTGCGATTTGGTACACGCAAATAATGTTATTTTCTTGAAATAGCGAGTTACAATCCATGCCGACTTCTCTGATTCTGCATATCGCCGCTTGGACTGCAAGTCACAATCATGCTCCCGCCTTCCAGTAAGCAATATCGCCGTCGACCACTGCACTAATGTCAGATCCAGATCAAGTTACAAGTGGACAGCGAACTCACTCTCGTAAGGCTTGCCCTGTTGTCTAAGCTTACCAGCTGCCTTGACAGCGGTTTCACTTCCGTGCTCGCGCAAATCCTCGTAGCTCATGATTTCACCGCAGACAAACTTGTTCTCGAAGTCGGAGCTGATGGCAAATGTCAGCATCGAGACTGACACATATAGTTGCGTACATACTGGATAACACCAGCGGCCTGCGGCGCCTTCGTGCCTCTCCGGATCGTCCAGGCACGGACCTCGACGGGCCCACAGGTGAAGTAGCGGATAAGCTGCGTGAGTGACGCGTGAGACGCAACAGACAAGCAATGAAGTACCGCCACGCACATGGAGACTAGCATAACCGGCCTGAGTGATCTTAGGGAGTGCACTCTGCGCACCGATCTTCTTCTGCTCTTCTTCCTGCTCCTCGTCCGTCATCGATGTTAGACGTTCCTCAAGGGCGACAGAGAAGGGGATCAACGGGTCTCCCGGGTTGTGCTCGTCGATCCAGCCTTTGATCTTCGGTAGCCTTCAGAACCATCAGACGACAGCGACACGAGGAAAAGGAACGCAAAGCGTACCACTTGTTCTTCTTGCGAATGTAATCCTTCTCGCTGAGGTTGACAAGATACGTTACAGGCTTTGCAGTGAGCAGCTGAAGGCCGTTGACCACATCAATCTATCGAAGATGCAAGTGTGAGCATCCTGGATTGTCATGCAGAATACTTCACAGAACGGCGAAATGGAGAGGGTCAGAGGAATATCTTTCTCATGGGCATATTGGGGCGTTACTCCCGCCTCGACGAGCTGGGTTATATCGAGCCTTGGGCTCTTTATCATCACACGACACCAGGCGCAGCGCACAAAGCGGTATTTACCTGTTAAGTGGATGACGTTAGCACGATATCTACACAGGAGGAGAGCAATCTTATGACCGAAGATCGCAGTAAGCATGGGAGGGAAGGTGGAATAGATCAGAACAAAATATAATCTCAAGGGCAATTGGGGCGTTACTCCCGCCTCGACGAGCTGGGTTAAATCGAGCGAATATGCTCTTTATCGTCATGTAAAAGGAGCTGAAGAGCGACCACGAGAACAAGAGCATGAACGTACCTCTTTATTGGTCCAGTCGGCTTTGCGGACGTCCTTGTTGTCTACCGTCAAGACCTTGTATATCTTCTCCACTGTTGCCTGCAAGATAATGAGGACACAGCTAAAGCACAGTTTGACACTGAACAGCTCACAATTTCTTCCTTCCTTGCTTTGTCCGCAAGGCTGCTGTTGCCCAGCGAGCGGCCAGTCTTCTTGAGGCCATCGAGATGTTTTTCGACCCACTCGATGTCTTTCAGGCGCAGCTCGGTCTGAATGATTTCCATGTCACGCAACGGGTCGACATCACCCTCGACATGGGTGACCTCGTCATCGTCGAATGCGCGCACGACCTGGAAGATACCGTCCACAGCGCGCACGTGCGAAAGGAAGGCGTTGCCAAGACCTGCGCCAGTCGACGCGCCGGCCGTCAACCCAGCGATGTCGATGCACGTGAGGAAGGCAGGCACGCGAGATGTGGGCTTGTACAGCTCGCAGAGCCATTCGAAGCGCGGATCTGGTACGGGGATACGAGCCTCCTCGGGATTTCTGTCAAGCACTCGCGTCAGTATATTCAATCCAATGCGTATGGACAAGTTTTAAGGGGAGAAAAGCACGAATAACCATGCAGGAATCAGGATACAGAAAAGGTGGTTTGGCAACCCGCCGTGCCAACTCGCAAGACGATGAACAATGTCAGACGGGTGACAGGGTACCCGTCCGAAGCGATTTTACCCAGGTGCATGGACCCGGAATATGACCATTAGTCTGAAGACGGCAAGCGGCAAGTCCGCCATATACGCTGGTGTAAGCCCAAGTGGTGGTGTGAAGAGAAAAGACGAGCCGCGAACATACTATAAAAAAAAGTAATAAAAAACCTAGCGGAGGAATGTGCAAATTACATTGTCGCGTAAGGGAAGTTCGCGGCCTTTCCAAGGTCTGGTAAAAGACGGATGGGCGAGTAACGTCGCGTGAGACAACGAAACGACCGATGTAGGGCGGGGGCATCGGTCACTCACCCGTCTTGGACAGGGCATTGAAGAACGACGATTTGCCTACGTTAGGCAGACCTAGAAATCACTGGGTGAGATGAGTATGGTGAGAACGATGAGCTGAAACCGACCTACGATACCAATCTTCAAGTTGTTACCAGGCCTGCCAAGCAGTGTCTTCTTCTCTGCAGCGGCGGCTTTCTTGGGGGGCATTCTGGATTTCTTCTTCGCTGCTGCAACTGGTGTTGAGAAAATACTGCGCGAGCAGGACCGTGATGGTGGTCGTGGAACAAGTGTGGACCTGGAGCAGGAGAAGATGAAGGAGAAGCGGACACCTAATCGATCTATCATACCGAAATTTTGGCAAGTGTAACGTCGAAGAGAACTTCCTTTTTAAGGAGGCAATATTCTCTCGGTCACGTGCACGTCGCCTAGCAAAGAGGTCCGGGTATGATCGCAGTACTTACCTTTCCATCCAGTCCTCATCGACTAGCCTTCAGCATTTGCTTCCAGCCTGTGTCGTACACTTAAGCGCCGCCATGCTGCATGCACTGCTCAAGGCTACTGTAGTCGTTTCATTTGCTGTCTCAGCTTACGCTCAAATATTTACAACGACCAACGAGTGAGTCGCAACCTCTGTGCTGCGGGGCGCTTGGGCCTGATGGCTATGGACGACTAGCTTGGGGCTGACTGTTGTTGAGGAGCTCACGTTGAACCCACAAGGAATTGATACGACGCTGATTCTGTATGTACCCGACGACTCTATCCTACAAGCATTATCTTGATTGTCGGTAGCTCGACGCTCACTGGAGTGTCATCGGCTACAACGGGTACATCGACTAACACCAAAACAGCTACCTCGACACCGACGACGGCGTTAGCGGCGACGACAGCAGCGACGACAGCGGCGGCCCCCGCCACTACAGCCCCTCAGATCGTTGAAGCACCCACCAGCACGGTCGCAGCTCCCACCGTTTACTTCTACACTACAACGAATGCTGCAGGTATGTTCGTTCTACCCGTCCGTCCCGATCGTGATACTCATGTATCGTCATAGGTGCAACTGTGCAGCTAACGGCTACCTTTACGCCCTCATTTGCGCCCACGACCTTGCCATCGTATGCATCGACTGGCACTATTCTGCAATACAGCGCGTGGCTCAGCGCCGTCGGCACCAGCACTGTTCCTGCAAGCGGCGCCGCCATTGCGCGATGGAGGCTGGATGGCACCTGGCTAGCTGTGGGCGCTGCGACTCTGACAGCCATGCTGGGCGGCATGTTGGTTACTCTGGTGTGAGACAATGGCGACAGATAGCTGTCGATATGCTCCCTTCGGACTGCGCTCATCCTGGTGGACTTGTACCATGATATCGGAGTGCCGGCGATATACTGTTTCCTTCGCTTTGTGTCTCTATCTCTGCATTCTGTCCTCTTTTACGGACACAGCCATAGCATCGGATATTCCATTCCTTTAGCATCCTACATAGATCATCGCAGTCCATGTGATAATATGAGTCGCTCGGTCTGCACTATCCACAAACTCATGAGTATGAGCTTGCCCCTGGCATTCTCATTCTGTGTTCCTTGCGTTATGTTTCTCGTATACCCCACAATTCTGCCTCAGGTACAAGACTATGTGATTTCCCATCAGATCTGTTTATCCGACGCCCACGCTCACAGTCCCACCTAACCACTACAGTCTACCCGTGGTACTTGTTCTATAAAGCAGATCTAGACCCGAGCGGTCAATTTGTAGAGTGAGGAAAAAGGAACTCATAAAATCACCCTGATCTTCTGTTACGCGTGATCGTGATCATTCAGCGTCCATTGATTGCCCCGCGCTGCAATGCTTGTAGTTGGCTCATGACCTAGTTTCCCTACTCGTTCTTACTCGCTTTTGAACAAGAGCAACTGCGTTGAGAAAGCTGAACGGCGTCGCAGCGGGTGCTGCAGGGGCATATTCAGGAACAACGGCCCCTTGTGCACACACGATGGCAGACCCAGTCGTAGCCATCGCCTTTGTCGTGGACACCACTCTGGTGGTTGCCGACTCATGGGACCAGATCCTCGCCGATTATGTTACACCCTTACTACATCGCATGACCGAGATTTACCACCCTTCGAAACCCACGGTATGTCCTATATCGCAGCCATGTCCGACGCGCGCATAACTCATCTACTACTAGCTCCTCGTCGCAGTCGTTACCTACAGTACTGCAGATACGCTCCCGACACCTATACTCTGCAGGAGGTACTTCATAATGGGGCAGGGCATACTTCCCCAGCTACGTAAGGCGCCCGCGGATTTCGGGATTGGACTCGCGAGCGCACCGGATTCGAGTCCCATGGCAGTGCTAGAAGGGCTCGCTGCTGCACTCGAGGTTCGTCTGCTCAGTAATTCTGAACGCTGCAGTGATGGAGTTTGGCCTAGCTATTTGATTCCTTGCGGGACACAAGTGAAGTAAGAACTGATCCGCTATCTTGGTATTCTCGCTCATATCCTCCGTGTTCAGGTCCTCGCCTCTCAACTCTGGCATATCGCAGCCGCGCCACCGGATTCCGCAGCGAAGCCATGGTGGAATATGACAACCAAGTTGGATGATGCCTCATGGGAGACGCTTCCCTCTGAGATGCGGAAGGTGAACCTTCTGGGCTACATCGCAGAATTACTGACTTACGCATTCACATTCACCGTACAGAGAGACATCAGCTATAGTGCCATTTTGCTTCGACCGTTACCAAAGCTCCCCGAACTACATGCGGCAGTATGTAGCTCCATTCAGCTCTTGGGCGCTTCCTACCAATCTTATGCAGGCGGCAGCAGGGGCGATACAAAGCCCGTGGTTCGCCGTTAGACATGGTCATTCCATATACCTCAGCGGTTTCCCAGCGTCTTCGCCGAAAAGTAAGCAGGCAGCATCCACGCCTAACCTCAATCTCTTATTTTCTGAGTCGTGCTAGGTGCCAAGCGAACAGGGGAAGGCAATACGGCAGTAGAACGTAGTCCGGAGGCCAAAAAATCGCGCGTGCAGCCGCAGCCTAATTCAGCTTCTCCACAAACAGGTGGTTCCCCCGCCTCACAGCGGGGCTCGAGCTCTGCCACACGCGTTCTCAGCAGCAAGCAAATGGAGGACGCGCGTCAAATCAAAATCATGCTCACGCAGAAAAAGGCTCAACTGACAGCGCTCCAGCAGGCGGGGGACCGGGAAGGTGTTGAGGCCGTTGAGCGAGAGCTCCGGGATATCATGTATGGACTTCGAGAGTCTTATATGAAAAGCGTGCAATCGGGGCAGGGCAACGTGCAGCCTCCCCGCTCGCAACCGCCTGGTGATGCGACAAATGCGCAACGTGGGACGGAGGTCTCTGGGATGCCTCCGTCCACATCTGCGCCGCAAGTACCGCAGACCGCCCCGCCTGGGCAGTTTCCTGCTCCCCCCCAGATCGACGTCCCAATGCCTGATGCACCCGCTCCTATGTATTCCACCCCGCAACCTACCGCTCCGCAACCGCCTCCCTCGCGAACAGGTGTCGCTCAGCCGCCATCTGTCGCTGCACCCCAAATCCCACAAATCCGACCGAATGAGCCGCCCAGTAGTACTACCCAGATGTCGAGCATGGTGGAGCCTCCTGTACAGAATGGCTCCACGCAGTCAGTACACCAGGTCTGGGAAGGCACGCTCAGCTGGCCCCCCGTTCTCGATCTCGATGGACGACCGGGTCAAGTACAAGTCGTCATGCAGTGTCCGCAACCGGGCCATGCTGATCTCTTGTGGGTGTTTTCCTTTTGCCATCAACGCTGGTTGTGACTGCTAATATCCGCGTCTTATCATCAAGGCGTACCCTGAACCTGCCAGCTAACCTGATACTGATGCCGTCGGCAGAGAAGGCCGTCCCCGTTAACGTGCTCTGGGACTGGATGCATCGCTACACGAATCATTGCGCCCTCCTCCACTTCACCGCTAAGCCGCCTGGCCCTGACGGGATATCTCACGACGAAAACCTCAAACGCTTCTCCCGAGGACTTGTGGAGAAGAGTATTGTGCGTATCACCTCCCACTCATCGCACCGCCGCTGACTGGGCCTCAGTATGCAGTCGCCGGGATACCTGGGCCGAACGGCCTCCAAGAGAAGAGGATACTGTTCTTCTCCACCAGGACCGTTCTCGCGGGCACTTTCTTCCTCATGGCTGGCGGCATGCCCGATCCTCCGAAGTCCGAGGTCGCTGGGTATACGTTGACCCAACTCAACCCAGCCGTGGCACTCTGGCTTTTCCGTCTCACCCCGCAACAACAGCAGGTACTGACGAACATGCCCAATGAGAAGCGGAAGGCGATGGTGCAAGCCATGATCGCCCGGCAAGCTCAGCCGGGCAAGAAGACGCCACAGCAGCCAGAGCTAGAGCAGCAACAGCACCCCCAGCCACAACCTCAGCCGCCACAGATGTCACAGATGTCGCAAATGTCCCACATGTCGCAGATGCAGCCCTCCACGTCACTGCAGATGATGCCACAGGTGCAGGCGCCGGCGCCGGCGCCGGCGCTGCAGCCGCAAGGCACGGAAGCCCGATTCGCTTTTAACCCGTTCGTAGGCGGTAGACCACCCCCGCTGTCGACTGCACTGGGTCTGACTCAAGGACCCTCGCAGCCGGCGCTTCCGAGCTTTATGCCAGGTGCGGATCCCAATGCACTCATGCCCCCAGGCGGGATGATGCATCGGCGTACGCCAAGTGCGGGCAGCATGAGCGGGATATCGGGGGTGCCGGGGGTGAGCTATGAGATGATGCAGTCGTTCATGCAGAGGAATCAGGAGGGCGGGGGTGGAGGTACGGGTCTGGGCCCGTAGAGACGCGCCATCGGGCCATCGCGCCGTTCAATGTTGTATTTTGTGTGTACTCTCAGGCAATCGTCACGTCGACGCCAACCAACACGAGACAATATTCGAGGACAGGTCAATCATCATATCGGCGCTGCTAATTGACACAAAGCTATGCTACAAGCTCAATATTGTACATTGGGGCGACGTCTCCCCTCAGACATCGATGCTATGACTAGGCTGACTGAACGTCATAGCCCACCTTTACGGTTGGGGAGTACTGATATTGCCGTCCACACCCTGGATCTTCTCGTGATCCGCTAAATTAGCTTGCGATTCATATACAGTAACCACCGGCACATTCTTGCGCTAACGCCATTGTTAACACACAATACGATTCTGACAAAAAAAAGAAGGGCATACCTCGCTGAATTGACCAAGAAATCCGATGTAGTACACTCGTGTGGTATCAGCACCTTGCGACGCAGGAAAGAAGAGCGTGAGGGATGTGACGTTGGGGAACTTGGCAGGCCTGGCGCAGACGGTCAACTTGAACAGGACACCTTGGAAGGCATCATAGTGGCAGGCACGCACATGACATGATACTCTCCCACTTCCCTACCTTGCGGGATGTCGAATTCCTGAACGGGCTTAAGATCGACGACATCTGAGAAGTCTGCGTTCTCAAGGTTGCTGAACTGCATGCCTTAAATCAGCGATCATTATACCAGCCCGCCAAGCATGATGCTCACCAATGCAACTTTTGCGGGCGTCTGATCACTCGGTCCTGCCTTGATGAGTACTGCACGAAGCTTGACAGAGCCGGTGAACGGTACGCGCAAAATCCTATTCGGGGGAAGTAAGCGACTAGCTTGATGCGAGTGAACAATTGCTCACAATTGATCGTCCGCATCTGACTCGAGGAACTGGAACGATTGCAAAGTCAGGCGGAATGCTCATGTGCAATGCCTATCTCATGATTCGACGTGCCTTCTCTTCATCAAGTCGTTCACTCCAGGGCTTTACAACCTCCGGGCCCTTTCCCGGGGCAGCCGCATTGAGCGCAACTACATTCGGGTGGTCAATGTAGGTGAAGAGGTTGTCCCGATGCCCCTGTGCCTCGGGGATGCCGTGCTGGTGGTCGTGGCCATGCGACTCGTCGCCGCAGTTTTCGTGAGAGTGGTTGTGGGCCATAATGGGGTAATAGAGAGAACAGAGTGAGCCCCTGCTTTATAGCATCATGGTGCGGAGACAAGATCCAAGCCACTGGAGCCAAGCATGGACAAACAATGTGATCGGACTCATAATGAGCGCTCACGATTATTTTCTGCTCGTCCAACTGCACGCTCTGTTCGAAGCTCTGTCTTTTCAGCTGGTGAGAACTCCTTCCACTACTTGTTTGAATGATGCATACTCTTGTAATTTGCGTTCGATTGCTCCCGGCCTCATTTAAAGGGGTGCGCTTGCCGGCGCGCCCTGGGGTTGGGAGTATGAGACAATCATACTATCCTGATTCGTATCGGAAGTCCCTCATGAGCATTGCGCTCATCTTCGCTTTTGCAGCTCGGCAGCTCTCGCGGAAACTGACGTTGGTCGTAGATTGGCTTGGGGGGTATTTTTGAGTGTACTAAAATTCACGCTGGTTCGTTCTCACTCCTATGTCTTAACATTGACTCGAAGTATTGTATGTCCTCCCCGTGCACGGTCAGATGAAATACATGCTGTACTAGTAGTGTGCATACAGCGGCGCTCGGCGTACGAAGGCGGGAATACAGAGGAACGGAGTAAGCATGAACAAGTCAATCTGTGTGAGGTTCATGCTGAAACGTGAATTGTACTGCATTCCACGGCCTTAATTCCTGTTCGTATCACAGTGAGGATTTGGAAAATGAACGCACCAGAAGGGTCTATTTGTCACCTTCACGGTTTGTACTCGTGTATTTTTTTTTTCATACTTGTCCATTGCGCAAGCGACGGCCGTATGGTCCAGTTGTGCCTTGCCAAGACTGTGGGGGCATAGACTGGTAAATATGAGTCGTCGAGATTGGGTCGGTACCCTCCCTGGAACTTGCGTTCATGTTCGCCTGATTTGTTTGCCCCAGCCTACTTCGCCTGTTGTTCAGGTCATCATCGACCATCTGCACGTTTTGCTCGCCTTGCACTTGCTGTGGATCTGAAAGCAAAAGATCCAAGAGGATCTTTGCTACCTCTTTAGCTTCAACAGCACATGGCTCGACGGTATCTGCTGCAGTAATTGGACATGAGAATGATGGTTGGCCTGCCAAGGGCATGTTACTAGATGACGCAGCAGGGATCTGGGCCGCGGGCTGCGATTGTGGGACCTGAAAAGGTTGTTGATACTCATGCAGTGGAACCAATATTGCGGATGGATCGCGCGGAAGCGGCTGAACGGGGGTGTACTGGACTGGAAAGCCATAGCCGGAGTCGACGTCAGGTTGAGCTTGCTCGTACTGCACAGGCTGTGCGACGAGTTCAACCTGTTCGACTGAGCCACTGTCTTGTGAGTCCAACGCATTGCATCTGTGAGTTGCGCCCATCGTCCGCCTTCGTGAGACACTTGGTCTTCAGCTCACTCGGTCTGCGAAGGTTGTCCGTCTTGGTACCAGTTGTTCTCAGATTGGTCGCCGCCGTTTGGCAGCTCCTCCTGTTGCGCTTGCACATCCCGCCCGCACAGATGGTCCGCCTGCTCGATCTGCGCCTCTAGGTGGTGTAGATCATCCTCTCGCGCAGTCTGCACCTGGTAGTCTACGGGGCCGAACTGCACGTCCTGTTCGCGCACGCCTTCCGTACAGTCGGTCTGCATGCTTCCCTCACGTAGGCTTCCCCAACCCGTCTGTGCGTCCTTCCATTCTACGTGAGGCGTCTGTGTTTCCCGCTGACGTAGAGCCTCCTCGTCCTTTTGCACCACCTGATCCCGCAGATGCCTCGCCGCCTGCCTTGCGTGGAGCATCATAAGAAGCCAGTTCAAGAGAACTACGATTGTAGACCCCTGCATCCTAGTAACGCGGGGACTTGCGATGCGTTTGTGGGTAGTTTCCTGCCAACGGCTTTGGCCAATCGTCTGACCAATTGTAGCCGTGCTGTGGACCTACAAAAATCAAATCACTAGTTCAACTGCTTGCGCTCGGGGGTATTGCATACTACACGTCCTCAGATCCAATGAAAACCCGACATAAGCAAGCCGATATTCGCCGGGCTTAGAGATTCGGGGTGCGCAGGCTGCTGATCAATGGAATTGAGAAAGTGCGACTTCATTGAAGGCCAACTTACAACATATAGCGAGGCTAGAAGTTCCAGTAGAGCCAAACGCGCTCGGAAAGCAACACGCAGGTACGTAAACGAAGATTGGTACACACAGGATGGGAGAAGCGTTAGCTGGCAGTCGAGGTACTACTGGTGACTATACTATTGTATGCATGGACTAGTGTGTTAAGCGCATCGCCAAAGCATAACAGAACGCGAATAGTATGTCGTCGTGAAGTCATAAACGCAGACAAGGGTAGATTGTAGGGTATCGAAGTAATATAAAACCATATTCAAGCAGAACCGTAGATCATGATATAGAGCGTGTATTAATCAACGCCGGACAAGATTGGTCGCACTGCGGTTGCGGACGTTCACTACGTCTCTACGCAGCACACCATCTTCATCCGCTAAGGCGAGGCTGGATCTAACGCCGGGACCACCCGCGATTCCCGCGCTGCTCAGATTCTTCTTCGAATCCAGAGAGAATGCATTGCCCATGACCGGCATACTCAGGCGTCGAATCCAGCCCTTGGGCTTCTCCGGACGTAGGGTCAAGGGAGGTTGCAGTGGGCGCCCATCGCGAGCAGATGGTGAGCTATCGCGCATTCTATACTTCGATGCAGAACACGTTTCGCAGCCGCAGTATGGGGCATGGTCATTAGGCTGGTATAGCGGTGATGATGGCTGGCTGGAGGTCTGGCTAGACGAAGGCTGCATGGCGGGAGGCTGCAGGTTTCCAGAGCTGTAGGAGTGCGAGGGATGCCGGGGTCGTGGGACGACGGGTGAGGGAGGGGACCTGTCGCCATATGGCCGTTGGGCGAGTCTGTTCATGATACTACCCGGTGAGGAGTCACTACCATACCCGCTGTCTGGACTCTGTGCGTTGTAGAGTCGGGCGCGTTCGAACTCGAGTTCCTTCGACCTTCGTGCAATCTCTCGCTCCTTGATGCGCAGCTCGAGCTCTTGTTCTCGCAGCTCAAGGTCTTCCAGTTCTTCAAGACGCCGGCGCCGTAGCGCAATGTTGTCTACCATGACATCGTTCGGGGACGCCGCAGGTGCCTGCCTTGTAGCTGGAAGCGCTGGCTCCGCGACAGGCTGCTGAGAGCCCTGGCGAGAGATGTCAACAGAAAGACGTCTGCGATCGTGGAAGGGCGAAGTAGGCGTCAGACGGGGTGAAGTGGGTGCCTGCGTAGGCACCGTCGACTCGTATTTGTTAGCGAGATGAGAGACACTAGTGGGTAAGCGAGGAACCTCTTTGCGTGGTGGTGACGACGGCCCTGCCTATAGACCAATGGCGTCAGCTATATGTAAGTTCATTTGACAACGACCGACAACCTACAGAGCGGGAATATTTGTCACGGAGGGCAGCCACTACACTTACGTTACTCTTTCCTGTGTCGCTTCTCTCCACCGTCGGAGGTGTTGATGTTTTCACCGTGTCCGACCGATGTCCTTGGGCCCCATCCGAATTACTGTGTCCCTCTGATTCTCCGATGTCAGATGCACCACCGGCGGTAGACGTCGCGGAGACAGTGGATGGAGGCCCGGTAATTGCACCCGATGGTCGTTCAGTCGGCTGAACAGTGACAGGTAAAGGGGATTGGACGCCAGAGTGGTCATTCTTGTCTGTTCGCATAGGGACGGTACGACTGTCGATGACCTCCTCATTGGTCTGAGTGGACCCAGCAGGTGCTGCAATCGTGTGTGCGTTGTCAAGGCTAGCCATGCGCGATGTAACAGCTTCTTCGCGCTGCCCACTATCTTCTACGAGAGGAGCAGGCGACTCGGTGTTGCGCGGGAACGACACATCAGAGGAAACGCGTCGTTTCTCCTCAGAAGGCTCGTTCGTCGCCTTCTCCGAATGTCGAGACTCTCTTAGCGTCACTGGAGGTAACGGGAAATGAGTAGGTGGGGCGGGGAAGGAAGCGAGGGACGCCAGTGAAGCAGTAGAGTGACTCTTGCGATCTGGGAGCTCTCTAGGCGAGGCCTCGGGTGGCCGCCCCTGCAAAGATTGTTCTCTTGGATCGGGGAAATACTGTGGAGTCGCTTGCTCGCCGGACGGCGTGATAGCTCGAGATGATACGCCTACTTCCTGCTCGGAGGCACGGGACGGAGCGTCTTCGCGCGCTGTGTTATAAGAAGTGGGGAGTCCCAACTCCCGTGGCTCATCTTGCATACTAGGGGTCGCGGCGCGTTGCGCTGAATCAATTTGAACTTCTTGTAGGTCGCTGTTATGCGGTCCCTTCGGAACAGGGCCCGCCCAACTCCCCTCACAGAAGGCTCGCCATTGTCCAAGCTGGCCCACCGTTGGCGCAAACTGCCGAACTCCGTCGCATGAGCGCACCCATTCCCCGTCTGCGACTCTTGAGAGACAGGCCGCGAGGTTATGCATTACGCTGTTGTGCCTTTGGGTTACGAAGAGTGCATGATTGCTGTCGCAGATATGAGACGAAAAGAACATTCACATATGCGACCACTTACTATTTTTCCTGATTCATCTCTGGTCCCAAGGTACTCAGGACATTGACATAACGAGTGTGCTCCTCGGCAGCATCTTGTGGATTCTTCCTGGCTTTCTTCTCATAGAGCTGACCTGCCTGCTTAATCTTGGCATTGGCATTCGCCAGTCGCTCATCATGAGCCTTCTCTTCTTTCTACGCGTGTTGTTCAGCCTTCGCTTTTTTATATCGGTAGCTCAAATGATATCTTACTCACGGCTAGCTTCTTGAACCACTTCTTCACCTCAGAGCTTATATTGTCACATTCTTTGTCGGCGAGCTTGATGAATCTCGAGTCTACATCAGACAGCGTCTCAAACATCACGGCACTGATGTTCAATGCGTTCGCTAAAGCATGTATTGGCCTTACGGAATCAATGCCCACATGCTGGCATGCGCACCTGGTATTTCGGCAACACATTTCACGCCCGCAGCCTCCCTCAGAGCCTTCGCCAGCTTCTTCTCCAGGGTCAGAATGGCATTCGCGGCTTCACAGTAATCGTTCAGGACGTTGACGACAGATTCAAGCGTCTTGCATGACTTGTGTATTTCGTTCCTGTCAGACAGGACGGACTGCAACGATCCCGACGCCATGTGTGTGACAAGGAGGCCATGAACGCACGCCGTCGCTGCGGACGACGGTGAGTAGCACTTGCTCTCAGACTGCGATAAATGCAATAGGCGCGCAAACGTCATGGTTAAACAAGCCAAAACATGGTCGGTATAAGACCGTCGACGGCATGTCCAACATCCCTTGCCTCTGCCCCCCATCAGTGGTCCCGAGTCAAGGCGTTACTGGCCCAGGTGGTCAGGTGTGTCTGATCTGGCTCTTATGTTGTTACACTGTGCTCACATTATCTAGGACCCTTGAGGCCCTCGTGTTCTCTGGTGTGTAGTTGGGTGGCCGTCGCGTACTGTTGAATTGGTCAGTTACCTTTTTTCTCTCTCGCTTACCCATCTATCAGTGCTCATGTGTCCCACGACTGTATAGTCCGTACTTGAACCACGAAAGTGGTCGAGCGGCAAGCTGAACAGCGCGACATGGGCAAAATCAAATACCCCAAGTAATTTGTCAGGGAATCGCACATGGCCTCCCCTTTAAGTAGCGGGGGGCTTATTCGGATTGCATTGCTGGAAAAACACAAACACAGATTCCATTGCGACTGTCCTCCTTGTCCACTGGGCAAGTTGTCGACGTTGTTACTGCTCAGGTCGCTACTCGACGAATATTTTCCAAAACCTTGGGTCGGGAGCGACAAATATTGAGATCATCGATGTTGTCTCGATCTCAGATAGATCGTTACAACTCCAGTGGTTCTAGATATTTTGATTTAAATCAATTACTTCAAGATAAGGTAGTTGCGCTCGTCTGTCGGCCGCTACCGCGGTGCGATGAAAAGGGCGAGCAGCGTAGCAAAATCAAGTACCCCAGAACACACCGAGCACGCAATGCTTCTCCCGTTTACCGCCCGACATCTCGCTTTAGCCAGCGGCATCATTGGTTGGGATGGAAGGTCGAGGCGTTCATTATGTACAGTTGTCATGATGTACATTGGGATGAATGCATATATTGCGTGGTCCAACTGAGTGCGAGGCAGAATGACGGACATCTGGCCTCAGATGTGCGTACTGTATAACGACATTCAAGTCGCAATTATGAACGTAGTGCCCCCCTTTGTTTCCCCTAAGTGCGACGGATGCCTGTCGTATATATGCATTCAGTATGTGTTGTAACAATCCCTGCCATACCCATAATTGATATAGTTAGTCTACAAATCCACCTGGATCAATCAAGCCTCGATGCGACCGCCTCCAGTAGTCTCTCCATGTGAACCAACCGCTCGTCGACTTGTGCGAGTCGGTTGTCCACCTTCGATAACCGCATCTCGAGCTGAACAAGCCTGCTGTTCATCTCAGAACCCTGTTCATCAATTCTACTGTCCATTACAATCAACTTGCTTTCCCAAAAGTCCAACCGGTGCTCCAACGATTCTTCTTTGTCGGTAGCTTGTTCTGGACAGCGAACCAGAATATGAGAAGAATTGTGTGGCCCTGTCGAACTGATCCCCTGGGTGTCGCAAGTGTTACAAATGAAAACATTGTCTTCGTGAGATGTCAGCTGACGCTTCATATAAAAATAATGAGATACTGAGTCTGACTTACTTTCGCATTCAATGCAGTACCAGCAGGGTCGTATGAGCGCTCCCTTGCAGGCAGTGCAGACCTGTTCGCCCGAATTTATGTTCCTAGTCTGCCCGCGGTCACCCGCCAGCCTATGCGTGATCAATTCGTGCTTCTGCTCCTCGACCTCCGCAGAGGAAGCAGTCGCGCGCTGAAGCGCAGCTAATGCCTGACGCTCGACTTTGCCAAAGTCTCTGAGGTGGATCATGGTCCGCGTTTTGAGGACATTGTGCGACGGTAAATGCGGTGTGGGTAGGTCGGACCGACGGTCGAGACCCACTTGAGCGGCCATGCAGCGCTGGTCCTCGCAGAGGTCGATTGTACTGAACGATTTCTCATGCGTATCGCAGTCGAGGCATACGACGCGCGCACCGCTGATGATTCCTCCACACGAATCGCATGTCACTCTAGGGCAGTCGTGTGAGAACGCACAGACAGAAGCAGAGGAGAACTCACCCGTGATGACAAGCCGTCTGGTGACGCATGTCGCAGAGCGACTGGTAAAATCGTGCATCGGATGGCGTCAGAACGCGTTTGATATCTAACAATTCCTGCTCCTCGTCGGCGTCGAGAGGTCTACCAGAGGATGTTCGGAAGAGGAGGTCCAAATAGCGTCTCCGGAAATCGCGACGCTGGCGGAAGAAGTCCCACGACCACTTCTTCCTGACGACTTCGCCCATTGTGGCTGTCAAGACAAACCGCCAGAGGGCTTTGGTCCTGTTCCTCTGCAGATCTATGGGAGACGGGCGGTAGCGCATGATCTCCGGCGGAAGTCGCGAGAAAACGAAACGGCCGACAACCTTCCACGATGACCCCCATGTCCCGGAGAACGTCATACCATCATCGCTCACGCAGCCGTTGAAACGCTTTGATTCAAATGGTGCTGAGCACTCCATTACGAAAGAGTAGCCAGGTCTGCCGCCTTCCTGAAGCTCGTAAGCTCCTTCGAGCTTGAAGTTGGCGAACATTGATGACCCAGGAATGACGCCAGATGCCGCGAATTTACCAAGGTCGGTCGGTGAGACGCGAATGGAAAGGAGGAACATTGGCGCGATGAGGTGGTCGTCGGTCGTATACATATGACAACGCCAAGTGCCGAGGCTGTAGATCTTTTCAGTCAACCCGCTATAGCTACATGGGAGAGCTGAACTTACGCGGGCTTCAGGGACTCTGAGGCTTCCGTACAATCGACGTGCGGAACGTCATCCATGTCATATGCTGCACGGTCGAGGCTGACTTCCCATTCATCCGTGTCCTGATGAGAATGATTAAGTACGGTGCCCGCATCGATCCCCGGGACGTCGGTGATATTGTGGTGGCTGTTCTTTGAATGTCCGATATCTCCCAAACCTTTTCGGGAGAACAAGCTGCTTGGATTATGATAATGATCAAACTGTAATACAAATGTGGCCGCTTGAGTACTTGAGTTACACAAGAGAGAACGGGCCTACCAGTTTGCAATAGGTGATCTTGAATTGTTGACCAGGATCCAGATTTTGATGGCGAAAGGTTTCTAACCATTCGAGGTTAGACTGCTGTCGGGCGCAGACGATGGAAAACGTACCTTCTAACTCCTTGTGCCTATCATCGACAGCAGCCATGACTAGCCACAAACTACGAATAGAGTCCTCGAGTTCACGTTCACTGATAACCCTGGTTCGACACAGTTGCATGACGTCGAGGTCGCGTTTAATGATGAGGTAGATCAATTGGAACAGGTACTAGGGCTACAGATCAGCTACCCGAGGATATATGACGGCAAAAGGATGGCTAACCTGCTCGATCCTTCCAGGACCGGTGACCAGGGAGAGCGTGGTGAGGTCATCGATGTGGTACCTTGTAGCTTCCAGATTGCGCTTTACGCGGGTCTCCTCGGCCTCAATGTAGTCCTTGAATCGGGAATGCATCTTGCCTGTGGTGGTATAGGACTGGAACGACGACGTAAGGAGAATGATAGGCTGCCAAACTTGGTCCAGATATCGTTCGACTATCCGGCGATTGGCTGTATGAACTGAGGTTTTCAGCGCGAACATAGCACTGAATTGCTCATGTATCTTGTCGCGGTACGCAGTAACGGAGCTTTGCCATCCTAGACACCATTCAATGAAGTCCTTAGGTCCATGCGATGGAAATACTGACCGACTGCCCAGAATGCCAGCCAACGCAACAGACTGATCATGAAGTCAACACATAGTATTCAATGACGCGAAAGACATTTCCCACCTCCAATCCACCGGTCGTGACTTCGTGAAGTTGTTCACCTTTGCGATTGTCACATAGCCTGAAGCGTCGTCGTCGAAAGCCTCGACAATCGGCTGCAACCTCTTGACGGCAATCCATGGGAGAGCCCAGGAATCTTGCGGAGATTCATGCGGACTATCGGCTCGATGCTTATCCTCGGCTCTTTCATGATAGAAATCTCGGATTGCCAAGACGAGATTTCGAGCCTTCGCATTCCCTCGCCACCCCTTGGATAAATGAGATCAGTCACTGTAATGGTGTGAAAATATATGAAGGATACCATGTCCTGCCAGATCGCATGCAGATCCTGTACGAAGGCATCCATGCGTCAGTAGAGGCATATAGCAACGGGCGCAGTCGACCTACTTTGTCTACAATCTTGTCGTGCGGCCCTGATCTGACCGATTCAATGACACGATCGGACTCTCGATGAATCACCTTCTCCATCTCTTCCATGATCTGCCTTTGCTGCATCTCGAATTTTCGCTCGAACGACTGAAGGTTCCGCTCTATGACCACTACAGGGTCGTCGAGCTGTCGCTTGACCTCCTCGATACTATCTCGTATCCTCCCAGCCGCCTGCTTCGGGTTGTTTCCCGCAGGACCAGATTGAGCTTCCGTGGTGATTAGCTCATGTAAGACGGCCTCGTCATGTAACACGGCGCTTGCGCCGCCCTTCTGCTCCACCTTGTCGCGCATGGCCTGCTGCTCTGCTGGAATGAAGTTCTGTAACAGATTAATGATCACGTCCGTCCTATAGAGGAAATGACTGTCAACATCACCGGTACCGGCAAGCGATCGCGGACATACTTCTCTGCAACACTGCGAGTGAGATTGTCCATTTTCTGGTCAATCTCGTTCACCTTCACGGCGATGTAGGTCGACAGCATGAATTTGAACTCGTCTCGACGCTTTGCGAATAGCTTGACATAGTTGATGAACGTGCCTTCCCATAGGGGGCCTTTGACCACCTTGACAACCGTCTTAGTCTTTGAGTATGCATCGCAGACGTTCGCGCATTGCTTGATCTCTTTAGCTGTGGCTCCAAGTAAAATCTTCATCCGAGCTTCGATGGTTACGCCCTCTCCATCCAGGGTACCCGGGTCGACCTTCTTGAGACTGTCCGATGTGTGCAAGTCAGCCTCGCGGACTACTTATTGAAACGAAGACGCGTACTGAACGAGGACGTCAAGCATGTCCCTAACCTCAACAAGAACGGCAACGACCTTCTCCTCATTGCTGCGGCGCTTCATTTCCAAGACGTAGAAAGCCTTGAAAGTGAGAACGCCGACTGTTCACGGCTTAGTGAACGGAACATAGACTGCTGACCAAAGCGCACCATGTATAAAAGGATGTATCTTTGCGACTTCTTCTAGAAGCTTGACAAATACTGGTATATGATCGAAGATATCGTGCACCTTCTGGACGACTTCGTTGTGGTGCGTGTTCGTGTTCTGCGATGACGACAATGTGTTCCCGACATCCTGTCCAACTTTAAGGGCGGTCGCAGCAATGTCTGGTAGAGCGTCAGATATCGCGTGTATTCCAATAATTTATATGTTAGCCACACCTAGACTGAGGGAGCCTGTGTTCAGTCGCGGATGATGGCTCATGACTGAGGATACTGCATTCATAGCATCCGCGACAACACAGTCTTCGCCTTCTGTCGCAGGCAAAGGATCAGTAGACTCGGTATCTGTGTTAGAGAAGGCGCGATCGTTTTGCGGGGAGCTGTGCAATATTGGAAGAGGCGCGTTCGACTGCACTTCGCAGAAAACTATGTTCGTGCCGGCGGAGGCAGGAGAGTCGCATAGCACCTCTGAGTCTCCAGTGGAATGACGCGAGTGAAACAGTGCAGACAGGCGCAGCGAATGTCTGGAATGCTTTCTCATCGCGTTACCGTTCCCAGCTGGTTTCCTATGGTAGTTGAACAAGCTAGACATGACTGAGGAATACCGAATCTTTGCAAGAGCCCTCTACCGAGGCGGAGACTTTATATGCGACCTCCTGTATTTTGCGACCACATTGTGCTGACTGTCATACTGCCGCGCGTAATGCAGCTGTGTGGACAAGTATCCGTGGTATAACGCGTGTTCAGATGATTACAGAAGACGAGTGGGCTTCCCTGCTTGTCTACCGCGTACACAATGCAGAGGGGTGCATCATACAGTGATGTGAAAGAAGCTTTCCAATTCATATAGCCGTTAATTTCGATAGTCCTCATATCAGAGTTCGTTATTTTCCTTGCATCATGATTTGCTAAACGGGCTCACCGAAAACGTGCCCAGGGTCTTTAAACTTGAAATCGCCTGCATGGAAGCCTGGGCGTCAGGCCTTGAGCGAACCAAAACAGTTGCCATAAGAGGCTGCTATGCTACTAGTACGTTCAACCACGTGACCGCGCGCGTGCGGATATACTCGAGCTCAGTTGAACACGCCAACTTCGAGTTTCACACTCGCTCTGCGCGAGATCCCGCCCCCCTCACGCTCCTCCTTTCCTACCCTTCCTCCCTCCGCTAAACCCCTCTACGAAAAAATAAACCTGTGAGCTTCACGGGCAAATCCGGTGTATCACGTTGCTGATATCTTTCACGCAAGGCTTCGGACACGCCCACGATCTTTACTCACGACTTCTTCACCAGCTCTCTTGTATCTATCTCCGCGCCTTTCGTGCATGCCATGGCTGCGCCGACGCAAATGCTTCCCTCCTGGCTGACTCTGGCCACCACCGTGGTCACTGCACCTGACGGCGCGGTCACTACGTCATTGGTAACTCTGCAGTTACCTCTGACATACTATGGTCCTAGTGTGAGTGCCTCTCTTTGTCCATCGCTATTTCATGAAACGCGTCCCTATTTCCACCCGGCGATATTCACGAGAAGACTCGCACTCAACTGCACTACGTCGGATAAGGCCGTAAGCGTCTAATCAGACACCGTGTTGAGCTCGTGCATCAGTCGTTGACAAGATCAATGGAGGTGCTGCTCTCAAATTACAACACCTGCAGGCACATCCGCTACTTGTCATTGCGTGGACATGCTCTCCTAGGTGCCTACGTCGCATCATAATCCGTACTGGAGAGCATCAAACTGGCTTTGAGCGGCTCGACGTCGTGCAGTGTAGGGTAACTCTGCGAGAGGCTATCAAATATGCTACCGGTCAAACTTTTCTGCAGACTACTCACATGAGGGCATCTTGATATCGGTTTTGGCGGGTACTATGTGCTGACCTTTGGACAGATACCTCTGGGCACGGATGGCTCATGGACGTACGGCGGACTTACGCCACCTGCTTCCATTACTGTGTCGGCAACTACTACCACTGCTTCTACTAGCATCGTGTCATCGTCTAGCCGGTCACTGTCTTCGCCTCTCAGCACATCTGTAGCGACGTCTTCATTATCGTCGTCCTTCACATCCTCGGCTTCATCTTCAGCGGCTTCATCTTCAGCTGCTGGTGTAGTCGCAGCAAACCATCACACCATATCTGCCGCTACTCTTGGCGCGATTCTGGGTGCGATCTTAGGCACATTGCTGCTGGTGGTCCTCGTCCTCATTGTCCTCCTGTTGCGCCGCCATCACGGCGGCGCGCGAGGAGCGGGGCCTCAATCGAAGAGCAGCTCTAGCTTCTGGAACCGACAGACGACTCTATTCTCGAGGCGCGGCTCGCCTCGGCAGACGCCCATATGGACGGAATGGCAGATGGTGAATCCTGATGACTTCAACGAGGACGGAGGCGCCGAAGAGCGCACCCCAGGCGATGGCTCGCCACGCGGCAGCGGCGAGGAGCACGACCCATTCCTAACACGGCGGAGTGTGTATAGCGACTCTAAAGAGCTGACACAGACGACAACAGGCACGAAGACTCTGGTCAGCGTGCCTGCGGCTGCTGCCATTGCCGGTGGGACGACTTCGACCAGTCGCACCGGGACAAAAGTGGGTGGGCACATCATACCACGCGATGAATTACTCGCGCGCATGAACGAGGATCAAGGTGGTCTGCCTCCTCGCGTGAATGTCACGGAAGCCTCGCCCGAGCACACGTCGCCCCTTCTTCCGCCACCCCCAATAGGATCCGATCGGCGTGCCCGAGGCGTAGAGACTAAGTCTACACGTTCATTGGGTTCCCAGGTCCTGTCAACCACGTCTGAGAAGTCCTCGGGAAGTATTGCGGAGCATGAACCTGCTGAGCTGCTGACTGCGCGACGGGTTAAGGTTGTGAACTTAGATCAAGCAGAGGACGAAGCTGGGCCGAGTGCGTGGCACAAGCCTTCCGGGCTGGAGACTTTGGCAAATTTGCCGCGACTGAGCTGGTTCAGGCGTATGTCATGGCTCGGCGCGCCGACTGGTTCACTCAGCCCCGACGCAGAATCAGCGGGTCAGGACGCATATACACGCACTCCACCGAGGTCACATTCACGCCAGGGTTCCCGTTCGCGACCCGTATCATGGGCTCCACTCCCAACGCACGAGCCGGGCAGTCCTGAGTCCAGCTTCGGGCGGCGGCCACGGTCGCAGTCAGGTCTTGGCCTGGGACTGCTAGATAACGGCGAGCGGCCTCACTCGTCTGTGAGCGCGAAGAGCAAGGCCAGCGCGGCGAGTGGGAACACAGTGTATCTCGATGCGCATTCTACGCCTGCGAGCTCTGCGGTTGACGTCACCTCCCCGGTGGGTGCCATGGGACCTGCGGGCTCAGGTGTTCCTTCCGTTCCCGCCTTGCCACAGCAGCGATCGCGTCAGGTTTCGCCTTCATCAGGAGATATTCCTACCATGACGACCAGCGGCGGTTACCTCTCAGTGCCTGGCGAGCCGCCTTCGTATGAAGAGTCTCGCCGTACCACGGACCAGTCGCCAGGCGAAACAAGCTCAGAGAGTGTCGATGTTCTAGACATTCCCGCCCCACGACCCGCCTCGCCCTTCACTGCTGCATCGAGCCGCCCTGGTTTCCCACCAGGTCTTATTTCATTACCGGCTCCTCGTGTGTGGCGTGACTCGCACATCTCCGGTGATAGCGCTGGGATTCAGATTGACGTTCTTGAGGAAGCGCCCCCCACTGCACAAGACGGGTGGCGGAACTTGTCGGGCATTGGACGAGCGCCAGGCGAGGATCGTCGCACAACATTCGGCATGGTGAGTTTTCTGCAATCTCCTTCGTCAATGTCGCTAACCAGGTACATTCCACTCAGCCTGAGGTCGTCCACCCTCGTGCGGCTCTCAACTCAGAGCAAGGTTCCCTCCATTCCATGCGCTCACATCTCAGTCCCCACTCTCCTCTCAACACGTCTGGTTCGGCGCCTGCGTCCTCGCTTCACACTCATCATAGCTCATCATCGCGGCCATCGATGCATTCGCAAGGATTGACGGGCAGCAGCGGTGGCTCACTTGCTCATTCTAATTCCATATCTGAGGACGACAGAAGACCACGGCGTCGCGGGGCTGTTGGTGAGGTGAGCTCCCCGGCGCTCTCGGCTGTGTTCAGCAGGGAAGGTCCATGGGAACGTCCTACATCACATTTGGCGGCACGTCCCATGACGCCCATCCGCCAATCCCCGTCATCTTCTGCCGGAGATGTCCCCAACTTTGCAACGCCGGCTACTGTCACTGGTACTGTTACATCCTCTGGAACGACGAGGACGGATGATACCAACACGAACTCCAGTGTCACGACAGCGCTGACGGACCCAGTGACCGGCGCTGTTCTGCACTTCCCTGCACTGCCATGGCGCCATGTTCCGGATCGCAGTTGGAACAGCCGTGATGAGGAGCACATGTGGTGAAGTCTCCCATATCCCTTTTTTTTACGTTCGATGCTCCTTCTATTGTTATGACCAGTTTAGCTTGCTGTGCGTGACGTATCACTCACACTTCTCTTCCGAACCGATTCCCTTTGCGATACCCTCTCACGACTCGACAATGCCATGCGATACCTCCTCGACACCGCCTCCTATTATGACCTGTTAGATGGTTCTTTCTGTGCCACCTCTCTTCTCTATCCGTATCACTATCTACCACGCCCCTCTCGCATATACTCACGACTACTGACGATGATGACTCTCTGAACTCCGTTAATGCCCCCGTCTTGTCTTCTATGTACTGTACAGTGTGCAGTTGCAATTGGTATCTCGAGAACCACTTGCTGTGGTTCTGATTTCGCTTCAGCACGACCGCGGTATGGCCCCCGAGGAAGATGGTTGTGCTTCGACGGGTGATCAAGGTCTCGATTCCTCCAAGAACAGTGCCTGAGCGGGAGTGTATATATAGGTTGGTGGGTACTTCAAGTCAACTTACGCGACCTTGGCCGGAGATACAGGTCGGTCTCTTGTTTTCAACCACTATTTCGGGTGAGCTCGCAGCGCGGGTAATGCTCCTCGCTCGATTGATTACTGAAGATTTCTTAGAGTGTACACAGCCTGGAGCAGATAGAACGTTTGCTTTGTAGCAACGGTGACAACGTTCTTGGGACAGGGCGCTGGGTTCCACGTCAGCTTGGCAGATGGACTTCCCCGTGGATTTGCAAATCAATCCGATCCGGCTGCACCATACGGTAACTGAGGCGGACTAGACTAATACTATATGCGCATTGCAGATGTCGAACAAGTTGTGTATCTTCCTTTCCTAAGACTATCGTGATGTCGGATATCAATAAGTACTCGGGGCTCCACCATAGTGCACACACATCGATCCCCCGTCTCTCCTTATCCTTGCTGACACTCACTGAAAACAACGATGTCTAATGCAAGTCCATTATATCCAGGGCCAGTGATCGAAGCCTGGCTAGAAACAACGTGCGATCCTCGTATAGTATACTTGTTATACGACTGAAGGAGACCGGGTGACGGGCTAGCTTCTTGAGTTACCGTCTTCGATACATATCATCAAGTAAGTACTTCGACTGTCTATGAATCTGCAGTATTCTGACGCTTCATCCAGCACTCGTTGCGTACTATATGATTCTCACATTGGCGGACGAAGTCCGCCTTATGTGGGGTCGCAAGTCAATCTCTACAATATTGTACTTCGTCAATCGACTAGTCATGCTGGGTACTGTTGTGATGAACGCCCCTTTGCCAACCAATACTCTGCTAGTACGTTTCTCTTCGTTAGTCTCGCTATGAGATCTCATTTGACATTACGCATCGTAGAGGTTAGTGTAACCCAGGGTAGAGCCATCTCGCACTTCCGCTCATGTGAAATACCAGTTGTGATAGCGTCCAGCTTGTAGATAAAATTGTGGCTCTTGTTGCCATGACTGTACTCGCTGGTGAGCTCTCATGCCGCCAGTGCTCAATCTCGATTGATTGTAATCCCTCAGTGGTTGCTGCTCTCCGTGCGCTTGCCGTCAGTAAGCGCAATTGGTACATCACGCTCCCAATTCTAGCTCTAGGTCTGGTTCCCGTTGGTGCAAATTTAGTAAGCATACTGGATATCCTGACTCGGCCCTATATTCCTGTATATTGAGGCAGATGTTGTGAGTTCGGGGCAGTGGCTACCACATACGCCATACTCCCTCCGTTTGGCTGTGTCGGCACAACCCACACCACCAACGACATATATATTGCGTAAGCACCCCTACCTCAATTCACTCAACCCTTCCATAATATTGATCAAACATACAGAGGTATGCTTTATTGGCCGCGAGCAGCTTGCTATTGTCTCATGCCTCCGGCGTTTGTTAAGCCTCAATTGCTACCCGTGTTTCAATGATTATCTCCGACTTTTGTGTTATTGCCTCGATCTGGCACTATACGCATCGTGGAATCAAGATACAAATCCAAATTAAACGCGGTGGTTGGACTTCAAGGTCATCTCTACAGATTATCATGTTGCGCGACGGTATGCCAGTGATTCGTATTCCACGTAGAGTTATTGATTCGATATCATGCACAGGGGCTTTATATTTTCTGTAAGACATTGTCAGGAAGCAACTTCATGCCACTAATTCCACTTCCAGAGTCGTAGCGGTGATCAATGTTGCTACCTTACTCGTAGATACCATCGAACAGGTCGGTGTGAATTCACTGCATAATTCACTCTGATACTATAATCGTTCTAGATCGATGTGAACATCGCTGCACTGCTAAGCGCGTTTGTGCCTTCGTGTACAATGCATCTACATGACACATACTTATTCTGTACTCCAGGCTGTCAAGCATACTTGTGTCACAATTTCTCATGCATCTCAGAGAAGCTGCCGACCGGAGTACGGGTGAGCTTGGTACCCGATCCTCGTCCCGCACAAATTCTACCCGAGAATCCGCCACGCAATCATGGCTCTCCAGCGCGGAGTTCGCTGCGACTATTGGAGATCATTCAGACCACTCAGACCATTTCGACAACATCGATGCATTCTCTGACGTTGAAGACGACTATGCACTTTCAAGAGACGATGAAACCGAGGGGCAGCATCAGCAGCGCGGAATACAACTCCGAGTACTCGCATCCGCTGGACAACAATAAGTCGAAATGGACGGTTGATCCATAATATTCGTACGATGCTTCATTCTGCTTCGCTGGGTTTAATTGATTTTTGATTCATATCATCTCAGCTATGCCTCAAGTATTACCAACATGCGTAACTTGGTCTCGCTGTCACGACATTTTGCGAAAGATCCCGGCCCCTTTCGTTCTGTCCAGAGTCTAGACTCCACAGAGATGTATACCCTACTTTTTTTTCACAAATCATCATTACAGCCATGGTCTACCAGATCAGGCTGTCGTTTCCAGGTCCCACCCATTCTCGCTAAAAGTCCGCTTACGCACACATCGACTTCAATAGGTCTAACGGCATGGAATCAGCTCGATCGTTTGAACAACAGATCGAGACGACAGGATGGAACGCGGCCACGTGTTCAGACGCGGTCGCGCATCCGATCGCGATCGGCCGATTCATCTTGCGCTCAACTGACAACGAGCATACTTCAAATGATGTGGCGTATACAGATGTGGCGTATACAATTGTGTATGCACTGTAATGGCTAGTGTGTACACTCGTTTTACAAACGGGAAACCTTCATGCCCACAATAATCGACAGTCATTAATCTGAGGCCAAGTGGTAGAGTCAGCCACTTGGCTTCAGACTGGTGGTCAGTTTCGAGAGGCGGTCAGCAACATGGTTCTTATATCCGCTCCGAATCGCTCTCCAGCCTCTACCTAAACTCTTACACTGCACACGCCACGATGTTCTCCCAACTCGTGAACGCTTCACTGCCTTCCCTCGCCCCCGAGTGCCACCCCTCCCCCGCACTCGAGGTCAACCTCCACCATTACCGCAACCGCTTTGCACCCCCCACTCCGCGCAAGCACAACTGGGCCTGGTGCGAAGAGATGCACGTCTGGATCCCGGACACCCTCCCCTACTTCACCACCGAGATCGAGCCCGGCCCTCGCCCCGCCACCATTCCCATCATGCGCCCGAAGCCCCCCGTTCAGCGCAAGTGGTGGCAAGCCCGCAAGGCCGCCCGGCCCTCTCAACTCCCCGAGATCAGGCTCTACTCCGGCGACTGCGAGGCCAACGGCGTCACCTTCGCGCACATGAAGCTTGAGCCGGTCGCCGTGGCGCAAGAGAGGGAGGAGCTCCGGCGGGTGTACGCGTCGTGGGTGTGAGGCTGACATGGGAGACATGGCTCAACATTGCGATGGCACACCGCGTCCAATGCTTGCTGACCAGCTCTTCTATCCTTCTTTTGCACAGATCTTTGCAGGGCCTCAACCGAACACTCGCGCGCACATTGTCCGAATACCTCAAGACCGCCATAGGAAGGCCCTGTGCATCGAGCGGCAGACGCTGGGCGAGGAGTCATGGCCCGATGACCCTAGTGTCTCGTTCGATGCCTAGGCAGGTTGTATTTTCCAGATTTCGCATGCTACACACATGCTTATCCTCCCTTCCCCTGAGAGCCCTAGGTTCCCGGATACAGGCCTACATCAACCTCAAGCCTCGCGCGCATACCGTCCGTCCTCAAGACCGCAAGACCTGGGGATTGCCCTGTGCATCGGCGGATGTCAGGCGAGGGGGCATGGCCCCGATGACCCTGGTGTCCATCTGATGCCTGGGCAGGTATGATTCTGAAGATTCTGCCCGTCCGCATGTGCGCGCATGCTCACCTTTATGTGATCCCGCGAGTGTAGGTCCCCAAAGCATGGTCCTGTGCCGAATTGTAACTGCAAGAATCCCGCGCGCGCACCGTCCGGAGGTCACAAGCCTTCAAGGCCAGGAAACATCCCTGTGTATCGGCAGGCGCTGGGCGAGGAGGCATGGCCCGATGACCCTGGCGTCCTGTCCGGTACCTGGGCAGGTATGATTTATATTGCGTCTCTACATCTATATCCACGTCGCATACGCTTATCACCTTTATTGTGAGCGCGAGGTCGTCGGTCTCCCCTTGAACGTTGAAGGGACTGTTGGGATGCAAGGCGAGTATTCGCGCTATGAGTAAGATGCGACTGTACGACGAACTGACTGTTTCATTCGCACAGCAGGCTCGGACGCGGCTGTCCATACCACGCCACCGCTGAGCAGCTTCTTCTTCCATTTCCCTTTCGTCCGCACGATGCTGACCACGTAGCACACCAGATACGAGATCCCCTGCCTTCTTTCAGGATCCCGTCTTCCGGAGTGCGTGTTCTCGACGGCGGCGGCGTCTCATGACGTGCGTGCGATTTATTTTCCACTCGCCTTTCGCCGCTGCTCACCTATCATCTGCCTCAGGCTTGCTGTCCGCATCACAATGGGGAGAGCCAGGGTATCTGCGGGGGCGAGCCGCCCGGGAGGATGCGGCCGATCCTGCCGGACGTCTTTAACTCAAGGATAGCCCGAGGCGACGCGTCGGCTATTGCTGGCTGCAGTATGTCCACACGCCAGTGCTGCACGGCTCGCTCATATACTAATTTGATTTGAAGGTCGAAGGCGTCGCGGGCTGGCGAATTATCGAGTGGTTCTGACCCCACAAGGCAAACCCGTCTCTCTCGCCGACCCGGTACGCACCGCTCACTCACCTACTCCTCTCTCCACATCCTCACCACGGTGCAACACGGCAGGTCTCTAGGGCATGTGTCGCGTGATGGACGGGGCTTGGTCTCTTTTTTGTTTGTTTATTTGTTTGTTTGTCTAACGCGTCTGTGTTCTGTGTTCTCTGCTCTTTGTCTGCGTGCATGTACGGTCCCTGCAGCAGCGCCGCTGGAAGGGCCAGGGGTGGCGGAACGTAGGCACCGCGGTAGCCGGCGCGATGACACCCGCTCTCGGGACGGCGTCCTCTTCGGAGGGCGGCGAGGTGCGCGCGTAAATAGGTCCCTCTCGTCCGGTGCGCCGCCGTGCTGAGCCATTGTCTGCACATTCCTTGGTCTCGAAGGTCGCATTGTCGCTCGGGCCTGGTCTCGTTTGTATGCTCGTTCAATGTGCTTCGGGGGTTTGTAGTCTCTGCTTTGCGAGCCCGATGTGTCTCCGGCCTGAGCTTGGCGCGAGGGAGGGGGCAGATGAATGGCATGGATCGCTTTGCTCTGGGTCGAAGCTCGAGTGTGAAAACCGCCTGGGACTTCAAGACTCCAACCTGTCCTAGCATCCGTTTACCTTACTTCACACTCAGACACTGTGAGAGAGCACAAGCAAAATGAATTATCGTAGTATATAACTGGCGGTACATCTTCCTTTTTATCGGCGTCAAGCCATGATGATCGGGACAAAACATGCAGCATGTGCACAGCGGATCAAGCAAGATGTCAGCAGCGCTGAGGCAATTTTGGCGGGTGTTGAACAGCCGAGGGCAATCCATGTGAGAGTAGGCAAGGAAGCTTACGACAGGTTGTCCGGGCGGAGGGAGCGCACGACCTTGCCTGCAACATAATCAACAAACAGCGCGCTCCGAGACGTGTCATGGCACGTACCGGCCCTCCAGATCTCCTGCTCGTCGATCTCCTTGAGCTCCTTCGCGAGGTCCTGGCGGTATGTCGCGCTCCCGTTGAACTCGAGGCTGCGGCGCGTCTCGGAGCCGTCCCGCACGCTCTGGTACAGGCGCTCAAACACGGGCAAGTTCGTCTCCTCGAACACCTTCGCCCAGTCGAGCGCGCCGCGCCGCGCGGTCGTCGAGCACGCGTTGTACATGTAGTCCATGCCGTGCTGCCCGATCAGGGGGTACAGCGACTGCGTCGCCTCCTCGACCGTCTCGTTGAAGGCCTCTGACGGCGAGTGCCCGTTCGCACGGAGCACCTTGTATTGCGCACAGAACAGGCCCTGGATCGCGCCCATGAGCTGCGGGGAGTGTCAGCGCGGGTGCATTCATCATGTGACCGGCTGCGACGCACCACACCACGCTCGCCGTAGAGGTCAGAGTAGACCTCCTTCTCGAACGTCGTTTCGTACATGTAGCCAGAGCCGATCGCAACACCGATCGCGACGGCCTTCTCCGTCGCCTTGCCGGTGACGTCCTGCCAGACGGCAATGCTGGAGTTGATACCGCGGCCCTCCTTGAAGAGCGTGCGGACAGTGCGGCCGGAGCCCTTGGGCGCGACGAGGATCACATCGACATCAGTAGGGGGAATGACGTGTGTGTCGTCCTTGTACACAACAGAGAAGCCGTGCGAGAAGTAGAGTGTCTTGCCCTTCGTGATGAGCGGTGCGACGGTGGGCCATGTTTGCGACTGGGCAGCGTCGGAGAGCAGGTTCATGACGATAGTACCGCGGTTGATGGCCTCCTCAATGGGGAAGAGGGTTTCGCCGGGGACCTGCAAATAGGGTCAGAGACGCGTAAAGGGCAGAAAGGGAGGTGACATGGGTGTCGAGTATCATGAAGAATAATTTCCAATCGTCACATATATTCCCAACGCAGAGACCAAGACACGATAGTATAGTGTCGGGCCTAGTACTCGTGTTCTCAATTGTACTAAGCCTGTGCTAGCCGTAGCGAGCCCTGGGAGTTGAAGGACCCTAACGTAAGGGTAGGGGCAATGTATCGGCCAGCTGCCAGTCATGGGAACACGTCCATCACGGCGACCAAATACAGCGAAGGTCGGTAGCACTTCAAACGTTTGTCCTCAAGACCAAAAACGAGGTGACCATCCAAATGTGTCGCCGTACACAACTCACAGTAACCCATGGTCCACGTAAAAGATACTAAAAACACATACCCAGCCGTCTTCCATGGCCTGCTTCCATGACTCGCCACCCTCTCGGACACCGACAGTGACTTTGAGGCCGTTGTCACGGGCGTTGAGACCCTGACCATGGCCCTGGGAACCGTAGCCGATGAGGGCTAGGGTGTCATTCTTGAAGTAGTCCTGGAGCTTGGGAAGCGGCCAGTCGCTTCGCTCGTACACGACCTCCTTGGTGCCAGCAAAGTCGAGGGTCTTCATACCGCGGGTAGCCTGTACGTCTGCGTAAGTATTACGTTCGCTGCAGTTGAATCTCTCACACATTGTGCAAGATGACTCAGAACATAGCTGGAGGAACTCACCACGGGTGCCGACCTTTTCGACGCGGTAGAGACCGCATTGCGGGCCAGAAGGGAGTAGGAAGCCGTCTGCGCAGCCTTGCTGAAGACGTTTGCGCGAGGTGCGCGACGAGCAGCAGCGCGGAGAGCAGAGCGAGCGGCGAAGGAAGACATGGCGGGAGAGTGGAAAGACACGAAATGTGAGTCAAGGACTATATATCCCCAGCGCGTAAACTTCCAACAGCCGCCGAGTCATTCGGCGTAGACGCCCATAGAGCGCCCAATACCACGATCATTTTGATCTGCGGACGGCCCGCCGGCTTCAGCCACTGCGGCATCCCTGTGCTTATCCTCCGTTCAGCTTCGTTGCAAGCCGTAAGTCGGCCGTTGGGTTGAGAATTACAAACATCATTCGTAGGCCGTGATCGTCGCCCTATCATCATGATGCCCTCAACGGCGGCGCTGATTGTGTCGCTCAAAGGCCTTCAAGTTTGTCGCGGTTGACTGCGAATTGTCAATACACCGAGCGCATCGTAGACCCTCCAGTTTGTACGAGGCTGTTAAGCAGGTACTGAACAGCATAGTGCACTTTGTGGTCCAGAACAAACAATCTCCGAAGCATTGATGAGATGTCGTTCATCCGAGCGCGAACGTTCGCTTAAACCTCCGATGTTGTTGCGGAAGCCAATGTGAGTTACCCTCGTTCCTACATTCCTAGCTGGCCAGTACGGTAGCGCTTCTTGCCAGAGGCTGTTTACTCCGAAAGGTCAAGTGCAGGGCGGCCACGGAGGAAGTCCGGCCCCAAGTGTTGATTGGCGACCACGCCGGTCAGACAAACGACGATGGTTCTGACCCGTAAGTATTTGGGTGCCGGTTCCACATCATCGGCACTGTACTTCACTGAAATTGCCTCGCTGCGCATAGCTGGAAGTGGCCAGATCACGACTAGACGAGCAGTTGACAACTGGCGGTCGATGTGCATCCGGTCGCCACGGCGAGAAAGAAAGGTACCGTCATAAACATCATGGAGAATTACAAAATGGTGGCTATTGCATGCGGACATGACGGTTTGACGTTCTGATCATCCGCGCAAGACCGGACTTTCCGTTCGGTACCTACGGTTCACGAGCTACTCCAATCATTAAGGACAATGGACATCCTACCGGTATCATCAGTCCCAAATTCGATCAATCTACACATGTCGAACGGGGCTGCATCAAGGACGATGCTCCTTACAAAGCCACAGGCACACACCGCAAGGTAGCGCACAACGCGATCTAGATCATGGAGTAGGTATCCCGGGCACCGTCAATGGCATCATCAGATCCGGTTGATTCTGGGATTGATCGTGTTGTTCCTGCTCTTCCGTCTTGGAGCTCGATGCTTGATACTGTATCTCGCGAAACAGAGATAAACACCGTCCCAGAACGTACCCGGAAAGATACCCGTCCGACGTGGTAGTTTCTGGCTTCTGCGTATCTATATTCTGCGCTCAGTTGCCGCGAGCGGATCACTTAACGCAGGCCGCGGCCCTGATCATTAGCGTGATCCTCGCCGAGGGGCATTGATCCGAGCAGCCTGCATAGTAGAATGACGGTCACCCGCCGCCTCTTCCCCTCGAAGCAGGAGAAATGTAAAGCAGCAGCGGCCGTTCCCCTGCTGTATGTGCCTCCTCACCAGCCTCATCTCTGGTATGTTCTTGTGAACACGAGCTACATGTCATCATCGGGCTTCAAGATGAAATACCGCCTCTGCGTCCTGTAGTTTCTCGTCTATGTCCCAGGAAAATCCGTTTAGTGGATGTATAGGAGATCATTACTAGCTTCCTGCGCGGTGATAGGAGTGTGTCTATTTAAGAGAATATTATGTATTCTAAGCACATTGAGTCATTTAACTGAATCATTGCCTGCGCATACTATCTTTGATTGCCAAACCACTTCTGCATATGCATATCCTTTGAATCGTCTGTCCTGCATGCTCGCCGAATATAAATATAAACGCGAGTACGTTTACCTTTTTTCCGCGAGCATCATTTACGGGTCAAATACATCCCATAAGCATCCCCAATGAGAACTGTCAAGCGCCGTTACTGCGAACTCGGATACAGCTAGACTTATCTCCGTGGTTTGCCTCCCGTGGGGGGTACGCGAGATTGCAGATGGGACTGATCGCGATCTTATGCAGAATCTCGATCGTCATGTGGGTACGTACCTTGGACGATGGCCATGTACCGCATGCAGCAGCCTACAGCCCGGACAGGCCTGCAAATTGGAGACCAGCTCCGGATATAATGCTACACAACGTTAAGTTACATATCGCGCTGATCCACGAATCAACATTGTGTTCTCCAAGAAATACAAGATGCAATACCATACGCGAAACGTCCATGTCCATTCTGAGTGCTTAATCAGTCTTCTTCCCCTCCACCTTGCCCTGTCCGAAGAGCACCTCGTCGACCGTCTCCTTCTTGCCTAACAGCTGCAGCCACAGACCCCAGACGGGCGTGAAGAATGGCACGAACATGGCGACGCGCGCCTGGTAGGCAGAATACGCCTTGGGGTACTTGGAGAGCGAAATGCTCTCGGTGAAGCGCGTCGATGAGTAGAAGAGTATGCAGAGCACGAGACTTGGCGCAAGCGGCCAGAGCTCCGTGATGGACGTCAGCGGGAGCGCTAGCTTGGGCGACTCAGGAGCGAGCAACGGGAACAGCGTAATGATGGCCTACGTAACATATCTGAATCAGAGATGTCGATCATGGATCGTAAATGTATGACGTACCCAGAACGTCTGCTCACAGAGGAAATTCGGGTGCCGTGACCATGCCCAAAGCCCACGCGTGATGAACCCACGCTGTGCGTCGCGTTGTGTCCACTTGATGCGCGCCCCGGGCCATTCGTTCTTCTCATGGACGCCAGAGTGTTTGTACGTTTGGAAGGAGTATTGCTGGTTGTCTGCGACAAACTCGAGCGCTAGGTCAACTAGTCCGAGCGTACCCAAGATATAATCCGAGGTGCTGAGCTCAGATGGTTGTTGGAAGGCTGCGACATGAGTGGGCACCCCGAGCAGGAACAGGATAATGTTCTGGATGATAGCTAAGGCAGGCATGAGCTTGGACAGTTTCTGTAATCACGCCTCCAAACAGACCTATGAAGGTAAGGTTGAACACCTGGAACAGCCATTTTGGAATCTTGCTGCGAACTATTTGCCAACGGTAATCCTCATCGTGACTGGATTTGTTGGCACCGACGTGATCATAGAAAGTAATAAATAAGCGAACTCACAGGTTGAAGAGCCCTCTTCTCCATGTGTTGTAAGACAAGCTTACCACACGCCATCAGCCACTTTGTGCAGTAGTTTCAATGGCGGACATGTGCTTACCGACACATCCAGAGAAACTGCAGACAATTTAGTTGACAATTGAAGGCAAAGGGGAGCAGCACGTACGACCAGGCCAAACATCAAAAGAGCTCTCGGGCTGTAAATTGTTGCAACCGCTGGATGCACCGTCTCCGGCGTATAGGGCCAGAGCGGCATGACGGCATGGCTTGGCCAAAGGGGCAGGAGTGCGAAATATGCCGTGTAAATAGTTGGTAGGAACGTCCAGACTCTGTCGACTTGCGACGCGTTTCCTGTCAATAGGGAGAGTATGTACAAGACAAAGGTAGTCGAGGCACAGAACTTGACAGGCCATTGAAAGGACGCGGGAATGCCGCGCAAGAACACTTCAACTGGGAGCGGGGCCATGGTTTTGGTCCGTGGTGATCCTCTACTCTCTCCAATTTTTACGCGGTGTTTTGGGTCTCAAATATGAAGATGTGAATTTGCTGATGGTGTAAAGGGCAAGGGAATGGTTGCAGGTTGCATGAGACGCTCCTCGTCGTGACGCACTGCAGAAGTGGGGAAGCTACCCCAGATCACGTGATATGCGCCACCCATCTATTTGCCTTTATTTGTCTTCCCCTCAGTCTCTCTTGTCGACGTCCTCATCTCCTTTCCTGCCGTCCAGCACGAACGTCAAGCACTCGCCATGTCTGCCTCGGTCCTGATATCCACTTTCTCCCCTTTCCCCACACTGTCGCTCTCGGCGCCCGTCGATGCTCCGTTCCATACTCTCTACGACCTCCTCGCTGAACGCTATCCCGAGCTGCCTCTAGACCTAGTACTTTCCCCGCATCGTGGATGTGCTCCTGCTCTAGACGCACCGCTTTCATCTCTATGGACAGCTGACAGTGCCAACAATGGCGCACCCCTGGTCAGCTTGCGGCTTGTCCCAAGGCTCCGAGGAGGCAAGGGTGGTTTCGGCTCTCAGCTGCGTGCCGCAGGAGGTCGCATGAGCAGTCAAAAGACGAGCAACAACGACTCGTGCCGAGACCTCAGCGGACGGCGCCTCAGCACGATCAAGGAAGCGAAGAGGTGCGTAAACGACATCGAAATTCATAGAGTACACACCAACATGCTTGCCCACAGACTAGCTGAACACATCGAGAGCGAGCCTTTGCGCAAGAAGGCTCAACAAGAGGCTCAGCGCGCAAAGCTTGAGGCTTTGGAGAAAAAGCTTGGCATGGCTCCTGGGGGATCGTCGGACTCCGATCCGTTGGCGGGCAAGAAGCACCGCCTCGATGACACGGAGTACTTGGAACAAAGCAGGGAGATTGTTGACAACGTGAAGAATGCGGTATCTATCGGTGCGTACTCATGGCTTGCCCTTCAAGACTCCACGATTTGACAGTGTCGTCCAGCTATGCTCAAGAAGAAGAAGAAAGCAAAGACCTCCCACAATCCTCCTGCAGGATCATCGTCAGCCAGTTCGGTAGACAAGTCCTCGACGTCTGCTACAACAACGTTCGCTGCTGCGTCTGCTGCCGCCGCAGTGGCTGATGCTACTTCGGTTGTTTCAGAGAAGATCCGAGAATCTGTCGCAATTCCTGCTGCTTCAGTCGCGTCCGCAGCCGTTGGCGTGGCCAATGCCTGATTACCACGTTCCTAGTTGTACCATGATGACATTATGGCAAGATGGTACGCGCGCGGATAGTTGTTTGTGATTCGTTCGCGGTGCATTGAGCATTCAGATACACGCCACTCTCACCTTGCAGGTAATCATTTAGAGGATTCGCTTGAGTCGTTAAATCATATCTCGATGCGGGGGATCGTCGTATGTCATAATCCCACAAGTCATGTTGCGAGTATTTCTGATTGACGGTCTCATCTGATCAAGGTTATCTGGTCTATTCTACATATCTTTTCAGTCACAGACTCTGAAACCTTTGAATTTGGCCTGATCATTGGAATATTCTCTCGACCTTCTCGTAACGAATGTCGCCATCCGGATACTTGCTTCGGTACAGCAATCATATGACCACGCAATTGAAATCCGCGGCCTGCGCCCGCCCATTCTCAGTCATCTTCTAAAGATCCCTGTCTGAGTGTTCACGGGACCAAATGACTCACACGCCTTGCGCATGATATACATTGACCCACTGTCAGCGTACAGGATTCCTACGTTCTATTCTCGCTCCACGTTTTGGTTTAGCGATCACTGCTACTTACTTCTGACTGCGTCATCATGTCCTCCGATAGCGTGGCATTCTACGGCTTCACGCCTGTCCCCAGGGACCCAGAGGTCCTGTTCAGAGATCACCCTACTGCTTCGGGGCCCAACCCTAAGCAAGACTTGTTTAGCGCCTCTGACTTTGTCTTGCCCGACTCCCCCGTGGCGCAAGAGGTTAAGGCGTTCGTCCAGGTATGATCGCAGGCTTCACAGCAAATCGAGAATCGTATCAACCCCCGACACAGAAAGAGCTCGACGAGCAGACGTACAACCACAGCCACCGAGTGTACATCTATGGTCAGTCGCCCTTCTGTCTCTAACAAGGCGCACAGTTCAGATTAGTCGTGTATGTATTGCGTAGGCACAGCACTCGTCAAGACGCACTTCCCGTCGTGGACATACGACAATGAGACGTACTACCTCGCGTGCTTGCTGCATGACATCGGCACGGCTGAGCGGTTCCTTGCGAGCACGAAATTGTCGTTCGAGTTCAAGGGCGCCATTGTTGCGCGCGACCTCATCCTGCAGCAGGGTGGCGCGGAGGACCAGGCCGACAGCGTGTGCGATGCCATCATCAGGCACCAGGATATATTCGTGAATGGGTGAGCGGCAGGCGCGATCCCCCGTCGAACGGCTAGTCTTCAGCTCTGCTGACGGCCAACAGGGGCAACATTACTATGATCGGACAAATCCTCCAGCTGGCTACCATTCTCGGTGCGTCGCGCATACCTTGGTAGCTGTCTTTCGATCACTGAACGCTGTCGCGCCACGCAGATAACGTCGGGCTGTAAGTTACTTATGCCATACTCTTACTTTTCAAGTTCAATTCAGCGACGTACTCCAGGCGCGCCAACCTGATTCATCCCCATCTGATCAAGACGACCACCGCTGCATACCCGCGCAAGGGTTGGTCGGAGCACTTTGCGCGCGTCATTGAGAAGGAGCTCAAGCTCAAGCCATGGTGCCACACGTCGACGTTCGAGCAGCCGGGTTGGAAGGAGGGTGTGCGTAGCAACTTTGCGACGGACGTCAGAGGGAACGAGGTGATGAAAGCATATGACTAGTACTTGTCGGGTTGTCATACAAGTGAATGAGTGGCACAATGAACCCAGCTCTGGATCGAGTTTTTACGATGCTCCACTATGCGGTGCACTGGGGCCTATATGTTCGCCGATTTCTGCACAACGAGAAGGCTTCTTTGCATACATGCGATTTGCTGTTTGTGCAAATCAAGATTTATGTGTGCCGCAACACACGCATCTCCAGATTTGTGATTTATTGATACATCCTCCAATTATATGTTCCTCACAGATTGAGGTGCAAGTATCTATCGTTCATATGTACTTTCGATTCCGAAAGGTCGTTTTGCTCCTGCAGCAAACACAATATATATCGACACCTTGAAATGCATTATTGCAACACTACTAATACTCGCGTATAATTCCGACACATTAACAGGACCCTAGCAGTCGAGACTAGGAGGGATGAAAATACACAAGTACACTACAAGAAGTATTGTCGCAACAATGGGTCTGCGGTAAGGATTCCACAGTCATCTAAGGGCTCCAGCCCTTCGCCATGAAGTGCCACTCCACCTGGAGGACACCTTCGCTAAGCGGAGCACCAAGAGATTCGAAGAGCGAGGAGCTCAGATCTAGAAGGTAGGAGCGTGAGATATGGAAATCATGACTGAGGGCAGATTTAGGTCAAGCAGCACGCACCGATGGAGGTCGCATCACAACCCTCGCATTCGTCGCGAGTTTTACCGTACTCGACTTTCCCGTTAGCTTTGTTGGTTATTTGCATCCACTATGCGGCAGGTAATGAGCGAGCCGCTAGCCGCGGAATTGTATGGAGAAACGTACCTGGTTGCAGTTACCACCGCTGCCGTAGATGTCGTGCGAGATGGCGACGACAGGGCTGCTGGCCACGTCGGTGTAGCCGCACGCACCGAGACCAACATCGTACCAAGTAGCCTACACATGCGCGCTGGTGAGCTCACACAGGACGACATCTGCATGACATTAGACATACCTGACCAGTGTGGTCGACGCGTTTCTCGAGGTCCACGTCGGCGACTGGAGTGCCGAAAACAGCGGCGACGACAATGCTGAGCGCGATGGCGAGGACGGCGAAGCGAGACATTGCGAGATGAAGTTTGAGAATTGTGGGTGTTGGAGAAGATAATTGTTGCGCTGCGGTAGTGAGTCTGAGGTCGACTGTCGAGCTGATGAGGTTTATTAGTGAATGTACGTGCCTTATATACTGTCAGAGACACCAGGACCGTCTGTCAGGCGCACGCAGGCTATAGGCCATGGTCTGAAACACTGCTGCCCAGGACGGAAATGCAGGAAGATAGCTAGACTAGGCGAAATTGGGAACCAAAGACCGAAGCGCGTGGCGCATCTGGCAGGTCGGGTTCGGGTTTATCAGTCGAAGGGGTGGGCGGCGATTGATGGTGAGGTCAAACGGAGTGAATGAGTATACAAGTTGACTACTCAATGCTCAAACGAAATCCCTATAACCATACAAAGGTGCTGATACAGTAAGATATGAGTGCAACTAGTGCTCAGCTGGAATACGCACATCAGATTATTTTTGCGTCGGCGAGAGATCTGCAATGCAGAGGCCAAGACAAGCGTCGGGGCTGTGAGGACGGGAGAGCCGAGCAATGATGCAGATCGCGCGCATCCATTGAGCGCACGCCCGGACTCTGAGCGGATCACACACACAGCCACAAAGCTGCTGTCGCATACAATGCACAAGCCAGAACAGGTCAGCAGTGGTGACCAACCCTACGCCAAAGGTTAATAACACATGGCAGAAGAGGTCACGATTTGTTGTATGGGCGTCCAGTCTCGGGCTGTGTTTGTGTCCAGGAACATTCGCAAGACTATGGAACCCTTGAATGACCAAATATTTAATAAAAACCAACGTCACTCAATGCGTGCCTTGCAAGGTCTCACCTCTGCTTCAGAAAGCATCCACGAAGCCTCAACTCTCCACTCGCAGGGGAAAACTTACAGCGCCAGCAAATACATCCAACAATGTCCGCTGACATTGCAGTGCATCCGGAGAGACGGGTAGGAGAATGCTGTGGCGCCAGATGCCCCATGTAGTCAGCCTCAGCAGCGCCCTCACCTTGCTGGCACGAATAATCGACTCGCCCGCATCCGGACGCGCGTGAAAATCGCACCTGTGGCACTTTGCATGGGGTCTCGAAGTGGCGGCAATCCGCTGGCGTCTCTGGAACGAGGGCGGCCGTGATCCGCGCCCGCGCTGATGGTGAGCCCAAGGTCGGGGATACTATATGAATGAAGGGACGTAGGCGGTGTTTGACCCGCATATGCATACATTCATGCACAGCTAGTAAATTGTCATCGATCCTAGTGTTACAACCATACGAAACCATTTATACTCATTGGGCCAATGTCCTTACGATCTCGACTGTTTGCGAATTATTGAAGATGCATAATGTGATTCTGCACAACTACGGATGATCAGTTAATTGTCAATGAAGATGCGACAGGGGAAATGGCTCAGGGCGTGTTCTAGTTTCAAAAATCAATAGATCACGCCTCGATACAACGGCGGTCACAGCGCCGCAAAGTTAACGAAGAACCTAGTCTATATGGGCCAAGGAGATAGATTTGATGAGTAATGGCTCCGACCACCTCTCGGGAGGAGACATGTTCACGATGTCTCAGGAAGAGGCTCGCTTCGCATTGGCTCCCCACAACTCACTGGCGTTTCATATAAAGAATACGCACACCAGTGGTCTGCGGCCGTGACCTGAGGCTCAAGATGCGTCTCTGCCAACGGCTGGGAAGGTCCCATGGGGTGTGATAGGCTGCAGGCATACCTCATGGACCATCAACATTCATCCCATCCATTTGAGACCTAATACAGCTCAAACCTTATCACCGTTTGAGACCGGGAGCGAGGAGAGCACAGCTCCCATCAAAGATGCCAGTTACCCTGCGAGAATTGATTTCATCTGCAGTTTGTATTATATGAAGTGAGTTTTAGGCCGACGCATCTCTGTTTTCGAACATTGGTAATAGCGCGGAAGGAGCTAGGAAAACCTCGGGGGGTAGAGAATGCAGCAGAGTATTATTTGAGTCGCTGGTTCATAATCATACGCACAAGTTCGAAGGGATACATTCTGAGCCAATGTCCTCACACGTACTGATGGTTGACGACAGCCACGCATCGCCCAAAAAGTCTGGCGCTCATGTCATAATATGTCTGTTCTTCACGTGTTAGTGATCATATTTTAATCACAACAGTGGCAGGATGTGAGGACGAGACGAAAGACGGTCACGGCAGAAGCAAGACGGGTTGCAAGCAAAGGAGCGGAAGGAATTGGTTCGACATTCGGGGCCAGCGCTAGTACTCCGGCAATAGCCGTTGTCGATCTGGCGTACTGATGCTCATTTCGAATAGCTGTGTAATGATGCATGATGTCTCCCAGACATCATATTCGACCAGCCGTAACGAAGTACCAACATATAACTCGTGAGGGCTGCTACAACTTGTACTGCGTCTGGTGAGCCGGCGAGGGAATAATCACAATCACAAAGAGCAGTTCCAATAAACAAATGATGCACGCGCAATGTATTGTGTTGAGCCAGCTCCTCAAAAATAATTTGTCGATACGGAGGTTATTCGAGTGCAACTTGGTGGTAGCGATCAACTTAATCGCGGTCCTGACTGCCTATTAAGGCAGGTTTCCAAGAACCAGCGGACCGGTGACTCGGATCCTAGTCTGACTCGATAGCATGCCTCAAAACCAAAGCCCAACCGCTGAGGCTCGCTGCCTTTCAACTAATAGCAAGCTGAGAGCGCACAAACTGCGCAGAGAAAGTTTCCCAGTGAGTATGCAACGCATTATCCAGGATATGACCTCGATTCGTTCGATGCTTATCTTGCGTAGCACAAAGCGAGTCCAAGATGTCTGCCATAGAGCTCCCACTCAGCACAGGACTACTCCCAAGTGAATACCACACTTACGACTCGAGTAAGAAACCTCCGGCTCTTGGGCATGCTGTCAGACCATATTGGGCTTTTGACCCCGGATATGTGAATCTTAACCATGGTGTGTTCCATATCCTCGTAATTGTAGTGTAGAGTTTAAGTGGGCTAGCGTACAGTACGAGATTGACTCATGACTCCCCTAGGCTCCTACGGATCTGCTCCATTGCCTGTCATGTTCAGGTTCACAGAACTTGTTACACTGGCTGAACGGAACCCGGACAAATTCCATCGCATCACTTATATGCCCCTCCTCATAGAATCACGGTGTGTTCCAGATAATATGTCTGCTCATCTCCGGAGGTCTTAAAGTTGTGAACCAGGAAGCGCATTGCGGAGCTGGTCGGAGCTCGTGCGGACGAAATCGTCCTTGTAACGAACGCTACCCACGGTGTCAACGAAGTTTTGCGCAATTTCGAATGGCGCGAAGGTGATGTACTATTATCGGGTAGGTTAGTTAGGTTTTTTCGTTACTGGCTGCATCTGATACCCTTTCAAAGCCACCACGACGTATGGTGCCGTCTCCAGAACCGCGCAGTACCTAAGTGACAGGTCGGAGGCACCGCGTCCGACACACCACGTTATTGAGTACACGTTCCCGATGTCCCACACAGAGCTCATTGATCGCTTCCGCGAGAGTATCAAGAAGATCAAGGCCTTGTATCCCGACACCGAGTTCAGCGATGTCCCGTCCGATTCAGTCACCGCACAAGCCGGGGGAAGCAACGTTAAGAAGAACAAGTTTGTAGCAGTGATCGACTCAATCGTATCGAACCCGGGCGTGCTTCTGCCATGGAAGGAGCTAGTCCAGATCTGCAAGGAAGAGGGCATATGGAGCGTTATAGATGGGGCTCACAGCATCGGTCAGGAGGTTCGCACATAAAGCTCACATCTTATTCTGGTATGATGGTAATCTTGCTCCGCTTGTAGGTGGACATCAACCTCAACGAAGCGAAGCCCGATTTCTTCATCTCCAACTGCCATAAATGGCTCTACGTCAAGCGATCGTGCGCACTGCTCTACGTGCCTAAACGGTCGGTCCCGAAGCATTATTTGGAGCTCAAGGGCAGGTATACTCATGGTCTTGCGTGTGCGACGCCAGGAATCAGCACTTGATCAAGTCGTCTATACCAACTTCCCACGCCTACGTCTCGCCCACTGATAGCCACCCGCCGCCTCCTGACGATGTCACGAATTTTGTAGGCCAGCATGAATGCGAGCACCGAGAACCCACTCAGTACAATGTGTAAACTAATTTTCCAAATTACCAGGGACGGGAACCATGGATCAAGGTCCGTTCCTCACCGTGGGCGCAGGTAAGTGTACCGGGAAACCCCAAACGTCTATGTTTATTGATACCCGCTGTCTCCTCGCATAGCGCTGAATTTCCGGAAATGGCTTGGCGGGGAAGCGGTTATCAACGCCTACTGTCACAACCTCGCTATGGAAGGCGGGCAGAGACTGGCCGAGATTTTCGGCACGAAAGTGATGGATGTAACGGGCGAACTGACTTTGAACATGGTCGGTGCATCTCGTTCTGATCAGCTTGAAAAAACCTTACCCTCAGCTACACCCTCCTGCAGACGAACGTCCTTCTTCCCCTTCCAGTGGAGAAATTTAAGGGCGAGATCTATAACTCGCAGAACCTGGTTGCAATTAACACAGTATTTCGCGAAAAGCTTCTTTTCGACTGGAACAGCTATGCTGGGCACTACTTCCATGCGGGCGGTTGGTGGACTCGATGCAGCGCACAAGTATGGAATGAGGTACGGTTTTCCCCGATGCGATGTATATGCTACGGCTCACGACACGGCAGATATCCGACTTCGAGTATGTCAGCAAAGCATTCATTGCGATATGCGAAGACATCAAATTAACAATCCTTGCCAACCACATCGCCTCGGAATCCTAACGGTATATGTGTATGATACATTGAAGGTTCGACTGATATGCAATGGATGGGTCGGACAAATCGACAGAGAATGTACCGGAGAATATATTCAATTCCATGTAAAATAGACGAAAGATGCAAAACAATGGTAGCGAATAGCAGATGATGAATACAAGTCGACAGATCCGAGTCCATAGATGTTAATGTATGCAACGTGAACGCGCTCACGCACCAGCTGCGCGACCGCCCTTTCGTTTGGACCCTCTCCCCTTCTTCGTGCCCTTGGGTTGAGGTGCGTCCAGTTTCTCAGATAAGTCGGCCTTTTGACTCGATAGTATTCTCATAAGTTTCTTCTTCTCGTCGTACTGTTTCGGATCTTCGTACATGACCCGTACGCTCATTCCGGCCGGGCCATCAGCTAGCATGTCGAGGTCATCATCACCCAGAACGTTGGGGTCTAGAGGAGCAGGAGGAGCATATACAGGGAGTACTTCTGGATCCGCCGGCTCAGAGGTCGACTGCAGCGATGAAAGTTTGTGATGAGGAGATCGTCATCAGGGATACAATGAATGATTTACCTTCTGCCTGGATGGTGGTCTGGCTCGCTTGCCGGTCCGACTCGATCGCCCTTGTGCGGCATCTTCCTCCTCGGACGGTCGCTTGCCCAGCAATGACGTTATGGTCTCGTGGAGGGCTTTTGTTCCCTCTGTTGTAATCTTCACGGGCGGCGTTGGGTTCTTTTCCGTGACTTCTGGCATCTTAAGTGGGGATGGAGACTCCGACGAAGGAATCCGCTCAATCGGTTTACTTTCGTCAACAGCAGCCATTGATGATGCTCTGCTATTCTTCACCAGCACTCGACCAAACGGGGGGGCTGAACCATTGCTAGAAGATGGTTCTAGCGTGGACGACCTCTTGAGTGAGGGGGGTGGAGGTGTGGATCGAGGGAGGGTTTGTCTAGTAGGACCATTCAGAAGCACTGTCGGTTGTCCGAATGTGCTTTCGCTATCTGGCTCATGTGCGGCCTCGGGGTCTACAAATGTATGAGGTTCAACACCAAAAGAATTGACGGAATTGAGCGATAGACGTACCGTTCGTGATGTCCACCATTGTCACATCAACGTCTGTCTCCTTGCCTTTGCCTTTATGATCGACCTTCGGTACATCCACGTCCATCGCTTCCTCTGGCTCAGGCTTATGTTCGGTCTGTGGCATTCCTGGGAGCGGGCTTAGTTGACTCTCCTCTCGGGGAATCTGGCCATGCTTCGCAATGGCAGCAATCCACGCCATGTCGACGATGGGGATACACCATTCCCGTGCCTTCTCCGCTTTTGGACCCATAGCGGACGGACACAGTAGGTGCGTTGACCGACGGGAGAAATTTGGTGCTACATGTGCCCCTGCAGGAGAGGGCATCCGGCTTGAATCACATTAATCGCTGAATTACAAGACAGCTTACCTATTGCTCGCATGAGCCTTGTAACCCAGCAAGCCTCGGATTGATCCAGGCCAGAGAAGCTGAGAACAATGAGTTCGGCGCCTGGAGGGCGAATTTAAGACTTTTGATACAGAACATTTAAGGATGACTGACCTGGTACAGGCAACACAATCTTCAGCGGTCTGAACACCACGTTCTCCTCAAGAGAGCATACTCGCTCCTCATAGATACACCTCTCTAGCCAACACTCCGTCCGGTACTTCTTCCGCTCCTCTTCGTCGGTCTCCTTTCTATAAAAGGTGCTCCCGCTACAGGGTCATATATCGTTAATGGATTATAAGATCAGCGATGTAAGGGGAAACCACAATGGTCTTACCTGACTAAGCGAACAATGATGAAATCAGCCTCGTCATCATCGCCCTCGGAGAGCACTCGGCCGCCACACTCCTCCAACGCCGCCTTCACGCTTGGACCACGAGCCTCCCCCAGGGTGCGGAACTTCATTCCGGTGAAGAGATCAGAGGTCCTGTTTGAGCTCACCACCTGGGGCTTTACCTCCTCTACTTCCGCATGTACGACGGCCGACGAAGGATGAAGCACATCAACATCTTGTCCGGTCTTCCGCTGCCCAAGGAATGATGAAGACGGCCCAGCGATTGGCGCGCGCTGGAACGGCTGCCGAGACGTCGACGCCTCCTTCACCGCAGGCGCGAACGAGTTTGTCCTCTTAAACTTTGACAGGGCACTCACGGGGACGGCGCCCACGCCCGCACCGTCCAGCTTGCCCATCGTTGCCGCCCTGGCGATCTTGTTCTTCAACGGTGATGCGTCCGGCTCGCGCTGGATTCCCGTACGCGCTCCGTTGTTCGCGCTCTGGGATTTCGATGGGCTGCGCACGAGGCGCCCATTCGACACCTCAAACCCGCGCGACCCTAGTAGGCTGCCCCAGATCTGAAGCATCTCTGCAGGCACGCGCCGCGCAGACGCGATCTCCTCGTCGTCGTTCGTTGTTGCGGCGAGCAGGTCAGGAGGCGGCGGGCGCTTGGGTTCATCCTCTTGCGCGTCAGGGGCCTCAGGCGCAGGTGAGGAAGAGGGAGGTGGTGGAGTAGCTGCAGGCGTAATTCAGTACAGGAGAATCGGCGGCCTTAAGTAAAGGGCGGTACCTTCTGGAAGCTTCTTCCTCTTCGGTGGCGGGTTAGAGACCTTGTAGGGCTCTTCACTGAACCGTCCTAATACAGCGCCAGTGAGCGGGGATTCTCGTTAATGACAGTAAATACCACCGGTTCTACACACCTCGAAACGTCAAGCAGTCCCAGAACCACTCCTCCCACACTATCTGAATGTTCGCCTCCCCTCGTTGGTTAAACTTCTCCGCATACCGCATCTTGTCCGTCACTGGCCTTCCATCCTCACCCTCCTCCCCGCTAGCATCGAGGCTGCTTGAGCACAGCACATGGGTCACACGCACAGGGCGCTCTATGTTCTTGACGTACGTCCCGCCATTCCTTGTTATCAGCCTGTTGATCTCCGTACGGCGCGCAACGTCCTCGATGCCAGAACAAGTCAGGACAACACCAGAGAACACGGGAAGGCGGTGTCTCTCGATGCTCTGTACGGGCAAACGTGTTCTTGTGGGCTCGATCCGGGTAGTGCAAATGTAAACGCACCTCCTGGAGATCCACATCATCCCCTCTGAGCCAGATCTCATGGCTTTCTGTAATCCAGGACGGATGCATTATCGTGATTTTGTTCTCTAATGCACACTACGAACATCTGTAAACATGCTGTTGCCATTGCAAATACGAGAGGATGTTTGCGTACTCTGTACTTTGCGCTTCCAGGTTCTACGGCGAGAAGATGTGTGACTCTGTCTGTAAGGTCGCTAAGGCAAACCGCGCCAAGCTCCAAGGCTTGTTTGAACAAGGTGGTCTGAATAGCGTTATGGAGCAAGTCAGCTCATTGCTTTCTTACACGACATAAATATACGAAAGACAGGCTACAACCCCGGATCTACGGTCCACAGATGATGTGTTTGTTGAACAATAATTGAGACAGTGTGGCCGTATTGCTTGCATTGCAGCCCTCTTTTGCCAAACTTCAGCAATCAGCAAAGTCTGCATGGAACGGAAGCACATCTGTGCTTCGTGCTTCTATTAGCAGTTCCGGATTATCACGAGACTATCTGCCTACGAAGGAATGTTAAAGGAACAGCCACTCACCTTGTCACTGATGCCTGTAGCACACATGTTAACGCCACGGAACGGGCGTGGGCAAAGATCGACGATGCTGTCCTGGCTGGCTTCGTCCGCATCCAGGTCAAGTCCCGCAAGCCATGACTTGCGCGTAGATAGGTTAGAAGATGTGGCACGTTCCTCAGGTCTAGCCGGTCGTAGTTTCACATTAGGAACCTAGAAAGCACCATCAGTGTAAAGTTTGAAAGAGGTGGTGAGCGATAGACGCACCTTGGCTGATTTGTTGCTACGTCTGCGGGACATGAAGCAGGTTTATCACTCCGACGAGGACCGAACTACTTGCAGCGCAGTTGTCCGTACAGGCTGTCCGAGGGTCGGAGTATATTTCCAGATAAATATGTAGCCAAAGATGGATGATAACAACAGAAGCGAACTCTTGCTACACAGCAGCCACAGACAGCCCAAGTTTAGCAGCCAGGACGCGCCGCGTCTGCTGCCGGGCGCGATGAACACGCTTTAGGGCCGGGCATGTCGCGCTTAGTCACGTGGGAGATGCACTTAGCGCCCTACTGCAAGATCGTTTGCTCGCCATCTTAGAAGACGTTACACTTCACTCCAGGTGTACCCACGGGCGTCCAGACAGCATGTGGTCGACAAGGACAATCCCGCTCTCTCTTTCTTTCCGTCCATGTACAAGACTACTGCAGCATGCAGAGCACCGCGCTCGCGGCTTTGCTACTGCGACCACATCCTCCGCCTCATCACCATCACCATCACCGTCCGAACTTGAGCCTAACACACACTATCGCATCACGCTACGACGCTCGGCAATTTCCCTGCCAGTGCGGTACAAGGGTACACTGGTCGCGCTTGGTCTTCACCGACGAATGCAGACGGTCTACCATCGGCATACCCCCGACATTGCCGGCAAGATCCTGCGTGTGAAGGAGCTCGTGCAGGTTGAAAATGTGCCTGCGTCTGCGGTGAGGAACAAGACAGAGCAAAGAAGGGAGCGGAAAGCGCCAAGGGGTTATGCCGTCGTGGGGTCGGGATTGGAGCTGGATCTATGACATGGACTAGCTGCTGCGAGGTTTTCAGATCACAGGTGAATAGCGACATGTTCTCAACACAACCCGTTGAAGTATTAACCTATTATAGCAGAGAACACGTCTGTTGAAAACAGGGGATAGCAGGTTCTGGATTTTGTCACGGCCCAGGTCTGCCGGCAGGCTGAATCCCGCAGAGCCAGAGGAGTGTTTTCCGAGTCAGGCCTTACTTGCTATATATCCAACAGCGTGTAATAATGCACAACCACTGAGGCTCATATTCTCAGACCCGCCGGACTCGCCCGAAGTCTCATTTGGGTATATTGATATCAGTTAAACTCATCCAAGTCTACCGCACGTCTCTGCTTGCACCAGTAAGAAGTCTCCTTACTCCCGCGAACGAGGAAAACCTACATTGATACCACTCCGGTACTCACCAATGTCAATACTGTACTCCATTCAGGCTGGAGGTAGGTGGTCTATTTTGAAATCGTCTATTGACATCACTGTCAGCCTCCGCTCCCTATTCGATAAAGCGTCCAGATCACATTGAACCTCTGTACATTCGACTGACCGTAGCCGCATCCACCGCCATGATTCCCCTTGCTGACCTCGCATACCTCTACTCGCCAAAATACTTAGCGGCTTTGTTAGCGTTTATAATTGTTCCCGACATCACTTCACGCACTGCGGGAATCATTTGCGCAGCGAGCCAGTTCCCTGAACTAGTCTTTCTGGTTTTGGGGCCGTCTTTAACCTCAAAATTCAAGCTCGGCCTTACTGACTTCCTCGCGGCGCTTGTGCTACTGGAAACCAAATTGAGAGCTTTAACATGGCTCATCAAACTTCAGAAGAGACACACAAGCTGGCAATACAACTGGATTGCAGACGCATGTTTAGTGATAGAAGTACTTTTCGCGCTCACCTTTATCACGGCGGGGCGACGATACATGACTTCGACATTCGGGAACGAATCGGAGAAGCCGGCGTTTCCAGAGGCGGTATGTGTCCACCAGTTCTCGTTCGTCCACTCGTGCTGATTGCGGCTCTTAAGGATAACGCACATGAACAGCCTCCCACGCAGATGGTGAGTGTTCCTGGCCGTCAACGTAAATTTGGTGGTCATCGTCCTCACGCCCCATAGACTGACCATGTCAGCCGCCAAGGTACGAACCAAGTCGCAGCCCAAAATGGAAACCAGGTTGCAAGTCGGCCTAGCGAGCTCACCCCGGAGTCAGTCTCCTTGAGTACCGCGACCGTGGTAGCCCTGCAACTTCCGCGTCGGGCGACTTGCCCTTCGTCCGAGTGCACGCTGCGCCAGTCAGCCCTCATGCGGCTGTTCAAGGAGTACTTCGAGACCATGAAGCGCAACACGAACTGCCTCAGGGAGAACCTCCGGCTCAGCGAGGAGGCTCTGCAGCTCCGCAGGGAGATGCGCGAAGTCGACGAAGAGATGACACAGCTGAAGGCAAATTGCCTCGAGGCCGTGAAGGGGACGAAAGAACTCGCGTACGAGCTGAGTCAGGAAAACAAAGCGCTGCGGGTAAGCGTGCATATGTCTGGTCCTGGCGTAGCATGCGCAGATGCTGACTCTTGTGTCCAGGACTTATTGGGTTTCTACCAATGCAAAATTGAAGAATTGCAGGACATCAAGTCTCAAGCTCTCATATCGCGCGATCCTGAGCCCGAGAGGTATCCGAGCTTCATCAGCCTAAGTTGATCTGCCTTGTCATTCCGTATTTTGGTCCGCTTGTCCCTGTACAGTCATGTTTCAAGCGATGGTACGATCACGAAGTCGGGTGCGGATGGCCCTCAAGAACCGCTTGAATACGACCTAAGAAGAGGGGCTTGAAGAAGACTCCGGTAATCGTTTCGACGAGTCGGTGCCTGCGGCGTCAATTAAGTATGACCAAATATTGATCGACCAGTATGTATGCCGGGACTCGTTATCAAGTCTCTAGTATCAGTGCTTCGGTAGAATGGCATTATCCGTGATGTTCCTCACTGCAACGCGGAAGTCAGACCCGGCATGTATGGCTTCAGATTGCCTTTTGACGCCAGATACAGCCGAGTCATTGTTATTCCCACTATTCAGCAGAGGCAGAAGACATGAAGCTTTCGACATGAGTCGCCTAATCATTACTATTGGTCCTTATCTACCGAGTCGGCTACTAATATGTCGAAGCCAAGGCCTGGGAGGAGAACCGGACTGCCGTGGGTCCGTTCCCCTATCGCCATGGATCGAGCAGCACCAGCAGATAAAGCGCAGAACCTAATCGACCGAGGCTTCCTCGCGCCCTATTTCCCCGCAATTACAGCTCAACTCGCCTGAATACCTCTCGTCCAACCTCGACATGGCTACCCGAGCGAACTCCGTCCCCCACCCTACATTGGTCGAGGTATGAAGACTACCGTCCGTTTTGCCGGTCGTGGCTCACGCATTTGCTGTGTTCAGGTTGACCCATTCATGTGAGTAAGAAAGCGTTGCAGAGTCCGCCGGGTCTAATCGAGCTGCCCTCTTCAATAGCCCCGCCGATCAACAGAAGGTCTGTACCTGCGATCGATTGATCGAGGATCCATCAACTTAGACCTTGACCTCTTTCTAGGGCATCCACAACCGGTGGCAGTGAGTATCGCCAGACAATGTCTATCCATCATCCAACATATCTGAGTCTGCCGCTAGTCCAGACATCCCCCCATTTGCTACGGTGAAGCCGGGAGAAGTGTTCAAGGTTCAGTGTGTCGGTGAGCTTCGCGTCGGCGTACACCATCATGTTTGTGGGTGGCGCTGAGGTGCCTGCAGACTGGACCGGGGCTCAAATCGGCAACAATGACTGTGAGTTTGGTTGCCAACAACAACGAAGCCTTTCACTAAGCTACGGTGTAGACAGCGACGATATTAAGAATGTCGACCTCACCAAAATCCACAACCTCTCTGGTCCTATAGCAGTTGAGGGTGCTGAGCCCGGTGACTGCCTAGTTGTGGACATCCTGGATGGTACGTATACTCCCATGGGCTACTAGCAGCAAAACCTATCTCAAGCTGCGAATCGCAGTCACTCCTTTCGATAAGATGCCTTGGGGCTACACCGTAAGTTCCCGTTATTGTTCGCCTGTAGAACATCTCTGATCTTTGGCCAGGGTATCTTTGAGTTGGAAAACGGCGGCGGTCTGTTCGGTACGCCGAGTCTGTACACTGCCCATGCATGTCCTGGTCTGACCGTCTCTAAGCGCGGGAATTCAAAAGTAAGGCCGCAAAGGCTATCTGGGACTTCAAAGGCGTGTATGCAACGTCGAGGCACATCCCGGGCGTACGGTTTGCGGGCGTGACTCACCCAGGTCTGATTGGCACGGCACCCTCCCCGGAGCTGCTTGCGACCTGGAACCAGCGCGAGGGAGAGCTCGTCGCTGCGAATCCGAACGCTGTCCCGCCCGTGGCACTCCTGCCGGTCTCGACTGGAGCATACGTCGGCCAAGACCTGCCGGACGATGTCCGCGCCAAGATCTACAGGGAGGGTGCGCGAACCGTCCCTGGACGGGAGCATGGTGGTAACTGCGATGTGCGTTGCTTCACGACATCGCCGGCCTAATCCAGCATCTCACGAACCTATAAATAGATCAAAAATCTGTCAAAGTGCGTGTGCTCGGCCCTCGCTGCTCCATTTTCGCTGAACGGTCATTAGAGGTTCACGCTGTTACTTCCCTGTCTTCGTGAAGGGCGCAAATCTGTCGGTCGGCGACCTGCATTTCTCGCAGGGTGACGTAAGTACTCATACCTTGCGATGTGGCGGCAAATATTCATGTCGTGTCATCACAGGGCGAGGTCGGTACACTTGCAAATATTAGCGTCAAAGTATCTGTGCTCTGACTGACAGCATCCCCCAGATCTCATTCTGCGGAGCGATTGAGATGGTGAGGATCTACGTCGTGTCCGCAACCCTCAACTGACTTGTTTTGTCAGGCTGGAATCATCACTTTCAGCACGAGCATTATCAAGGGTGGCGTCGAGAAGTTCGCCATGAAGCAGCCGATCTTCCTGGTGATGACTCCGTTCTCTTGTGTACTCTACACTCTGCTCAATCTCAGCCCCCTTCGTAGCCTTCCCCCGTTGATCCACTTTACTCCGCAAAGGTGCGTACACTGAATTACGCCTGTTTGTGTCTCTCGTGTAAACTTCTATACGTAGCTCATCTTCGAGGGAATAAGCGTTGACCTCCGTACGTACAGCCATCACGTCGTTCATCTAGGTTTTCTGACGCCTTCCATAGACGGAGATGGCAAGCAATACGACATGGATGCGTGCGTCTCTCCTACTCCGTAGACATGCGAGTTTCTCACCAGAAGGAACGCAGCACCGTCGCCTACAAACAGGCCGCGCTCAATGCCATCGCATATTTGATGAAGGTACGCTATATTCATGGATGGCTCCCTGTGCTCACACTCACGCCCCTTCCGCGACCTACAGCTCGGTTACAGTAAGTGACGTGCAGTCTCGTTCACGGCCTTCTCTAAAGCATTCGATATACCCCACAGCGCGCGAACAGTCCTGTATGTCGCCTGACGAATTGTACGACGAGACTCCTCACTTCTTCCCCCACCCGTAGATCTCCTGCTCTCGGCAGCACCTGTGGAAAGCCACGTCGGCGCCATCGTCGTAAGTCTGCGCCGCGCAAATCCAAGTCGATCTGTCAGCTGACCGGATGACCTCGCCAGGACTCCCCGAACGCCTGCGTCACGCTGGCCCTCCCCCTGGGCATCTTCGAGCACGTAAGCTGCGCTCTGAGCCAACGTCCGGGTGCTACAACTTGACAACCATGCCCAATAGGACATCCTGCCCAAAGACGAAGGCCTCACAAAGCACGATTATGGCCAATGTGCCATCAGGAGCGATGGTGTTGTCTGATAGCGTGCACCAAGTTGCATGCGGTTGAAAGACAACAACGATGGGCAGTAAATCGAATGTAATATATGTATTTATGTGATTGAATCCCCATAACGAAAAGCACACAACGACTGCACCGCACAGAGAGGGCATCCGTTCTTGACTTCAAACAGTAATAGTCGACGTCGAGAAAATATATTCATTCTTGATTCTCCAGACTACAAGATCAAAGTACAACATCCGGAAGGGAAAAAGCGGGACACACTTGGCAAACGACAATTCGCAGGGCAAGAGAACCGGAAGAAGACGAGGACAGTGAGAAGAACACTGCGATCTCACTCGTCCTCCTCCTTCCAGGTGATGCCGGCAGGCGCGGAGACCTCCCACCCGAAAGAACATACGACCGATCTCCCTGCCTCGACCTCATACCTGCGCTCCCAATACTTGTTCTTCTCCCCATGGCCATCATCTCCACCAGACAGTGTCACAAGTACGGAGTCTGCCGACACGGTGAGCCGCAAGTCGCTCGTCGCTGGCACTGCGTGGCGCACAAGCAGTGCGATGGCGAACATGTGCCGGTTGACCACCGTGGTCAAGTCCGCGCAATGTGTGCGCTCCGGACCCGCAACCGTGCCGAAGGCACCAAAGCGAGGCGGCTCGGGCCCCTGACGCATGGTGCGCGAGTACGACACCTCGACGGCGTTGTCCGCGCCGAGCGAGCACGCAAAGCTGCCGCCGGAGGGCACATCCTGCAAACGAACAGCCACAACAAGTCAGTATACCACACAGCCGCGAACTACATACCCGGACCAACAGCCGACTGTTGCGGTGTCATCCAGGGGCACGGCACCACGCACCTTCAGCTCGCCTTTGGCAACGAACTCGTCGTCGATGTACGCGTTCACGGGCCCGGCCAACAGGCGCACGGCAGCCGCGCCGTCGTTCGTCATGCGACACTCGACATACGCTGCTGCCCGTGCGTCCGGAACGCACACCCACGCGAATTCGGCCTTGAGCGTTGCTACAGAGAGCGACACCGCGTGCGGTAGGCCGTCGCTGGGCACCGGAGGCGCGCCATCTGCAGGGACATCCAGAGTCTCCGAATGCACGCTCGTGCCGAGTGCTTTCACGGTCGTCGCGGCACTTGCATCGCCAGTCGCAGCCTGCTCCGCGCTCTGTCTTGTGTCCTGGACAGCAGGGAACATGCTACCGTTCGAAGGGATGGTGGAGGGGGAACCGAAGAGCGCGTATCTGGGCGCCACATCGAACACAGATTGCTTCTGGGAGGCGTGATTCCCAAAGATGATCCCGCTGCATCCGTGATGGCCGGTTAAGAGGGAAGAATGGTTGAAAGCTGCCTCAGGAAGCGGTGCAGGCGGCGCTGCCATCCGCTGTGACGCAGATAGACCACGCGGGGCCAAAGGCGCGCTATTTATCTGTGGAAACACGGACTGTGTAGAGAACCTGGACTGGGTAGCAGGCGCAGGTTGGAAGAAGCCGGAGGGTCCTGTGAAGGCAGATTTGACAGGGGGATCAGACGGTTCGCTAGACGAGGTCTCGACGACGACGATCTTGCGCTCCCCGACATCGGGGATATTGGACGTGCAGTGCGCGGGCGCGGGCGAGGTGCACAGCGTGAGCGCCGCGTCCCTCCAGTCCTCGCCCGTGCGCTGCACGATATGCGCGCGGCGATGCAGCGTGACAGACTTTGCGGGTTGCCCATTTTCCGTCGTCACGTATAGCTCGTAGAACGGCTTCCAGCTGACATCTGTGACCACTGTGGGTATCGTATTCGTCAGTGATGAACAGGGTGCAATGACAACAAATGGCACTCGTACAATACGTCAGCTTCATTTCGACAGAGCACTCTTGAGAGGCTGCGATGACGACTGTAGCGTGACCCGTGGTCGCACCTATGTGCGGCCGCGGTACGCGCTCGTCATCGATCGCTCGCTCGATGTCCACTATCTGCTCCTCAATCTGTCGGATAGTGGACATGACAACGCGCCTCACTTCAATAATGTCATCAAAGAGGGACACGACGTCGCCCGGTGGGACCTGCGCGACGGTCAGCGAACGCAAGTAAGACGAGAGGAGCTCCAAGCGGTGCTGTTGGGTATCTTTCTCATCCTCAAGTGCACGCTTCTGCGCGACGAGACCGCGCAGCGACTCGGACGCGGGCTGGACCGCAGTTGGCGCGCCCGACGCGACTGCATACACGACGTCTAGGACGCGCGCGAGATCGCCTGTCCCTGTGACACGCACAGAGTCAGCCTCGATACTGCTCGAAAGGCGGAAAATGTCTACGACATTTCTGCCGACCTGCAACAGGCCTTGAGTAAGACACTTTCAGTTGCAGCAACATCAGATACATGCCTTCAGGTCAACTGAGAATACGCGCAGCACCTCTGCGGCAGAGGACTGATACAGCGTCACTGACTTGACTGGGATTTCGAACGCGTTCAGTGAGGCCATGAGAATGGAAGGGTGGGAGTTGGGCGGTGAGGAGTGGAAACCGGTATTTACGGCGCCCTGGATGGCTGAGTCAGGAAATAGTATGATTACTTGACAGCTCTGTTCTGATTAGTCGGCAGGCTGTGCTGACAGACTGTCAACGACGCCGAGTACATCGGTCTTGATAAGTACTTTGCTTTACCAGTACTGGGATGCCCCCCTCTATAGATGGCTACGATGCCGCAATAACCAAGCACTGCCTTCGAAGCTACGTGGCCTCTTACAATTTCGTGTGCCTGCTCTCACTTCCAACTTGGATGAGAGCAAACGGGCGACTCGTTGAGGAGTCCCTCCTTTCTAGACAGGGTGCTTGTTCTGACAATACAGCACCCGAGCAGCAAGACCCCTGGCACAGGATCCTGCAACTCAATGGAACACGGTATCTGGGATGCCGAAGGGCTCTTGAAAAATCTATAAGATGCAGCACAGCAGGTCTGACAGTCCAGGCTTTAGGATAAACGGATTCATATAATTTTGTCGCATAGATTACAGCTCATCATTGTCAAACTACTGCTTCCTCAGGGCTTGCGTTGAGTGTTCCACCGTAGGATATTTGATTAGAAGCGGTCGCATATCAGTATTGACAAGCTGTGTCGTGCAACACTGTGCCTACCCAGAGCATACCCAGACCCCTCAAGTCGGCAGGCCTGACCTGCCGCCAATGAGAGAGCAGGATTCCCCGGAATCTCTCGGGGTGTCCGCAATCCGATCAATAATCTTGGCTCCTGGGCCAATCAGGCGACGGCAGGCATAGTATATGCCTTAGATCATCGTGATCTGAAGAGTACCACTCGACTAGTGACTTCAAATATGCCGCGCGTTTACAGTTTCTAAGTTCCGAGTCCCCGAATGTGTATCAGGCACTGATTGAGCCATGAATAGTGGCATGTAGGTTGGATCGATACAAGGAATCCACAATGTGCGACACTTGCGTGCTTCATATCTTCTGTCCCTCTCCGAGTATTGATCTCATGACCCCCAGATTACCCGCTGCTTGTCGCCGACGTCCGTTTGCATTCTGTCGAGACATTATGAGGGCTGCCTACACGCATTCAAAGAAAGTCGCAGTGTGTGCAGTCTTTTTTACAATTGCATGTCCAACCCTTGACAGCCGGTCTCTCTTGGCACCTGCAATCCTTAGACTCGCATTTCACACCTTTTCCGTCTGTGAGTGAGGACGATCAACCCAGTGTAGTACGGCGCAGGATGGTTCCTCACCGTCATCTTTCCCCGATTGAGTAGGCTCAATAGTACCACCTGGGCAATGCGTGTATGGAAGAGGCTCACCAAGGACAAGAGCGTCAGACTTCGGTGCATGGAAGGCCATGGCTGATAACAGGAGAACGACACAAACTGTCATAGCCGTATGTGCATATATGCGATACACACTGATTGACCTGTGAGCAAGGTTTAAGGGTTATCGTTTGTGGTCAGCGAGATAGGCGGTATGTCGGACAAAGGTCCAGTAGACCCAGGCGTTAATCAGTCATGTCCTTCCCTGCTTTCCTTCCCCTCACCTTCGACAAGTTCGTGACTAACTATTTCTGGCAACGGGCATCAGATATTGGTAACCTCAGTTCTTGGAGGCTCGAGACAATATTTGTGATTAGAAATTACTGCTGCTACAGTCGGACTGTGTTGGACTGGATGTACCGAACATCTTCGTGCCCTACATGTCCTGAAAACACATGTCCTTGTGGATAATTCTTTGATGGCCTCAAAGTCAGGCTTGCGTGAACTTCGCACTCTGCGGCCGGACTACGTGATGGTGATCCGCATCTCTCGATGCTGAGGCGCTCTGCTGGTGCGTATTGGTCGCCGGCATAAGCCAATAGCATTTTCAGAGGTTTCGCTAATGGCGCTCTTACACCAGTCCATTATTTCCAGGTTTTCTAAGTCCTGTGTCGAATGTGTGTCAGGTACTGATTGAGCCATGAATAGTGGCATGTAGGTTGGATCGATACAAGGAATCCACAATGTGCGACACTTGCGTGCTTCATATTTTCTGTCCCTCTGCGAGTATCAATCTCATCACCCCCAGATCACCCACTACTTGGCAGCGTCTTCTTGTGGTTGCAATCTGTCGAGACATTCTGAGAGCTGCCTACGCGTATTTCAAGAAAGTCGTACCGCAAGATTTGCAGTCTTCCCGACATTCGCATGACCAGTACGAGGGAGGCGGTCTCTCTTGGCACCTGCACTCCTTGGATTCGCATGGACAAGCTACGGCTGTGAGTCACGACCATCAAACCAGTGTAGTACGGTGCAAGAAGTTTCCTCACCGTCACCGTTCCCCGATGAACGAGGACTAGTACCACCTGGGCAATGTGTGTAGGCCTGGGGGGGAGCCATGGGCAATAACAGGAGAGCGACACGATGTATCATAGCTGCATGTGCGTATATATGTGATGTACACTGATTGATCTGTGAGCAAGATTTAAGTGGTACCGTTTGTGGTCAACGAGATAGGCGGTATATCGGACAAGGGTCTAGTGGGCCTAGGCCCTAATCAGTTCTATCCTTCCCTGCTTTCTCTCCCTCCCCTTCGACAATTTTGTAGCCAACATTTTCTGGCAACGGGCATCAAGTGTCGGTAACCCCAGTTTTTGTCTCAAGACATTAGTTGTCATTCGAGCGGCCTGCTGCCACAGTCCGACTCGGCTGGGGGTACTGTACTTTTCGTGTCCAGGCGCTCTGTGGCTGGCTCGTTGTAAATTGTCGCATGGACCACTATGCCGCACAAGGATCCAATCTTCGCGTCACAATACGAGGATGACCAAGATACATTCAGTGGGAACGAGATTGGAAATCCGTCATCTAGGACGATATGCCCCCACCCCCCGCCCCACCCCCCGAAACAACAGTACTGCAGGTGTCTATTGAACGAGCTTCATGGCGCACGAGGCATCAAGACAACACAGAGTATCTATGGCAGTTTTCATATGGCAAATTTGTGAGGGAATAGTCAAGCCATCGGATCAGAGCCCACAGTCCCGTACTCATCCGTCACATCCCTGCACCCGGACCACAGTCCAGGCGTTTAACCAGCTGAATCAACTATTGACGGGCCGTGTGTTGATCTAGGTATTGTGGCGAGCGCCGAGCGGACGTCATCGTGTTCGGGTTGTTTGCGATACCTTCAGGTAGACTTTACGCGAGCTCTGAATCTCCGTAAGGTTTTTGCGCGTTTGATGGAGTTCAGACATCCGTACTTGTGCTCGCTTCCTGTCTTGAAAGAACTTCAGCACCGTTTTCAGGTTGTAAGCGATATATGTTTGTAAGTGCTCTAATTTCAAGTTACTGCTAGCGATACATAGTAGACAGAGTCCAACGCGCGAGAAGGGCGTGTGCGTGATTAAACGCGTGACATAACGCGATGGGCACGGAGGGAGTGTCACGCTCATCCTCTCGTCCCCATATCGTTACTTGAAAGTGGGAGAGCCCGGGAAGATCTGAAGAATCCACAAACCACGGTCGACTGTCGCTGTGCTCGTTTCGCGGTATACCTGTCAGCGAAGCCCACCTTGCCGCGTAGCCTGGCGTCGTGGTATCTGAATCAGCATGTTCCACCTCACCGCATTCCTGCTATACTCCACACCATCCATTATCATTGTGTGCGTAGAGATCTAGCCCAAATTGAAGCACACTAGTCCTGCTCCCCGATTCCTATTTTGTCGTGTGCTGTATGCACGTGCTGGCTCAAGATTCATTTCCCACAAACTGATGGATGTCTTCCCACTCAGCTCATCGTTGTCAAACCACTGCTACCTTGGGTATTCCCACCGTAGGATAGCCGACTAGAAGTGGTCGCAGATCACTATTGACAATGCTATGTCATGCATCATTGCGCCCAGCGAGTGCACTCCTAGGGGTGCGTGTTGCGTTAGATCGTCGTCAATTAACAAATACCGCTCGGCTAATGACTTCAAACATGCCGCACTCTTACACCAATATATGACATCTAAGTTCTGAATCCTATGTGAATGTGTATCAGGCGCTTATTGAGCCGTGAATAGTGGCATGTAGGTTGGATCGATGCGAAAGAACACAAAGAATCTGTGACAATGTGCGACGCTTGCGTGCTTCACATCTTCTGTCCTTCTTTGAATATGAGTCTCATTACCCCCAGATTACCCACGACTTGTCGCCGGCTCGAGTTTGTGGCAGTCTGTCGAGACATTCTGAGGGCTGCCTACACGTATTTTAAGAAAGTCGTACCGCAGTATGTGCAGTCTTCTTTACAATTGCATGTCCAACCCGAGACAGCCAGTTTATTTTGGCACTTGCAATGCTCGGAATAACATTCACAAGCTACGGCTGTGAGTCAGGACCACCAAACCAGTGTAGTACGGCACAAGATGTTTCCTCACCTTTATTTTTCTCTATGCCCGATTGAGTACCCACAATAGTACCACCTGGGCAATGTGTGTAGGTACTATCGCTCTGATAGGGGCCATCATTCGGTCCAAGGGAAGTCATGGCCGATAACAGGAGAATGGTACAAGGTGTGGCCGCAAGCATGTGCGTATATATACGATCATCGACACACTGATTGACCTACGAGCAAGGATCAAGGGGTTTCATTTGTGATCAACGAGATAGGCGATATGTCGGACTCTAAGGGTCCAGTAGACCTTAGGCCCTTATCAATTCTGTCCTTCCCTACATTGCCCCCCTCACCTTCAACAATGTCGTAGCTAGCCATTTCTGGTACCGGCACCAAGTGTCGCCGGTAACCTCAGTTCTTGGTCTGAGACATTAGTCATCTTTTGAGCTGCCTGCTGCTACGGTCAGACTCGGCTGGGTCGCGTACCGAGCATTTTCGTGTTCTACATGTCCTGACAAGACGTGCACATATAGACAATTCTTTGATGCTTGCGTGACTTTCGCACTCCGCGGCCGGACTGCTGACAGGTGATCCGCGTCTCGATGTCCGACGAGCGCTCTGCGTAGGGAGTATCTAGGGGGAGCATCCAAGGGGCAGGCGATCGGTGGATTACTCATATCAACTCTAGTGGTGGTAGTGGTACAATCGGTGACCGGGGTCCCCAAATTCACTAACTCGCTCGATTTCCGTAAATAACATTCTGCAAGTGCAAATCTTCAAATGTAGCTTCTAAAAGTTTGTAGCGTTACATACCCAACATACACTTGGTGCCTGTGCACTTGAAATGGCAGTTCGATAGACAATGTTCCGTGCGTGAGGAATACCAAGTGCGGCCTTTGGGCGCTTGTCTCGTCCTGCGCGCTCGCTGCATTATTAGCGCCCATCCCGTCTTGAGCTCATTCTATCTTGCAATCTAATCAGATCTGTCACTTCGTACTCTCTCAGAAGTACTAGTACTATATATACCACGAAATACATAACTTAAGCATGGATTATGTATTTTGGAATAACAATGGATGATCCGCCATATAACATAATGCAAGTTTTCTGCTTCAGTAGTATACTGTAAGCTTTTTCTCGACCACTGTTCTTCTCATTGCGAATCTCTATGAGATCCACCTTCTCTGATATCCCAATTAGCGACGCTATCAAGGCATCATGAAGTTTGGCTGCAAGCCAGCAGTCTCAATAGTAATAGGAGACCCAACGTGTAAATTGTCGAGGCGAAATACAATACTCAGATCGTCAGTGTACTGTAGTGTGGACGATCTAATCAGAGATAAGGAGGATGCCCCACCCAATCGGTGACCGGGGGCCAGCGCTAAACTAACGAGGGTTGGAGTGAAAAAATAACAGAGCGCCTGCCCCTTGGGAGCATCCACTGGTAAGGGGCGATAGTATGGGGAACCTGTGATCTTGGTCGCAAGGGACATGACAGTTGCATGACACCCCATGAGACAGTGTGGAGAAATACTGACTGTTAGGTAGTCATTTAGTCTTTCCAGTCATGCCGAATCCGAAAACCTAGCTCGGCCCCCGTGCGTATTCGGGAGTACTTGTTCGGCTTCGTTTGCATCTGTCGATTGGGGAAGTCTCCTTGAATCCATCCCCAAGGGCCGAATACCCTACTACAGCGAACAACTGAACCCTTCCTTGAGGACATCACTATGTTATTGTTGCATCAGTCTACGCATCCAACCCATGAAAGTGACAGATAGCAAGAGTCAATTCTAGATTCACTTCTCGCACGCATCTAGTTCATGTAGTAAAAAAGTTTCATTCGGGTCATTGGATCATGAGGGGGACGTGTCTGGTATCAGGCGGCTGCTACAAGATAAGTCTCACAACCCAAACGGACTCGAAGGCCAACACGCGGACTGTACGCAAGGCAAACGAACGTATGGTACTAAAGAACAAACAATCAGGTATTACAGAATCAGGGTACGGGGCGAGAGAGATCAATTATGTAAAACAACCGCGAGCGTACGGTATCACAGCTCGGGGAGGGCTGATCATATGAGAAAGGGTTCGTCCGTTTGTATGTCTGTCGAGTCCGAGGAGTAGGAAACACATAGACAGGGACATCTGCCCTTTTACGGCAAGGCGCGCACGCTTAAGCGAGGAAGGCAACCAGCGCAGCACCGGCAGCACCAACAGCGAACAAGTTGGCAGCGACGGCAAGCGCGCCACCTGTGTTCGCGGCGCCAGACGCGGAGGTTGTGCTAGATGCACTGGTGGAACCAGACCTAATGATGTGCACTGTGAGAGGTAATCACGACTGACTGCGTGACAGAACATACGCGGAACCAGAGGATGCGGGAGCGGTAGAGCTGGCAGCTGCGCTGGAGCCAGAGGCAGCCGTGGTAGCAGCCGCAGAGGTGCTGGCACCCGAGGCCGAGGAAGACGCGGACGATGCACCCGAGGAGGCGCTGGCGCTACCACCGATGCAGCTTGAGCCTGGAAATTTCATGAGCACAAAACTGGGAATCACATAATCGCACACGTACTGCCAGCGTTGATGTTGAAGGGCGCGCACTGGTTGGTAGCACCGGTGCTGTCCTTGATGGTCAGACTGACCTGCTGGCCTGTGAAGTGAAACGGTCAACTCTGCACGGGCTGATTTGCGATGCATAAGCAACTGACTACTCGTGATGTTCGTCGGCCAGGTGAAGCTGGTACCGTCCAGGGGACCATACTGCTGGAGAGGGGCGCCAGAGGGGTCGTTGCCCGGCTCGATGCTGTAAATAGACGAATGAGACATGCATACTCGACTCATGCTTTCAACCGGCTTACCTCTAGCAAATGCCCAGCCAATGAAGGTCGACTCGTTACACTCTGCCATATGCCTCAAAACAATCAAACGAACATACCAGGTAGTAAGGACCTGTACGAAAACTTCATGAGACACTGCACATTAAAAATAGAACGAACAAGCGTACCAGTTCCACCAGACCAGGTCAGCAGGGTAGGAATGCACTCGGACACATCAGAACTGCCATACACAAATGTCAGGAACGAACAGTAACCGTAGGCCAACTGCGACGCACGGAGTGTTGATGGTCAAACCAGCGACGCCAGAGGCGAAGGCGGCGAGAGCGACAAGGATGATGGACTTCATTGCTGAGGCAGGGAGCGAACAACAGACGTCGGTGGGGCGAGCTTGTGGGACGGGGAAGAGCTGGAAACCGTGGAATCAGGAGGTTGACGGGGGCCTTATATGACCGGAGGGACCCGGCTTGTTTGTTTGGCTGATCGAGGCACGCTGATTTTTCTCGGCCGTTCGACGGGAACGTCTGCTCCCTGACGTCGTCTATCGGTCGCCCAGCGGACCCCTCTACAGCTCCCGCCGCCTGCAGCCTCGCCGCCGCGGCCTGCGAGAGCCATCACCCGCTCGTGCAGCACAGTTGTATAGGGTTCCAGCCATTTCTACTGTGGGCGTAACGTGTGGGGCAGCTGCACGGAATGCGTCATACACAATCTAAGCGAAACGACCATCAGACATCTCCGTCTCCATGATTCCTTCCTCCGAGCCTATTTCCACCTAGTTTCCATCCGAATGATCGTCTGACCGTCTCACTGCCTGCCCGCTCCTCGGTCTGCGGCTGCCTGGTAGCCTCCCAAGTTGGGATGCGACCGCCTCAAAATTTTGCTGTCTGCAGATCAATTTCACGGACGCCGGAGCGTGGTCAGCAGGCCCGAAGTCAAACCTTGAATCTGCAGAAACGATCTCACGAACCAAGTTCCCCCGCTGCTGCCGGCTTGAATCCCTGCTGTTCTTTTCTCGCCTCCCAAGTGTGCAAGCAGACTCGAACTTGCTATGACTTGCCTGCGTCGTTTGCCATTGGAACAGTATTTATGTTGGGCAGCGTTGCTTCCGAATCCGGACTTTCCGTGCTCTCTCGCAGTGACGTAAGTATGCCAAGCCTACGAATGCTCCACGAGTCTCTGACGCAGCTGCCCCGCCGAATTCAGTCTTGAGCTAAAAATATAACATCCACTCACGCTCAAATCCTCGAGGCTTTGGCACCATTTTGGACATGTTTGTCACCAGATTAAACCTATTCGTTGTCAATCGTCGTATGGACGGCCATACTGCACGGGGATGCAATCTTCGGGCGTCGCGAAATATGAATGACAAGAATATATCCGGTGGGAGCGAAACTGGAAACCTGACATCTACTGGGATGATATGCTTCCTCCATGCGTCTGTTGGACGATCTTTGTAGTGCACGAGGCATCAATACAGCACAGAGTATCTATGGCAGTGCTCCCATGGCATGGCAAATGTGCGAGGGAAATAATAGTCAAGCTATCGGACCGGTGCCCACTTTCTCATACTCATCTGTGTTATCCCTGCACCCGGACATAGAACGCCCAAGGTACGGCGAGATTCACTGTCCACCAGGCGTGTGACCCATCGAATATCATGTTCACGGGCCGGTGTGTTGTAGCCAGGGATTGTGACGAGCGCACGCCATCCTGTTCGGATTGTTTGTGGTACCTTGCAGACTTCGCGCGAGCCTCTGTGTGAGTCTTTGCGCGTTCGATGGAATTTAGACAACCGCAATGTATCTTTGTTACTTGTGCTCGCTTCCGGTCTTAGGCTATTTTCAGCACCATTCTTAAGTTGTAGACCGTAGAATCTCCCAAGCTATCATTCTCTTCTATTTATCACATCTGCAAAGCTGCATTCCCCCTGGTAGAACGGCGGTAGCCTCGAGCAGGACGCGTCGTCTATAGATGTCTCGCGGCATAGGAGGAACCTCCTGTGCGAGGTACCTGTAGGACGGGCGTACCTCTGCGAGCCTCTGTAGCCATCAACGTGATGGGTAGATTGGCAGAACAATCCCCTGCGCGATTTGGCTGCTTATCCATCTTTGCGCAGCGCAGTGTGTGTCTTCGAATGGAAAAAAATCATATTATGATGTAGAGTAGAGAACAAAACCTGGTCGAGCTGCGAAGTCCGGTATATGGACTGTGCTACTTGAAGCACCCCCACTCGCTGCGCCAATGGGCCAACTACTCGGCGCAACATTCACAAGCTCATATAGACATGCAACGGGAGCTACTACAGACGATTGGGTGAGAGTGCGAGTCTCCTTGCCACACCATCATCTTATTACCTAGGCTACAGACTACTGGCCTCGTTCAAGAACGAGCTGCTGCCAGTTGCACAGGACGACGAATTGCCCGACAACGACTTTGCGAGCACCCCAAATGAGTGCCGTTAAGCTCCATAGTCGTACTCCTGATGTACCGTAGGCCCGAAGTACCGTATCGCAATGAAAATAGACACAATTTGATTCATATATTTTGTTTCGAAATGTCCGACAATCATATCATGTTACCAAGCAAGGAGATAAATCCAGGCTGCGTAATGTAATGACGGCAACCGGGATCCATGCGTGCCTACAGAGTCCGATACGTCTATGCGACTCCCGTGCTACAGACTCCTCCTATAGGACTGTCGCGCTACACGGGACTCCTGTAGACAGGGGTCTGGAAATATGCCTATGGGACCTACGCGGTCTATGCGAGACCCGCGTGGGCATCGTCGAGTTTGCAGATGTCAAGCGATCTAACTGAGTCTTTGCTCGTCAACGCGCGAGAAAGGCGCATGCGTGATTAAACGCGTGACATAACGCGATAGGCGCGGAAGGAATGTCACGCTCATCCCCAGATCGTTACTTGAAATTGGGAGAGCCCCGTAAGATTCCACATTGTCCGAGGAATCCACTCCACGCCATCCCGGAATTGTCGTTGTGCGCATAGATACTTGGCCTAAATTGGAGTATACCAGTCGTACTCCCCCGCTTCCTATCTTGTCGTCTGCTGTTACGCACGTGCCACAAGATTCAGTTTCCCCAAACTGATCTCTTCTCGCTCAGCTCATAGCCCTATAACGAGCTCAAGGGATCCTGTTGCCCAGCCATGACCAACATGTTGCACAACTGGCTACACATAAAGCTACTGCTGTCGCAACTGGAATTTACATCGATGAGGTGATCGTATCTCACAGATGTATAGCTCATGCGATGCTGAATGGGATTTATTATAACCCTGCATGTCATCGGGTCGGATCTCACGTAACAGTCCAGCCTTGGTGAGTCTCATGAACCAAAAACATACTGTCGCAACATTGTCCGAGATATTGACCAAGATATGCCATCAGCTGAACAGCATTGCCGATGACCTGATGTCGATTCTTCTGGCTATACGAACGATCGTCAACATGTCATCATGCATCAATCATCTCCCTGTCGAGCTCCTCACCGATATCTTTGCTCATGTATCCTCTCCATTCGTGGATCGCCGAAGTAATGCAGAGAGAGAAGTGGTATGGCCGACGCTTTTCGGACTCAAGGACGCCACCGCTTTAATTCCCCTGATGCATGTATGCCGCCACTGGCGCGCCGTCGCGTTGCAGTCATCATCACTATGGACGACTCTTCATGGCCGAATGCATACATTGGAAGCCGACGAATACCTCGCCCGCTCACAGGGCACGGCGTTACATGTTGTCAATTTTCCTCATGGCCGCCTCGATATTGAGCACTTGTGCCAAATGTTCGGATCCCGCATACGATCACTTTTTTGCGACAGGTCATACGATCATAGATGCCTCGAACTTGGCGACACTAACATCGACACATTTGGACTAAGCTCAGCCTATTCTCTTTACCCCCTTCCTTCCCCGTTGCCACTCAAGAGTACTACTAGGTTAAAGGTGCTCGTCTTGAATCACATCAGGTGGATCCCGGAGAACAGCTTCTCGAACTTGACGCATCTCTTCATTGCAAACATTCAAGTCCGCACGTCTCAGCTGCTCGAACTACTGGCCAGCACACCAAAAATAACCGACTTGGGCCTGCACGAGCTGCGTATCGACTTGAAAGAGCGCTCCTCTGAAGGCCTTGGCTTTCCTGTAGCCAACCTTGCTTACTTGCGCCGCCTTAGCGTAGGAAATTTAACTGCATCCCATATTTTTCCTCTCTCTACCCAGATGATTGTCCCTTCTCTGTCAGCCGCGAGTTTTGATGGATATTATCCCATCATCATCCCGACATCGTCTCGTCTGCTCACCGGCATTGAATACATAGCCGTACGCATGTCTTCCAGCAGTGCTCAGATGGCAGTCGTCGCCACGTGCCAATCGTCCGCCGTGCGCTTTTCACGTCCCCACAACCGTCGTAGTGGGTCATGGATTGCTGGATCGCTTGCAAAGTTGCCCGGTCGGGAAACGATCAGAGAACTCTGGCTCGACCACGAATATGCCATTGGCCGCGACGACCTAAAGTGTCTCCTTCAATCTCTCCCAGGACTGACGAGGTTGTATACCAACGCGTCTCAGTTGCAACACCTGCACGGCTGGCTTTCGAACTCAAAAAATCGGATTTATTGCCCGAAGTTGACGACACTTTATCTGATGTGGACGCGCCATTTCCCCGACAGAATATTCGATGTCGTCGGCGACCGTGCTCGTCTATGCTGTCCCCTGAAAGAAGTCGTCATTCACCAACGCGGACCATCTTCCGAGGGCGATTGGAGGGATCATGCGCTTGAGGCCCTCCAACCTTACGTCGAAACGATACGGTTCGTTGGACCGGATGGTGAAGCCCCGATGATAGCCGTCCCTGATGCATGCATTAATGGGAGCCCTTCGCCGTATTTTTGGCCGAAGGACTGGGTAAGCAATCGCTTTCATGAGAGGTGTTGCGAGGCTGATCGGCATACGGACGTACGCAGTACGCGTACTAGTTGCAGAACATTGCTTCGGAAGTTGTACCCTGTGATTGGATTGGCCGATCCAACAAACAAAGTCGAGATGGATATCTATGCCGATTTCACGCATTTTACGTAGCCAGATGTGTTCACATCATGGGTAAGCCACTCGCGGTAATGATCCAAGTGAAGGCTGGCCATGCCACCAGCGATGTTACAAGTTTACGCCCTCATACATGTGCCAAGATTGGTCTGCTCCCGGGGTGAAGGGGGGTTTATTCTCTATGTCATTGTAGAGCTTCACGGTCAACGCAAAGCGTAGTTCCTCTTGAATCAACGATTTGTTTCACGATGTAGCACGGAACTGTGACATAACCTGTGTGATGGGCAGTCGTACAGAATTAGTCCTCCGATGTACTAAACTGCTGTGAGCAGACGTCGTGATGGCGAAGCATTCACAGCCCGCTTTACTACATTAGTGACGGCGGATCGCTCCTGAGCCGGACTTTATGTTCGCCATGTCTACATGGTCATTGGTATCGTTCCCCAGGTAAAACATATGGGTACATGTACTAGATCTACAATCACATTACAAACAACGAATCGAACCATGCTATCCAAAGAGCAGGAGAATGTCCACGTTCATGCGCACGAGAGACGGGAAGAAACTGTGTCGACAATTTACTTCTTCTTTTTACCCTTCTTCTTTCCAGGCCCACCGCCACTGTTATCCCCTGTGGTCGCAGCGGATTCCGACCTCGACACCGCCTGTGGTGTGCTAGCAGCGTCGCCAGTGGTGTTGCCCTTTTTACCCTTCTTCTTAATCTTCTTCACTGGTATGCCCCAATCTTCCTCTTCCTTCTGCTCGCCGTCACCTGCATTCTCTCCGTCTACATTCTCGGCCGGATCGTCACCTGCGCCCTCCTCACCATTAGCACCTTCGCCTTCCGCGTTAGCCGCTGTGTTTGCTTCCGCGTCAGGCTGGGGGACTTCCACCTCGGTTACCAGCGGCGCTGCTTCGGCAGTCAATTCCGGCTGAGACTCTTCTGGCTTGGTCTCGGCAGCAGCAGTCTCTTCAGCCTGCCTGGCACTTTCCTCCTCTTCCTGCTTGTTAGCTTCAGCCTCTGCCGCCGCCTCATCATCGGCAATGCGCTTGGCTTCAGCGGCCGCTGTTTCCTCAGCCAATCTTGCAGCGTCAGCGGCCGTTGCTTCCTCGGCCAGTTTTGCAGCGTCAGCGGCTGCTGCTTCCTCAGCCAGTCTTGTAGTTTCGGCCTCATCAGCCTTCCGCTTGGATTCTGCTGCTTCCTCCTCCGCCTTTCTTGTCTCTTCCTCCAACTTCCGCTTCTCCGCTTCTTCTGCCTCCAACCGCGCTGCCTCTGCTTGTGTCGCTTCCTGTGCTCTCTTTTCTTCCTCCGCCTTTTGGGCCTCCTCAAGTTTCCTGGCCTCTTCAGCTTTTGCGGAGTCTGATTCTTGATTGGCAGCCATCCCACTGCCAAACAATGTACTGCCAAACCCTCCGAACAAGCTGCCACCTCCGTTGCTGCTTCCAGCTTTTGACTTGGGGCGACCAGTACCCCACGCCGGGCCGTTAGATAGGAAATCAGAGAACAGGCCCCTCGCCTCATTGCCTGCAGGCTGGCCAGGAGATGACAACAAGTCAGAGAGACCGGCAGGCGGGGGTGGTGGCGGGGCTGTCGTGTTGACGTCGGTAAACCAGCCAGGGTTGTCTGCGCCATTGCTCCAGCCGCCGCCATTGTCGCCAGTGCTACCGTTACCAGCGGAGTTGCCCCAATCACCGCCTCCGTTATCCCAGTCATCACCGCCTCCTGGGTTGTCCCAGCCACCGGGAGCATCAGCCGATGCTGTCTGCGCCTCTGCGGGTGCAGGCTCAGGTTCCTCAGCCACCTCTGCTAGCGTTTCCAGTGGTGCAGAAGCGAGTTCCTGGATGGGTTCTAACGTAACCCCCAGCGCCGGCTCAGGTTCGGGTTGTGGTACAGAGTTCAGTGCAGCTGGCTCAGAGGCTTGCTCTGGCTCACTGGCCGGCGGCATGTTCCATGTGGGCGGGGGAGGGACGAAAGCGTCATCGTAGGGTGATGGGTATTGTGGTGCTTCAGCTAGCGGCGTTGTGTCAGTCCTAGGTGTAGGGACCTTGGATGCCGACTTCGGGGTGGACGCCTTTGAAGCCGCTTTGGATGTCGCGGCGGGTGTAGGTGCCTTGGACGCTTCCTTAGGTGTCGAAGCCTTCGACGCGGTTTTCGGTGTAGGTGCTTTGGACGTCCCTTTGGGAGTAGACGCCTTCGAGAGGGACTTTGGCGTCGGGGCCACGGAGACTTCTTGCGGCGTAGAGGCCTTCGAAGCCTCCTTGGGTGTGGGGGGCTTCGAGACCTCTTTTGGTGTAGGAGCCCTCGTTGCATCCTTCGGTGTCGGTGTCCTCGACAAGTCTCTCGGCGTCGCCGCCTTCGATACCTCCTTCGGTGTTGCAGCGTGCGAGATCTCCTTTGGCGTCGCTGCGTATGACAAGTCTCTGGGAGTGGCCGCCTTCGAGACTTCCTTCGGGGTCGCGACCTTCGAGGCCTCGCGGGGAGTCACAACTGCGGTCTCATCCCGTGGGACTACCATGCTCGAACGCACAGAACCACCGAGCGGTGATGGCAGCGGGCTTTGCTGCTTCGATGACGCGCCCCATACGGAAGAAAGGGTCTCGCCAAGTTGAGTACTCCCGCTCCTAGTTGAGGCCATCGAGCGGCCCGAGGTGTTGATGGAGCGGTCAACCTCGCGCATGGGCTCGGCGCGTGGAGTCTCCGGTATGATCTCGCGTTCCTTGCCCTTGCCAGTGGCCGATGACGAGTGGATCTCGGTGCGAGCAGTGCTGCGAATCGACGACGAACGCGAGAGGTCGGACCGCGCAACGTCCATGCTAGGTATCTTGGGCGTTGGTTGTGCCGAGTGCGAGTGCCGGGAGCTGGTGCGAGTAGGATCGCGTGATGGAGCGCGCGATGCTTTCTGCGAGGGGTAATCGGATTGTGAAGACACAATAGTCATATGATCTTCCGGAGAATCGTCTGGTTCGTCCTCCTCCGCGCGGTGTCCGCTCTCGTTGTAGACGATGGATGCAGGGCCACTGCAATAAACATGGAGCGTCAGTACATGTTAAGACATGCTTCAAAGCGACACGTACTATCTCGTTTTACCCTGATTTGAGAGGTATCATACATCAGTATACCAGTTTTGCAATAATGAGCAAGGACTCACGTTGTCAATCCACTTGATGCGTGCCCTGAACTCTGTCAGTCCGAAATGGATCTCAATGTTGAAGACGATGTTGTAGTATGTCTTCCCACTTTTCCCTGGCTTCGCCTGTGCGCTCCCGGCCAGCGGGGACAAATCCGCACGCACATAGCACAGGGTCGAAAAGTCCTCTGAACGACAAGTGTCAGGAGAGGAAACGTTGTCGGACTGCGCAAGTTCGAAACTCACCCTTGTTTCGTAGTATCCACTTTGGAATCGTATCGCCACCACGGTAACACCAGAGCTCGACCTCAAAAACTGAAAGAGTGGCGATGTTGGTCACCTCCGTGCAGTACTTCCTGCTGAAAACGGTCGACTCTTTGACTTTGAGTCCCTGTTTCCATCACAGATGCGCATACGTCAGCTGGTCCTGAATATCACTCCTCCAGCGCTCGTACGCACCCTTGATAGGATGCAATCGAACGCATCAGGTAAGAGTTTCGGCCCCGATGGCAACTCGAAGAGCCGATGCTGTCTCGCGACGTGCTCCTCGTCTTCTGAGTTGAACTCGCGCAGGTATTCCACGCCGTACATGAACTTCGACATGCGCGCGGAGACATGGTGGTCGCAGTAAAAGCCGATCGCACCATCTGCGACGGCCTTTGAGCTAGGATCATACCCGTGTTAGTGTACGAACATTAGGATGCGTCAAATGTGCATACGTTTGGCTGTCTGGTCGGCTGACGGTGACATGGAGCGGTGTCAGGCGTTCTTGTAGTTGACTAAAGAGCCATGGACTGGCCGCAAATCCACCGACAAGCCATACGGACTAGACGAGTGAGGTCGGCAACGGAAACCGGGGGATGGTATGCATGCCTACCTTGATAGCTCCACCGGAAGCCTGTATCTGTGCCTTGATGGATGCGACTGCCGACTCTATTGATGGTTCGAATAGCGCTGCTACCTCAGCTCTGTCAAGACAGCAAGTGAATTCAATGGTAGCATAGTGAGAATCAGATATTACAAACCCTGTCAACTTGAGCTGACCACCACGTATGCCCACCGTCGGGTCTTTATCCAACGGAGACCCAAATGGCACGAACTGCAGCTCCTTGTTGTCGCGAAACAGTCGCTTTGTCGTCTCGTCGAAGCGCTTTGTGATGTGATCCAGCGAGTCCGGCGTACCATACTTCGACGCCTTCAATTTCTCTATCAAGCACGACAACGTGGTGTTAATTTCACCGGCAAACGTCACGTCATGATACACACACCCTCGAAGAATGCGCGTGCCCGACGACTAACGAACACGGAGCCAGCGAAGACACCTGAGGGACTGTGAGAGGCTAGAAGACAGGCACGTTGCAGAACGTACAATCGGGCGGCGCGATCTCTTCAATCACAAGGGGAGCACTCCCGCGGATGGCGTATGAGCTAATGTCAAGGGTCCCGCCTCCGGCGTCTGCAACAATGAAACCATGTCCAGATGGATTCTGAGAGAGCCCGATCACCTCTTCTGCAAAACCTTCGCGAGATAGTGACGTACCTGCAAGACGTCCGCTGCCAGCCCGTTCAACACGCACGCGTGCAGACTGGCCTCACCCTCTGTCACAAAGCGTATCCGTGCCTTGCCTTCGTCTGTATCGGGTATCAGTCCACCGTACACCGCTGCTCGGCGCATCTTCGTTTGCTGCGCTCCCTCCCACCCGTTTGGATGGCTCAGCACGAACTGAATGTCGTGTTCGACCGCTCGCCACAGAGACAAGCCGTTCGCGTGCGTGTCGACGATGAAGGAACGGGTACATTGGAAGAGATATGCAAGGAAGTCGCCGAAAACATCCACCGCGTTCTTTCCCCGGGGAAGCGGCGCGAAGCGCATCCCGTTCATCTTCAGCTTCATGGCCTTTGGCCGCAGCCGGAGTTTGAAGCTACAGGAGCTCAGATCCCGATACCAGCGTGATCGATACATCACACTCACAGCTCGACCATGAGCCAATTCTCGTCCTCCGCCTCCGCGACGATCGAGGCACTCTCGGCTTCCGCCCCTGCCGCGACCATCTTTGCGGCACGATCGTAGTACATGATGGATGGTATCTTCGAGTTACCTGCAACATGTTCCTGCCCCGGAAATCTACACACTAAGCACGATCAAGGCCAACATGAAACGCACTCCACATACCGAGTAACCCCGTGGATCTTGGGAACCTCCCCGGGTTCAAGAATTGCATACGAGACACCACTGAAGGTTGTCCCAATATCGAGAGCGAGTACGAGACTTCGCGAGAGCCCGTTGTAGGGCTTGCGGGTGCCCGACGCGGGCTTCATCGTTCAAGCTGGTCTTCGGGTACGCGCAGAAAGGTCGGACTGTCACTGTGAAGAGTAGATAAGAGACGGCCAGGAGAAATCAAGAGCTACAGCGCCGTAGACTAGCAGATATAGGGTCGCACGCCGTCGTGCTCGGACCTAGAGCAGGTGAACAGCCAAAAAGAAAAACACGAGGCATCATAGAACTATGGATAGAGGTGTCCATTGTAGGCCATTCGCATGTAACGCGTATCACGTAAGCATACACGAGTCCGCAACGCGGTTGTGGCGAGGCGATCAGCATGCGAATAGCGACGCGTCTCCTCCCAATCGCGTCCGGGTGTGCTGGATATCCATCGAACCGCAGCGATGATGTAGTGCAGGACAAAATGCGTGAGGAAGATGACACCGGCGGCGCGCTCGCAGTGCAGGCTTGCACCTTCCATGCGGAGACGAAATGACTCTACGTCAGCACCACCACGCCTGGACCGCAGCAACATGGAGGATACCTGCAAGCAAAGCTGTGCATACCTTGTAGCTGGATTTGATACTTTGGGTTATCTTCCAGAGAACCCTTTGCCACGAGACTTCAGGACCTCTGATATCCAGATGACTCGCCCATGACCTGCAGTCGGGAATGGCCCAGTCATCTCAGGCCTGTTTCACGCCTGCGGGTTCTGTCAGGGTCCGAAGTTCGCACACTCTTTCTCGGAGATGTTATGCCTGTATGCGCATTCGACTCGGGAAAAATCATAGAAGGCGCTTTCTTGATACATAGTCGGACCAGATGGTTGGTGAAGAGCAGAATGATACTTAAAAACAGCATGCAACGAGAATGGCAAGTAACAACGTGTATATTGTGCAAGATTATGGATGAAAGCTATCGTGACGTGTGAGGAAATAGAATACCCGAGTGAACCCAAAAAGGGAACCGAGGCTACCATAAAAGGGATGCGCTTGCGCTGGATACAACAAGTTCTGGATATGGATCGACTCTCATTCAATATTCATGTTCGATATGTGGTCAGCAACGTAGAATATACAAGTTCATTACTTAAGAAATGTGATCACAACCCACCGATACATGTGCCCATCGTGGGCACTGAGACGCAGTCAAGACAATCCGCAGCTACCCTGTGCCCCTGCGTAGACGTGTGAACGCCTAAGCTCCAACTTTGTCAGCAGCTGTACTGTAGCGGTATACTTGCATGTACATAAGGTGTCTCTAGCCCCAACTTTGAACGTTACCTCTCAAGTTTACAGATATGTTGACGATAAATCAAGTCTCTTGCTGATCTTACCGAAAGCAGTGGTCCTCTTTCCTTTCTTGGTCTGTAATGACGGCCCTTTGACTATCTGTTATCAACTTTGTCTTGCGATACTCCGGCGCTTACATACATCGTCTCCTTGACTTCTTACCAACATGCATGCATGATGACCTATGCGGTCTGCTCTTACATTGAACAGACCTAGTCCAGACTCACGTTTGCAAAAGTGTCTGACCAGCATCCTGAAGCCGGTTACCGTTAGTCCCCTGACCATCGGGGATCTCCTCATAAACTCATACTAACTCACGGAATACCACGCCAAGGCCTACAGCGTATGAAATAGCCGGGGTGAAACAGACGCCTCGACCCTTGCTCGAAGCATCGCAGAAGAATGCACATGAACCTCACTCAGGAGACGTCGCCTCAGGATGAGCGGCAACAGAGTATGATCGAATGTGGCCTCGCGGGAAGACTTCGGCGGCTGCAACTTGCCTTCTGCAGACGGCTTCACTCACACCATCCGTCAAGAGCCATTCACGTATCCAGCTCTTCGTGCACGACCCACTGTTCGGAAGATAGTTGACGAGAATGGATACATCCGCCGCTGAAGCGGAATAGAGGTCAGATGGTACTCGAAGTCAATGGCTAGTAAGGGAAGATTACGTCCCACTGGAAAGCGCCGCCGGCATCAACACGAGTTGGCGATCGCCGATACGCGTGGATGCAGGCCCCTCCCAGCGACGCAGGATTCTCTGAGTCCTGCCTCACACAGCGCAGTCACAAGCCTGCAGTCCCTTCTGGGAGGACTCTCATATTATAGCAAACAGAGTGAGGTCCGCGAACACACATCTACCCCGCGAGTGAATCGCAGCCACTAATCCGCATCATGCATGTCAGACTACCCAGCGACTCCACCGTCGAGTTCTACACCCTCCGCGGGCCTGCATCGCCCGCCAGGTACAGGACCGAGTCAGGCGAGCACACGCCCGTCAGCGATCCCATCGCGCGCCTGACGCGGGAGTGCAGCGCACTTCGCCTCCGACTGGCTACCGCCGAACGTCGAGAGCGCCAAAGTCTGTACGACTCATCGACTGCGCCAAGCTCCGCCCGCACGCCCCCCTCCGCCCGACTAGAACTCGCCATCGACACTGCATTCGCGTACAGGGACACCGCACGTACACAACTGCAGACTGAAGTCATGAAGCTCGCAGAGCGCTACAAGGCGCTAGAGAAGACGCTACGGGAGATGCAGGAGACGCTGCGGACCCAGGACAAGGAGATCGAGGCCTTGAGGCAGGAGAGAGACAGGCTGATCGCAGAGAGGGATCAGGCACGCTCGGAGAGAGATCAGGAGCGTGCAAAGGGTCAGATTGTTACTGATGAGAGCAGGTCAGACAACGGTGTCGTGCAGATGTCTAACACAGGAGAGAGGAAGAACCGACATCGCAGCCGCAGTCGCAGCAGACCTCAGGTACACCGTATGGAACCCATTCCTCCCGTACCGGCTACCCCACGCGTGTCCGCGGATGCGGAGCAATTCGCTCGTGCGCGGAGCATGGACATCTTCCTCACGAAGACAGACAGCTGGTCCGGCGCGCAGGTCATACAGGCTGTCGAAGACTTGAATACAGAGATAAACCAATTCGCCGCATCGGCGACCGAGGCATGTGTGTTTGCGAAAAGAATGAAGAGCCGCAATACTCCCCCGAACGAGGACCCGAGCGCGATGCAGGAGGAGGAGAATGCTCCATGGCTGGGTGAGGCCTTCGCGCGAGTCCTTGGGACCCGCGATCACGCACAGGATCCAATCCTTGTCCAGCTTGCGCTGCAAGCCAGCATCGCGACGTGTTGCGCCCGCTCGCTGTCGCTCTTCTGCGTAGGCTTCCCGTCCAAGCTCGACGCCCTGCTGTCACGTGTACTGACGTATATGCAATCTGCCGGTACGTCTCTCATGTTAGCCAGATGTCATGATGCGCGATGGGTGCCCATACCCGGTTCCTTGTAGAGCCCCAGGCGACGTCAGCACGGTGGCGGGCGCTGACACACCGGACAATTCGTATGTTGTATCCGGGACTGGAGGAGTACGCCATCACAGAGCTCGTGGCGACGATGCTGCGCTGGTCTGCGACTGTCTTCGCGCTCGCAGGCTCGTCGCCTGCCGGCGAGCACACGCCGCCGCTCGTGCTGAGCACGCAGCTGCGGCGCATCGCGGATGCCGTGTACAAGCTGGCGCGTGTGACGCGCGAGGAGATCCTCTCGACGGGCTTCGAGGTCGTGCTCGTGGAGAGCGGTGAGGAATTTGAGGACGGCAAAATGACGAACAAGATGCGGGATTACGAGGAGTATCTCGCGGACGACCACGGGCACGCAGGGGCGAGGCCGGACGGTTATGCCGGCGGTGACAGAAAGGTGAATGGCGATCAGGGGCAGGTGGTGTTGTGCACGACCGAGCTCGGCCTGCGCTGCATCACGAGGAAGACTAGCAAGGGCGCAGCATCTGACGAAGATGCGCAAGATGATTTATTCGAGAACAGAATGCTGCTGTTGCCCAAGGTGGTCCTCAACTCGGGCGTGGATGCAATCGGCCGCGCATAGCGAGCGTATTTAGTCTGAGGGTGTTCGCCTATTTACGTGGATCCGTATCTTTTTGCTTCATGTGCTTGGGCCAATGACTCGAGTGAGAAATGTAATTCTAGTGTATTTAGATTATTGTGCCCGGTAAATTAGTGGTTCTCGGAAGTTGTAGCAATAATGTCAGCAGTACGTGTCGAGCCCTTCACAATCAAACTGGCGTTCCACTTTCCTTTCGAAGTGACGAAGATCGCTTGCGTGCACACCTGGATGGATGACATACAGCGCATAATCAGTTTGCCAATATCCTTCATTGTATCCGGGGAGCTCGATGCGAGATGTCGAGCGTAGTCGTCAATTGGCACCGGCCTCTGGAACGCAATTCACAATGTCTCGTAAGGCATTCGTCCGGTTCTTGCGAAGCCGCGTCTCAGATGGCACCTTCACAAGTGACTATCATGGTGGCTATCACGACGTCAGTGAAGAGTTTTCTGTAGCCTGTTAGACATATGTGCGAGGAACACACGCACCGACCGCATCACAGTCTTGCGTATGTTATAGGACACTTCTTGATAGTCACCTGCTTTCATGACAATTGCGAACGATGCCCACGACAACGGTCCAAACAGTCACAGTACCTGCTTATTCTTATGAAACTATGTGTTCATCGCTCTCATAGAGATTCATTGTGTCCAGGAAGAACATGGGGTATCATTTGACATTTGGATACCACTAGAATACAAAGTAAAGTTGAGGACATGTCGCCGAATCATGAAACTCCGTTTGACGTAGAACGGTGTCAACAGAGCGATTAAGTAGGCAATTTCAGTCAGGGCCACCACATAGAATGAAGTAGCACGGCACTAGGCCCCATTGCTAAGCGGAACGCTAGCGGGAACGCAGGATGCAGTGGTGGTCGCAATTCTGAAAAAAAAAGATCGGCGCCTGAAGCTTTATGTGAGCCGCGTATATCAATCACGTGATACATTGATTGATCGAAGCAAGTGAGCTCCTAAAACGGGATGGCGCCTTGCGACCATGCCACGGAGAGCCAGTCAGCGTCTGACTCTGCAGCGGATGTTAACATGGACCAAATTTACTGGTTTATAGACTGGATATGGACACATGTTAAAGGATACCCACCGCCTGCCCTGGATGGCATGCGGCTAGGTCCTCCCGAACGCACCCATAATGCGTTAATGGTAAGCTCGCGAGAGATCCTCGTGACCGACCAGAATCTCATCACAAGTGAAACAGGTGCAATTCTTTACGTGGGACTGCCGGCACCCGCATATGAGCTGGTGGCTGCATTTTGAATCCGAAGTGCCCAGGCTCGCAGAGTTGGGGGTCACACAAGTCTGGCTTCCTCCGCCAAACAAGGCTATGACGAAGGTGAGCGCTCAGGTATAGCAGACGTAATAGGCAGGTGACATTCTTTGTTTCCTCTCCCTCCTAGGATGGCCAGGGGTACGACGCTTATGACCTAGTACGTGCTCCGTCCATCTTGAACGAAAGGCAGCTTAACGCAGAGAAGTGGGACCTAGGCGAATTCAACCAGAAAGGCACCACCGCAACCAGATGGGGAACCAAAGACGAGTTAGCACATGCGATTGCTACTGCACGAACGCATGGGATAGACGTGCTGATTGACGCTGTCATGAACGTACGTTGCCAAGCCATGACGATAACTCGCGTATCCGCTGACCGCTGAACATACAGCACAAACTAGGCGGTGATAGAGTGGAGACATTCATGGCTATCCCAGTAGACCCGCAAAATCGCCTCAGGGACCTTACACCGCCGAGGGAAATAGAAGTACAGCCCATCGTCGTACACGTTGAACTGCCAATTAAACAGCGTCTACATAGGGATGGACTGCTTTCGACTTTCCAGGGCGCAAGGGCAAGGTAGCTGTTCAATGATGCTTTATGTCATTTTCTACGGCTGAGAACTCAAAAAGTACAGCACGCTGCGATGGACGCACGAGAACTTCTCTGGTGAGTTATACCCGTGTAGCTCGCCCACCGTGGGCTAATCTTGCAGAACAGGTTTGGATTGGGACCAGAAGAAGCGAATGAAGGGCGTCTATCGCATCACCGGAGAATCCCATCGCGGGTGGTCTCGGTTTGTCGATAGCGAACTTGGGAACTACGACTATTTACTCGGAGTTGACGTTCGTACTTTCCTGCTAGCACTGCACTGCGATACTTATTGTTTACGGAAGATTGACCATCGTCACCCCGAAGTCCGCGAAGACCTCTTCGCCTGGGGTCAATGGGTGCTCCAAGTCCGAGTCCCATTTTCCGGCTTGGGGCTATGATATTGACAGCAACTCAGTCAACAGGTGCAATAGGGTTTCGACTCGATGCGATCAAACATATAGATAGATATTTCTTGCTGGACTTCGTGCGTGAGATTATTGCGTTGGAGTCACCACGCGGAAGTATTGTCACTAATTGGCTTGCTCAGTTAAAGCATGTCCGAAAGGTCACAGGAAAAGAAGATCTGTTTGTCGTTGCTGAGTACTGGTCTCCAAAGTGAGTGATTACCCGCTTCTTTGCTTAATCCGATCGAACCCTCACATTTATCATAGCCTTAAACTTATAAAGCCATATATCTATGCTTTTCAGGGCCTCGTGACCTTTTTTGATGTTCCGTTGCATCACAAATTCTACGATGCAAGCAAAGCTAGATCTCATTTCGACTTACGAACACTTTTCGACGATACTGTGCTCAGTTTCAGACCTGGCGACGCCATAACGTTCGTTGATAATCATGAGTGGGTTGCATTCAAGTCCTCATGGTGTCTGTGCTGACCGTTTCCCCTTACAGTACGGTATTACAGTACGGTTCCTCTTTATCATGATCAGTCTGACGCTCGACTTACAGCAAGTGGGGCAATCGCTGGAAAGTTGGGTGAGCGCTTTACCTGCGGGTCATATTCGCTGGTTGCAGACTTAAGCTGATCGAGGAATAGGTCGGGGCCAACTTCAAACTCCAAGCGTACACATTAATATTGCTTCGCGGCGATGGACATCCGTCAGTGGTCCCTCAGACCCTTCCAGAAATTTCTGAATGTTCTATGCAGATGTGTGTTCTACGGAGACCTGTATCCTAATATGGAATGCTACGACGCGAGGATCGCGCAAGGCGTGCAACGTCTTATGGAGGTCCGGAAGAATTTCGCTTACGGTCCACGAGTGGACTATTTCCAGTCTCAAAATTGCATCGCCTTCGTACGTATGGGAGATCATACACACGATGGGTGTGCCGTGATCGTCAGTAACGCTGATCCGACGGAACCGTAAGCGCACCCAGCTTTCATGAAGTTACCTCTTCCACGTTGACGGTTCTTGTCTAACAGGGGCGGGGGCTCAATGCACAGCGTTCGTATGAATGTCGGTGCGGTACGTTGTTTTTCGCTTTTGTTTCTACAACTCGATGAGCATGCTAAGATACCCGGACCGTAGAATGCCAATGACACATTCTTCCTCTCCAAGATGCGCTCTTCAGAGCGCGTAGTAGTTTCACCGGACGGCTGGGGCGTATTTACCTGCCCTCCAGGACAGGTCGAAGTGTGGGTGAAGATCTCAGAAACATAGGTAATATATTGAATCTCTCGTACGCTGAATACCTCGAGGTAAGGCATTATATCACATCGCATTGCTAAATAATTCTATTGTTCTACCTCCACCCTAAAAATACCGCTGCATCCTCCATCTAACACCTAAGACGTACGTACACGATTCACAAGAAACGTACAGTCGACATCAATCCATAATGGTCGCTTGCCCACAGGTTACCTGCCTGTAGCCCCATACCTATTCTGGAGGGCTCGTCCACCTTGAGCTGGACACTATCCCACGACATCCTCTGCGGCGTGAAATACATCCTATCAAGCCTTCCGGGAGGAAAGGCTGTCCGCGGCTGATATCCCCATGTAAACGACCGTTCATTCTCTGGGCCAGGATGAGCATCAACTAGTCCTGCCTGCCTGTGAATGACCTGGTCATTTGGGCATATCGCATTCATATCCCCTGCGACGACGCCTCCGTGGACAGTGGGTCTTCTGAGCTTCTCGGCGATGTAACTGAGCTGCGCCGCGCGTATCAGTGCGTTCTCCGGGAGCGATTCCAGATGTGTATTGGCGATGCGTAAGGTGAGTGTACGTCCGGATTGAGAGTGGCGAACAGCGACATCTGTGATTAAGGCATTTCGGCCCATGCTGGAGGCTGCAAAGTCGAGCCACTGGCCAGCGACAAAGGGAATATTCTTGGAAATGAGAGTGACGTTGCCATATTGTGCGCCACGGGGCCATTGAACTGACCCGGCCGGTATGATGAGGAAATCATTGAGCACCCAATCGATCGAGAGCAGGAAATCAAGTGCATTCAGAGAGACCTCTTGTAGCAGGATGCAGCACGGTTCTAGAGGGCCGAAGCCATGGGGCCGAAGTAGGGTTTCTAAGTACGTCAGAATGCACCGCAATCTGAGTTGAGAATAGGTTGCGGAATTGACGTTCCATGTGACCAGGCGCAACGAACTGGGAGGTGACGGTCGAGTCGGTGGAGAGTTCCAGATAGGCTGGGGAACCGTCCTTCCTGCAATCAGGGATGATGTCCTTCGTCGATGCATTGTCATTCGTGATATCTTCAAGCGTTCAGCAATGGGCGAGGAAGGTTGGTGGTGAGGAATGGTCTGGGATGTTGTGGGTGGGTGCGCAGGCTCCTTTTATATTCCCATAGCACAATCCGAGCCACTTGCCTCTTAACGCCGTCAAGTGGCAAGTGGCAGCACAGCCCGCATGCCACGTGTTTAATGCACAGAATGTGGACCGGTGCACTCCAATATCATGACCGTGATCGATGCGTTCTAATGATTGGTGAATCACCGTATCAGGGTGGCTCGTATTCCGCAATTTTGACTACATGCGCGCCACTTGAATTGACTCTGGTGCCACTAATGTGAGAGTCGACAAGCATGTGGCATGATTAATATCAGTATCAATCGGCATGTTGTCCCATACCATGGAAGGCTCGCAGGACTCGCGAATCATTACCCTGTCTTACTATCTTTCACTAGTACACCGGTGTTTGTGCATCGCGGACAAATGAACCTCCACCACTTGATCCAGCGGTGCATTTCATGAGTGGCGCATTAAACGGAAGTGGCGAGTTCATCTCAAAAGCCAAGTCCGTTTATCAAGCTGCTGCCATGACAGCGAAATGCTAGTTACTGTCTGGACACCGCGATGGTATCCATGCAAAGGACATGAAATTAGTGGAATTGGTGGAATGAAAGGGTCATGAACGGAGTATGCCTGGAGATGAAGGCGGTCCCATTTGGGATGCACGGAGATTGTTCGAACACGTGTGCGCATGTCACGATGTTTGGCTTGGTACTCACTCAGTCTAGAGTCGTCGTCAAGGACCGCTAATTCCATGATACACCACGGGACCGGTGCACATTGAAACAAGCCGACAGGTTCGTGCCCGTAAGCTGCGCATACATTTCTTACCTTGTAAAATCATCCTGACGTCTCTTTTGGGCGCACGACGGTCGTCGCACAGATTGTTTGGACTCTTAGTTGAAGGGTCCTTCACAGTATGTTATGTCCTGACTCTGATCTAATTGCGCGAATATGAAGCGCAGTAGGATCATCTGCGACTGTGCGTCTGCTCTACTGGCTTGAAGTTCTCATCGCATCAATTTCAATCAGGACATCGTGCCTGTGAGCTTCCAATGAAAAACGCCGTTGGCATAGCCCTATATAACATGTTCACGTATTTCAGGGAGGACAAAGGACGCCGTCGTTAGTCAGAATGCATCATGTAATCATTGACTTCGACTAACTTGGCGCTTCTGGCTTGCCTTTTTTGGTAGAAAGCAGTACTTTGATCGAATCTCGATCGCGCTCACTTATTCATCCTTGCAAGTTTACTCATCTTTAACTCATCCTCGGGCCCGCCCCCAGCGCCTTCCTTCCTCTTCATAACGAGCCCTCGGGGCTCTCAATTATTTGCAACAGCTCTCACCTAGAATACCTCTCAAACAAAATCTCTGCACATGTCGACAGATCCTGAACATTTCGAAGAAGGCGTGGAAGACGATGAATTTATCGACCCAAATGACGTCTACATCGAGTTCGCGGACGATGGCGACCACCTGATGGACGAAGACGACGGCGCGGACGGCGAGCAGTTCATGGGTGACGATGGTGAACATCAGCCAGAAGAGTCCATAGTTTACGAGGACAATTCGATGCAGCACTTCCCTTCACATAACGGCTCCGTTTTCGCGATTGCGACACATCCTATAGCGCCGCTCGCCGCGTCTGGCGGTGAGGATGACCTGGGGTACATCTGGGACTACACCACGGGAGAGGAACTCGTCAAACTTACGGGGCACACGGATAGCGTGGTGTCCACCGCGTTCAGTGCAGACGGGGAGATGATTTCGACGGGTGGTATGGATGGCAAGGTTCGAGTATGGCGCCGCGTGGGCAAGGAGAACTGGAATCAGTGGGAGTTCTTAACGGAGCTACAAGGTCCGGACGAGGTCATGGTATGTCCCTTAGGCCGAACGTCGTGCGCGCGCTCGCACTCATCTCGAGTCACCCTAGTGGCTACGATGGCACCCAAAGGGAAATGTATTGCTCGCTGGGTCAAATGATTCGACGGTATGGCTATGGCAATGTACGTCTGCCCTAATGTTTCCTACTGAACTCTGTTCTCATCTACGTGAATGCAGTGCCTTCAGGCAATACGATGCAGGTATTAGCCGGTCATACCGCGCCCGTACAATGCGGTGACTTCACCCCTGACGGCAAGCGTATCATAACCGCCGATGCGGAGGGCACGCTCATTTTCTGGGACCCGCGCAATTCGACGCCTGTGTTCAAGCTCACGCCCACTGACGTGCGCTTTGACATGGACGGCATAACCTCGCTCGCCGTCAACCCCGCGTCCACCCTGGCCGTCGTGGGCGGCGCGACGGGCAGCGTGCGTGTAGTCAGCCTGAGCAAGGGAGAGGTCGTCGGTGCGCTGGGCGGGCATAAGGAGGGCGAGAGCGTGGAGGCCGTGACCTTCGTCGAGCTGGCCGGCGCTTCTACGGCGCCGAGCGCGGGCGGAGTGGTCGTGACGGGCGCGACGGATGGTAAGGCATGCATATGGGACCTCGGCACGATGCGGCTGCGGACAACGCTGGAGCACGAGGTACGCGTCCCGGTCATTACCGTTATGCATGATCGTGCTAATTTCCTCTGCTAGGATGCGGTTACCTCTCTCTTGCGCTTGCCCCAGCCAAAATCACACCTTGTCGTGTCCGCGTCCTCGGACAAGGCGCTTCGTACCTGGGACGCACGCTCGGGCACCCTCGTGCGCGAGCATAAGGGTCACCAAGGGCCGATTTTGCAGGCCGCGCTGGGCCTGGGCGGCGGGGTCGTCGTGAGCGCCGGCGACGAAGGCGTCTGTCTAGTATTCCCGACGGAATAGACATCGAAGGAGAATAAGATGTGCAAAGTCAATATTGTAGCTCTGGGTAGAGAAGACTCGATCTGGTGTAGCGCTATACTCATATTTGTTCGGATGCTCAGTCGAGGCTATTATTTCCGGTGGAGTTAACGAGATCATCGAATTCTTTACACCGGATTTAAACAACTGGTAAGAAACTATCAAGCCGCGATCGACATAGCATAAGCAAGGTAAGATAGCTAAGACGGGCAGTATGACATAGATGTAGTTTCTCGATGTCATGTTAGCGTTTCTGAATCCTCGTGATTTCATCAAGTCCACCACTTTTTAGTAGCCGATTTAGTATAGGTATGCTTTATACTGGGCGGAGATCGGGGCGTATGTCAATTCAAGATAGACAGTGATTGTTTGGAGAAAGAAGTACTCACCCATTGCTTGGGCCAGAAATGTGGTGATGAAACGCCTACAGTGCACACCTCAGGCATAGGCATTACTGATGCATCGTCTGGACCCCTTAACCGTACCGTTTTCAGATCAGCCGATTCGATGTACCTCAAAACGATCGTAGGTTCTGCGTCCATGAATATAATTTGCTGCAGGGGATAGCCTATAGCTTCCCGCGATGCGACGAGTTCAGATATCTCCTCAGGCCATATCGAGAAAGGCGAATTGAACAAACGGAGGCTGGTCAAGTGTGTGCAGCGAGGCGGGTCCGCCGATAGTGATAGGTAGCCCTTCAGCGCTAGGAAAGACTCGCACCGGATGTGCAAGACACTCAATGATGGTATGGCAGGGAGTAGAATCTCCAAGCGGGTCTTCTCTCCTAATGAAAGCATGCCTTCGAGCCAAACCTCTCTGACAGCTCCCATATGCAGGAACGACATAAGTGCTGTTAACCATGTACGATACTGGGGTCGCTGAATGTCGGAAGAGGTGTGAAAACGTACTGCAGTTGATGTGTTGACAGCAACGACGGAATCGTCCGATGAGATCCGAATACAGGTGAGATCCTGAAACGCCTCCAGGGGAGGTAGCCACCGCAAGGTCGATGCATCGCAATCTTCGAAGCTGATTGCTACATGAGCGGGAATGACAAGATGAGTCAAGAGGTTATAGATCAGACTTTCATCGGGGTTAGAGATGGATAGACGGCGCAGATGAGAAAGGGCGGGTCTTGGAGCATGCGGAGACGAGTGTCGTGTTCTTGATTCCGAGGAGTCGGATTCACAGAGATTATATAGGCCCAAGTCTTTTAGCCTCGGAGTATCAGACAAGAGGCCGAGCAGCCTCGCCACAGGCACCGTGGTTCTTTCAATGAAGAGGTGCGTGAGGTTGCCAAACTTGTCAACAGGGAACCACTGGATTCCCCTCCACACAAGCACCTTTAGTAAAGGTATATCCTCTCTCCAAAGACGCGGGGGCGATGGAGGTACTAATTCAGGATCTAGGGCTGTCGCTAGGACCCCTAGATTCTCCATGATGTCGCCAGGGAGTTCGGGGAATTGTGAACGTCGTCTTACGAAGTCGTAGTCGAAGGTAGCAACATCGCAGAATAATGTCTGGATTTGAGGACCAATGGTTCGACATAGGTCTGTCGCAGTACCCAGGCTGCGCCCATTGTAGGCTACTTTTAGTCCCGCAGCTTGTGAGCGAGAGATGCATGTATTGGCTGTAGAGGTCTTTGATCGTCCATGTATCGTTGTCCAGAGTGATGGTGCCTGCAATGCGACATCGCGCCAATGACGACACACGTGGGTCAAGGGCACCAATTTCCCGACGTCTTTGAAATCGAAGAGAGATGGCCAGACCGTATTCGTTATTCGAGGCGAATCATCAGGATAAGGATCGAGCGGAGGAGAGCAGAAGCCAAAGATCTCGGTGAAAATCTCAGGGGGGAGGTGATTGACGGGACATGTCGCGTTGAAGGCAGTCCGCACGAGGAGAAGAGTTGTTAATAGCTTTTCTGCTATGTCAGACAGCTATGAAGAGATGTTGTGGCCTTGATGAAAAGATATGATTTCTACATGTACGTGATGACTTACCAGAGAACGACTGCCATAAGTCAAATGAAAGGACGTGAGCAAGAGCAGGACCCAGCATCGTATCAGCTCACGCTCTCGTTAAGCAGCTAACAGCACAAACCTCAGAGTGGATGCCTCTGCTTCCAACTGTGCAAGCAGCGGCTGTATCTGTAACCAGGGGTCTGATAGATCCATTGCGGCGGAGGAATAGAAGTATCTTCCGGAGTAATGGAACAAGTAGTATACTCAGTCACGATACACGACTTTATCGATATTGTACACCGTTGAAGTGTGACGTGCGTTGTGATAAAAGATGGGCAGTGACGACAAACTCGGGCGTGAGTACGCGAAATCGACGACGGGTCGTGGTGGTAATAAAGTGGGTCTTGGTACGAGTAGGTCACAGTAGGGCGAGAGGGTACATAGCTAAGGCTCGGTGCCGCAGTATATGCATTTGTGATCTAATCTAACCTAATCCCTTGTGCGAGTTCGGCATAATTAGCTGGTAGCAGTCTCGGGCTCCATTTTTATCGCATTAGTTGATCCCTAGTGCTGAGACAATATGTGGCGATTCGAAATTGAACACACATTCTAAGCGACCTGAGGACCTATATTAGAGCAATCGTCTCACGATGTGGCAATTCGGATCCGCTCTTTTGCAAACCCGCATATAGGATATCTATTGTTGAATAGGACGATATATGGACGATGAGTTGCGCGTTCCACAGCAGATACGAGGACCTGCTGTGTATTTCTTACCAAAGAGGGAGTACCGCGCCGTCTTTGTTGCTGCTTGCTTTCCCCGTCCTCCAGCCTGATGGCTCAATGAATCACGGCACCATTGTATCCGGGTTGAGGTCTTTGATTCGAAGCGAATCCCCAGGGGATGTGCCACACTGGAATGTCTGGATCGATTTGACGCGCCATGTCATGGTCGGCGACGTCGCCGCTACATATCGTCAAATCCGTTCATACCCAGCGTCAACATCGTCAGCGATCTCAACCCAGAGAGAACCACTTTCATAGCCTAGTGGGAATGCGAGGCACGCATAGCGCATACTGCGACGCAGTACTCTCTTTTGCATTTCGATCAAGGACAGAGTCGACATCCAACCATTCTAGGGGTCTCACGAGGATCCCAATGACCATGTGATGAACATGTTCAGAAAGGCCACGTTCGCCCCAGGTGGGCACTCAGCCGGCCAGGTATGTACGCACCACACCGACATACATGAGCATGTCTCATTGCTCCAGATTGAAATGTTTCCACACAAAAATCTCCGCACAACGTGGACAAGCGTCGTGCGGAGATTTTGGGGTCAATAGGCTTTAGCGCAGCATCCTGGACGCACCTAAACGCATCTACCTAGCAGTGCCTTCATCCAGCTGTCCAGCATCTGGGCGGACGTTACACAAGCTCGCATCACCGAGCACACATGCTTGCGCATCCTTGGGCGATGCTTTGCCTGTTGTGCGCGAGCCCGCATGATCAGCAATGCAGGCCCTGACAAGTCTAGATGCTGTACCCACGCATCATCGAGCGATCTAGGGTGATACGTCCGTCAAGGCGTACTTGGGCTCTCACGCAGGCGGTGCGGAGTACATAAATGGAGGAAGAGAAATAGTCAAGGTGGAAACTGACCTGAAGACAATTCTGATGAGCAAAGCAATTACCTTGATGAACGGAAGGAATGAGAGGATGTAAGCAACCACAATGAATCCATCCAATGATCCGCCCGTGCTCGCCTCATACTGCAGCGACGAATCCACGTGCGAACAATATTGTGGCATGTTGAGACATTCAAAAGTTATGAAGCGGTACAAGCATGATACGTCACCTAGGTATACAAACATACGTGGCCTATAGCAAGAAACGGTGTCATCGTAGAACAAACATATGGTGCATAAACAGATCCATGGGGCGCACCGCGACCCCTCTCTCATCTTCGGCTTCCCTGGCTTCCGAAGCTGCCGAATGCAGAGAACCCTCGGGTGGGTCTCGTTTGCGCGACGTCCGACTCCTTCACCGGCGAGAGCACCGTCGGAATATCCAGACCTCCACCGCCCTGCGCGCGCGAAGCAATCAGTCAAACTCGTGGAATCATGTTCAGCGACCGCACCTGCGCGAGCTGATCCCACGCAAAGGACGTGGGCTGAGAGGTCGGGAAAAGTTGGATCTTCCGTTTCTTCTTCTTGGGCTCGCCACCCTCCTCCGTGCCCGCCACGCTCGCGCTCGCGCTCACACTTGGGGCCTTCGCTGGAGGTTTCGATGGTTTCGCCCTTGGCTTCGGCTTCTGCGACACACCGCCATCATTCTCATCCTCGTCTCGGGCTTTCTTCTTCCGCGAGCCTTTCTTAGGTGCAGAGCTGTCCAGCACATCCTCAGCGTCCGAATCAAGCGCGATTGCCTTCCGCTTGCCCTTCTCTTTTGCAGCGGTCTGCGCATTCGCGCTGTCCTCGTCTTCGTCCTTGTCTTTATCTCTGCCTTTCGGTTTCGCCTTCGGTTTCGCCTTCTCCTTGCCGTTGGTCTTCTCCTTCTCCTTGCCGTTGGTCTTCTCCTTCTCCTTGCCCTTACCTTTCGCCTTCGCCTTAGCTTTGGGCGTGACTTCGGAAATCATCACCTCGTCGTCGTCGTCGTCGTCGTCGTCGTCAGCGTCAGCGATAGCAGAGGGAGCTGGCTGTGATTTCTCATTGCGCGTCTTCGGTCGCGAAGGGCCAGAGGCTTGGTCGTCCAATGCCGCTACTGGTGCGCCGCGGGATTTGGTGCTCTTCTTCGCGGGCTTCTCCGGGGGTTGTACCGGCGACTCAATCTCCTCGATATCATTATCTTGGACAGGCGCATGGACTTTGGACCTGGGACGGGGCCGTGGCTTTGGTTTCTGTGGAGGTGGCGGAGAGGGAGGCGGGGAGGGCGCTTCGACTATGACTTCCACTTCGTTTTCGGAGGAACGACGCGCATCAGATAGTGAAGCGGGTGTCTGTGAAATCGTGTGAGACGTTGCGCACAAGGAGGTTGTGATATGGTGTCTTACCTTCGACTTCTTCGTTGTCGCTGAAGCTCGTGCCTGAGCCTGCGCGGCAACTTCGTCAGCTCTGCTTTTTTCGGCCTTTAGCTGTTCCTGCAGGGTCTTGATCTTGCTTTCTGCTTCGGCCAGTTGCTCCTTCACCTCCTCCGCCTCCGCCTCTGCTCGGTCTGCTGCTTCATGTGCTTCAACGATCGCCTTCTGTTAGAGCACCGTTAGCACGAGGACGCCACTGTCGACTGGCCACATCCCCTATGATTGTTGTAGGGCACGAGCGGAGACATACTTTGTGTTCGTCTATCGAGTGTTTGTACTTCTCAAGCTTGGTCTGCGCCTTCTCCACCACTTCCTCTCTCCCTTTTGTACTAGTTTCAGCCTCTTTGAGACTGGCTTCGAGTGTCTTGACACGAATTTCGAGGTCGATCTTCTCGCGCCGGAGAGTTTCCATCTCTGCTCCCTCACGGCTCTCGAGGCTACGCCACTTCTCAAGCTGGCGGCGTAGGTCTGCAATTGTGCGCTCCGCATCTGCGTGCTTCGTTTCAAGCTCGGATAAAGACGACTTGAGACCATCCAATTGCAACGTTGTACGCTCGAGGTTGGTTGCGGTGGTACCGGACGAGGCGACGAGGGTGGTATGTTCGGCGCGCAGTTTGGCCAGGGCGTCCTGAGCCGGACAGGCGACGCAAAGTCTGATTTTCACATTTCCGTGGACAGTAGCTGAAGTAGACTGACATACGCACCTCGGCCTTCTGCTTCTGCTTCTCCACGCCCACCAGCTCCTCCTGCGCGTCGCGAAGTTGCCCTTTGATATCGGCAAGCTCTACGTTGCATTGTTCGAGTTCTTGATTTAGGTTATCTTGATCATTCGCAAGTACTTCTTGCTGGTCCAGTAGCTCCTTGGACAGCTCCTCAACACGTGCTTCCAGCTCACTTTCACGCCGCTGGAACGCGACCAGTCGATTGTCACGCTGCAGTCGTGCAAGACGTTCTAGCCGCACGTCTCCGCGAACTTTGAGGATTATAGCACGTTCGCGATCAAGCTCGAGAGCAGTACGGAGATGGGCGATGCGGTGCGCGGCCTGTAACGAGTCGCAGCCTTCGAGCCATTCGGTGCGTTCCTGCTTCCACTTCTGTTGCACCATGGCTACGGCATCCCTCCCACGCGCCTGCTCGTCGTTGATAGTCTCGCGAAGCTTCATGATGGTGTGCTCGAGACTGCGATTCTGAGCGATGAGCTCCTCGATGTGAGCCTGCTTCTTGGCGACCATGGCCTCTAGCGGTGCCGAAGAGGGGGTTGACCGAAGAGGTGTTGGTGCTCTGCGTGACATGTTCATCGTGCTGATTGACGAGGTTGCCATATTGAAGGTCGCGGAATCATTTGAAACAGTCAGACAGTAGGAGCAAGCCGTAGCGTCAAGGCGGAAAGCGCCTGGTAATCACAAGTCAATTCAACGCGATCATATGATCAATAAGTAGGGGTCATTATAATTAAAGCTTCCTGAAAATAGGCTTGGCTGTCGTAATAACAATAAGCACACACTCTGCCCTCGCTCCCTACCATGTCTCCTACGACGAAACCCGTTCGAAATATAAAGGTCAAAGTACCGCGCCATAACTCTCAGCGGCTAGGACCTGCGGTCACTGCTCAAGTTGAGAATGTGGCCCGGCAGCAGCGAGTACGCGTGGATGTTCGCCAGACGGCATTCGAGTCGTCAAGTGCGCTTGCCCAGGCGATTGTGAGTATCATGCTTGAATGTAGGGTCACTTGCACCTTTGTCAATATCATGTTAGGACAGTGCTTCCGAGTGGAATTCCTTGCTTTTGACGGCTCGGGCGAACCGCGTGCCACAATGGGACATCGGGACACAGCAGTACGTCCGCAGACTTCATCACGAGCAAGCCACGCTCATCGATAGAACTGTGAGCTAGATTCGTTGTCGAGGAATACTCAGATTTGTATTACGATCCTACTCTTCTATTCGAATACAGGCAGGACGCCCGTACGTCAGGTGAGGACGAGGATGGCCCATCCACTTCTACGAATGCAGATAGCAAGCCGGTACAAGAGATACCCAGCACACCAAAACACCAATCACTACGTGGCGTCCACTTGCCCCTTGGCTCCCAAGGGTCCTTCCATCATCCGCAGCAGTTCTTCTCTGGCAACACCCCCACCAACATGGCGTCGCCCCGACATCCGTTTCCCAATTCCGGTCAGGGGATGGGCGGCCAAGGTATGCCTGGCCAAAGTATGGGCTTCGGGGGCATGAATATGTCCCCTGTCTCGCCTGCGCAATTCTACGGTGGTGGTACACCGGGCATGTCCCAGGGAATGGGCAATATGGGGATGAACATGCCGGGAGGTATGGTCGGAGGCATGGGCATGGGTATGGGTGGCGACGGGATGGGTGGTCTAGGAATGAACTCTCCTGACCCTAGGAGGCGTCTGACGCGCGGCATGAGCGGAGAAGACGGATATGGCTCGATGCATTAACAGTCACTGCCAAAGCACACAAGGTTTAATCAGCAGTACTTAGTTCTTTGTTATTCAAGATAGATGTCGACGCTGATGTGATTTCAGGTTGACACTTCTGCGTTTGCCGCCTAGCAGTTCCGGCTACTGTATGCGAGGTGTTGGCGAAGCGGAGTACCTTGCAAGATTAGGTGACAGTGCACTGGGAACCCTCCCCCCAATTTGGATTCTACAGGTAGTCTGAGTGCCGCTCGCCATTCAAAATAGCGCAGTCGGTCATCTGGTTCCGCGAATGATCCTGTTTTTGTAGACAGAACCATGCTGAGATCCTTTCGAGGGTTTCTGTTAATTGTAGCCCTCTCACCTGTGCCATCATAGTGGCCATATCAATGTTTGCCTACAAATACACTGCATGCCAGGATCAATGTCCAAAACATCAGATTAGAATCAGATTCAAGGTGAGTAGCACCGATGTCAAAAGTAAATGACATTCGAAGAAAGATTGACAGAAACAACGAAAGGCCCCTCCTATCTCCTGAAAATGACGGGAAGGAGCCTGACCTGGTACAGGTCGTACCCGCTGGAAGTCCGATCATGCACACTTCGAGTTCAACAGATTCGATGACATGAATTTTGATCGAGTTGTTTGAAGGCGTATCAGTGGTCGCTATCGACAGGCTAGAGAACATAATTTCAAATGATCGATCTGCCAGTCGGCGGTACAGCAGCCATGTACGGCGAATCTTGCATTACAGAAACGATTCCATTCCACACGAAACTTATGGTACACAGTGTGTCAGCTCACATCAAATGAAATGACAGCATCTTCCGTGTTGTATGGTAGTCCTCTACAGTATAACCATCCAGATACTATGCTTTACCAGCGAAACTGAGCGGTGTCCCATTAACGCTTAGCCTGATTGGCGGGAGCGGACCATAGGACGCCAGGTCTCAGCCTTCGGGCTCTTAGGCCTACCCACAAGATGCTCTGGTATGTCGCATGTCATATTTCGATTGCTGATTTGACCTTGACATATAGGTGTCATCTGAAGCCGAGATCACATAGAGTGCCTTGCTCGTGCCAGGCTGAGGAAGCTAAGGCTGTTCCTCAGTCAGTTACCACAGTGCATGAGCCCGTGCTGGAGTGTCAGGAACACATAAAAGACATTCAACGTCAGTATCCTCTGAAGGCACTTCTACCATCATGTCCCCTCTTGATACAGAGCTCAACAATACTCTGGGTTGCAGTTTCATCGGCATACTGTTCGGTATATTGTAGGTAGTTTGATTGTCTCGGCGAGTTGCTTCCATATTGACAAGCGGCGTCCGTAGGCTGTACGGACTCACGAGCGCCCAGACATTGTATTACTTCCAGAGGTATCCTATAGATGGTGTAAGATTGAAGTTATTTGTATGTCTTCGTATCTTGTTATTCATATGGAATTGAATCTGACGCTATGCACTATATTATCTGCAGGTTGTCACCTTGTGGTACGTCATTGACAAGGCTAATCATTCCTCTGCGCCATTCTGACTTTGTTGCAAGGCTCTTGGACACAAGTAGAACGATTCTTGGATCATGGGTAGGTGATATATTTACTCAGACACGGGCAATACTTGATAAATATTCCAGTGTAACTGGACCTGGGTTATCACAAATCATGCAAATTTGTTAGCGCTCTTCAAAATCCCCCGGTATGATGTTCCGTGCCATTCACGCGTAACATTTGAGTGCTCACGATCTTACTGTCAGGACTTTCCTGGTATGACGTCTAATTTGAGTCCATGCCGATTCCTCACTCATAGCTGCGGCCAGGCCGACTTCTTCATCGAGGTGGGCAACGCAGCGTCTGGCGTCTAGCCTCCGCCCGACTGATGTCATGATCTTCAATACCTAGGGTTTGACCGTTTTTATCGTGCAAATGTACGCACAGAATCCCAATTAATTAACAGATCAAGTTCACGGATCGCGACGACACTTGGCAGCTACTTCGTCCGTTGTATATGGAGAAGTATGTCTTTTCAGGTCATCCCACTATTTAACTTATCCACGACAACAGCGGTGGAGCACAAATGGTATCAGTTGCCACTTGCGGCGATCGTGGTGGGTGTGAAGATTTATGCGGCTGGAAAGCTTGACCGTTGGTTTACACAGGGCCTGATCTGTCTCGGTGCCTTTGGTGATCTATTTTCCGTCTCAAATGCAGAGCTATACTCATTTGTGAATTTCGGCAATTTTGGTGCAGTCTTCGGGATCGGTGAGTCACTTTCACTGCATCTGGAGGTATATCAGTTCATGCGTTCATCGATTCTAGTCACCATTTACAACATGTAAGGAGCCATAAGCTTTTGCGAAAGTCGTCGACACATCTCTTATATATCACAGGAACAGGACTTTGGACATGACCATCGCTCTACAGGAATCCACGGTTCGTGATCGAAGTCTAGCACGTTACCACAAGAAATAATTCGTCATTAGGCATCGGGTTGCGCCCACGTTCTGATGGCTGGAGTAGCAGATATCTACATCGCTATTTCACTGGTTGTAATCCTTCGTCGACAGAGAACCGGATTCCATAGGTCTGTGTGGTGATGCTCACTCTTACCGACAGGACTGAGAATACGCACAGGACAAATCATCTAGTCACTGGGCTCATGCTCTACACGATACATCGAGGAATTATCGTTGCGTACGTTAGTATCCAATTTTGAATGTTGCTTTCGCTGATATAGACGTGTTGAGTGTTGCGCAATTACTTGAATTTTCACTCGTAAGCCTTGTTCCCTCCTCACAAATATATCTGCTAAATGTGTGGTTAGTTCGTCGGGACTCTACATGCAAACCCATTCAAACTGTACTGGTTGATCTTCCACTATCCGGGCAGCAAGTGTAAGCTCACAAAAACAATGACTAGAGTACACTCTGACAATGTCGTCCAGTATATGTCAACTCTCTCCTTGCACTGTATGCCATCGAATCGAAGCAATGTCAATGATTGAAACAATTGACCAGTGACTTACTTAGACTCAATCTACGCGATCACCTTAGGGGTGGTAGCCTTATAGCACACGCTGAAGACAACGTCTTGCTCAGCATACAGGGAGAGAAAAAGGAGTCCGATCGACATGTGGCATACCCGCTGACAGTTCGGTATGTGTATAGGCTGCCAGCAGCCACGTCCCCCAACATGCACTCAATCAGTACTACTCTAGAACGTTGAGACCAACAGAAATCAACGTGGACATGAATACGACATCGCACTCCTCCGTCGCATAAACAGGTCACCTCCTGGCGAGCTTGATGACATCGCATATTAGCATACGTGTGCGCCATGATGCTAGCTGATTTGTCGAGTGCCCGTTTTTCGCTCTTGTACAAGATCCCTTCCGCATGTAGTATGTAGCACTTGCTTAACTCGAACAAACAGTTTAACAGGATTGCCTGTAGGTTCTAAGGTATCATATACACTTTTCTTGGCAGAGCTTGTGACTATAAGACGGCATTGCTAGTCCTGAGAGCACGGGACAGGACATGACATAGAAGAATACAAGGTAACAACATGCGTGCTATAGCAATATGGACGGGGGTAAGCCACCTGACTACTTGCCAGTAGGAAGGACCATAAGTGAGATTAAAAGGACTAGAAGCGAGGTTCATTACATAAAACAGACAGAGGGTCATGACTTGTCATGCATAGCTTGGCATAGCGATAGCGACTTTATGATTGCGCATATTCTTCCGGGTACGGTGGTGGAAGCCCTCCCATCCGCTCTCCATAGACCCGCAGTCGGTATAGACAGGTATAGTCTGGGTGGCCCCAATTGTTCTTGACGAGTAGAACAACGATACCGAAGTCGATACCGAGGTCCTGCACCTCTTGAGAAACAGGGAACGTCTGGATGTGGTGTGGTGCGTGAATGTTGTACGTGAAGTTCGCCACGCGGAAGAACTCCGGTGACTTCGGTAGTGATGAGGGATACGTCGGCTCCAAGTCCTCGACATACGGCTGTCCCGTAAGTTCCGCTTGGATGCGCGCCTCTCCCTGACGCGCAGCGCGCTGTGCCCGCCATTCCTTGATCTTCTCCACATTCTCGGCGCCCTCAATCAAGCCCCATAGTTCCATTTGTCGTGGTGCTGACCGCATGTCGGCGCTGACTTCCCGGGGAACATGGTCAATAACGATATCGGAGATGTATGTCGGTGCGACAAGCGCGACGCCGAGCTGGCCTGATGCACCTGCGAAAGGCCAGCAATGTCCGCTGTGCGTCTCGTAGTGCAGCGCATTCACAGGTGGGCGGCCAATAGCGCTGCCGCCATGGCCAAAGATGCGTTTGATGTGACGAGTCCAGCTGATCGAGGGAAGCTCGTATGTATCCGATGTGAGCGAAGGGACGATACCTGCACCAGCTGAATAGTCAGCATGATCGGGGCGGGCAAGGGCGTCCTTGAATACACGGATATCGACAATGCGCTCAATTAGCGCTGTGACATCCTGGCCGTCAGCGGACCGGATCGTAAGCGGGCCAGCATTGCCAGATGCGAGTTTTCTCCACCATGCCGCCGTACTACCGACGGAGCCGGCGACCGTGACCGCGTTCTTTCCGAGCTCGAGAGCTTCTTTGACGTCGCCCTGCATGCTGCCCAGTTGCTTTTCCAGTGCACGAACCTTAGCCCTCGCCTCGTCGTCCGCACCCGTCACCGGGCCTTTATGCGCATCATTCTCGCGCTGGACCTTGATTTGCATCTGCAAGTTGTTGACTTCCTGCCTAACTGCTTGCAAAGTGTCGCTTGTGGTGGCTCGGAGCTTCGTCTCGGCATCCTGCGCGCGCAGGCTTTCCTTGCGCACTTGCGACTCCAATGTACCTACGCGACCAACAAGCTCAGAACGGCTACCTTCGATGACAGTGTGAGAGCGCTCCGCGTCTGTGGAGAGCTGCGCAAGAGCCAGCTCCAAACGATGCAACCGTTCGGCGAGTTCACCAGAATTCGAGATGGGAATGTCTGGCGCCTCATATCGCGGCCGGGATGAACGACCAAGAGATAGAGCGCCGAGGTCCAGCCATCCGTGATTGAGTGCGTACCATGCCGAGTAGATAGTCAACCCAATCACAGCATACTTCGCCAAGGGTGCCGGGTCCGCGCGTGAGACCCACCGCACGGGTCGATTCACGAAGATGTCGATTGTGAGACCCAGTATCTTCCCACATAGCCGTGCAATGAGCGCGAGACAGCCGAACAGCATTTGTACAACAGCCCATCCAAGGCGGAACAACCCATTCACGCCTTTGCCAAGCACCGCACCAATTGAGAACGACGAGCGACGCTGCGGGAAAGGATCTGCACCATCAAGCAGCAAGTCTTCATCAAGTTCTTCGATTGGATCGAGTGCTTGCTCGACGTCCATAAGCGATTCGAAGTGGGTCGAGTCGCCTTGCGGAGGAATAGAGGCGCGAGACACCGACCCACGCGACGGCGGTCTTGAATTTCGCGCCAGCGAATGCATCTGCAGTAAGGGTGAGGTACCGCGCTGCGCACGCTGATCCAGTCTATTAGATTTGGCCAACCAAAGGGGAGGCCTCCACGCACCTGTTCGCTGATGTTCTCCTCTTCCTCCTCTTCACTGCTCTCTTCCTCGTCGTCTCCTGCCGTCTTCCCATTTGGCCGTCTCCGCTTCTTCCTCTTATCGTATCCAGCCACCGGGAGGGTAGTCAGTGGCCCTCCTACTGCGCCATTCCTTTTCCTGTTCCGCCGCGCACGCTTCCCGTCATCGTCCTCAAAGTCCTCATCTGACTCCTCAAGGTCCGATACAGTGGGCCGATACGCCTTGTTGTCTGTCGACATACGGTTGCGCTTGTGCACAGCGGTATTTCTTCGCGGCACAGTCTTCTGCGCCGTCTGGAAGTCGCGCTCCTCCGCAGAGTAGTCATAGCTCGAGTGCTCATGCACGGTACTATTCCCATTCGCCGGGGCCACCGACTGCGACGCGGTTTCTGGCTCTTGTTGGCGTGGCCGCATCAGGAATGTAGTGGGGATGAAGCGCCGAGACACGTCCATGACATGCTCGAACGGACTCTTGCCTCGGCTATTCTCATGGGACGGCTCTGCGATGTCCTCGCCCTCCGAGTCGGGTACATGCCGGATGGACTGTGTTCTCGCCGTAGGCCGCGGAACGCGTGCGTTGTTCCGGCCTGGTGGAGGGGGCGCGAGGCGGCGATTCACAGTTGTCTGCGTCTCCTTCTCGTACTCGACGGATGTGCTGCGGGGAAGTGGCTGCTTGCGCGCACCCGTGGCCCACGCATCGTTCGGGTTTGTGGGGAGCATCACGTCGTCGGTAGACTCAACCGCTTGGTTAAAAGCGCTTGCGATATTGACTGAGGTGTCCTTGACACTCCACTTCTCTGGGTGATGCTGCTGCTGCTGCTGCTGGGGGCCTCCGATCGTGCCTGTGCGTGACTGAAGCTGCTCTTTCTGTTTGAGTCGTGCAAAGCGGACGAGAGCCGGCTCGTCCGTGTCGTCTAGGTGCTCGCTCTCTGGCAGAGCAGACTTATCTGGCTTGGGAGGTGATCGCGTGCCGCGTGACGGCGCGCTGGGTTACTGTCAGCTTCATACGTGGTGTAGAGTCACAGAACGCACCCGTATGCGTATGAGGTTGGAACCGGCCTGCGAGGGGGCGAATGAGGTGGTCGTTCCCTCGCGTTGGGTTTGTTGAGGAATGTGTGGTGATCTAGACGTCTGCCTTGACCTAACGGTGTGCTCGAGAAGGACATGTACTTCGCAAGTACTGATCAATCAACACGCGATGTTTGCTCTGTTCGTGCGTTTGCGATATGAGTGTTGTTTTGTGGGGATGAGCCTTGCGGCAGGCGCGTGAATAGTGCGTGTAAAAGTCGAGATGCATGAATTTGGAAGCGTTGTCTGGTCGCTCAACGTGCTCAATGCGCGTTGTTTGGTTTTGTTTGTGTTCGACTCACTCTTGCCACAAAGCGCAACATCTAGTGGCGAAGATTTGCCACATTGCCCACAGGTCTAAGCAACGCATCGACAATGGCATCGTAACAGAGGAGTAGTGGATAAGATTCATGTAGATGTAGTGCACGTATCATCGACGAGTCTGTTTACAGCGAGTGCATGGTACAATGGTACAATGTGTTACCTATTTTGATTCTTCTCACACGTGTCCTTTCGATCACAAGTCAGCAAACTTGTTGGTGGCCTAGTTTCCCATCAGGATTAGTAAGAAATACTGCGAGGCAAAGTGCAGGCTGACCTCCACGAGTAGCTTTGCCGTTCCTGGCTCGCGCGCAGAATGCCCAGCATCAGGCACGATGTGCAAGGTGATCTCCGGCCACACCTGTTGATGGAGTCAAGTCAATCGTCATCACTTGCCAACAGATCTTATGAACTTGCCTGCTTGAGGTCATGTGCGGTCTTGGCCTGAGACACTGAGGTGAATAACGGGCGCTAGAGCGTTTGCAAATGACTTACGGGACAGACGACGTCATATCGCCCTTGTACAACAATCGTCGGAATGTGGCGGCTGCAGGACCGTCATTGGAAAAGCTCAGGGTTGTGTGGCGAGGACATACATCTTGTCGATCTCTTGCTTCTCCAGGAGCTGACCATCCCTCATGAAGCCCTGTGGCGACATCGGCCTTTGCACGAAACATTGCCACAAGATGTTCGTACTCACGTCGTTGACAAAGTAGTGGTTTTCGATCCGTGCAAAAGCACTGAACACGCTTGACGCTTGAGAACCGCCACTGACGGATTGGCAGGCGAAACTCACTTAGCCCAACGGTCGTCTTCAGCGTGTGCCAGTTGAGCAGGATCAACGTATAGCTTCGACGTAGCCATTCTAACCAATGGCTCAGGAAGACTCGATCTCGCATCTGCAATGACGACTCACTCCCACTTAGACCATGCCTTAGCAGCATTGATGCGCGTCTCTTCATCGACGGAGTTGAGTTGCGCGTGATAAGCTGTGATCATGTCATGGCGCTCGGCCTCTGGTATGGGGGCAACATATTCTTCCCTATGAGTGGAAATATGTCAATATCAGGATTTAATAGTAATGTCCGACTCGTTCACCATGCATCTGGGAACAGATGCGATGTTCCCTCTTGATAGAAGAATCGCAATTCACTATAACAACGAGGTAAACAAGGGCTAGAGTTAAATGCCGCTTGTGATGCGAACCTCTTGCGAAGAGTGAAAATGCCACTGGAATGCGAAGCCTCAGGAGCAATTTCCAATTTATGAGGCGTATCCATACCGGAGTACCAGAGCCTTCACCCGGTCAGGGTGTGACTGAGGGGTGTTACTTCGTAAATTTGGCAATGCTCCTCGGGATTTGACTTACTTGCGCATACGCTAAGGACAGTGTGGAACCCTATGTCGAGACAATCAGCAAGAGAACGATCCCAGATCAGTCGTTCACATACCCAGGAGCCACCAAAGACGTGCCATTTGTCGATCTTCAGATGCTCTCGGATTCTCTCAGTGTCCTTCACAAGGTCCCAGGTCGTGTTTTCTTCCAGCGATGCCGTCCTGCAAGATGTTCAACGCACTAATGCCCCTGATCAAGGATGGACTCACGGAGTAGACTTCCCGGCACCCCTCTGATCAAACAATATGATCTTCAGATCCTCGATCAGTATCGGAAGGAATGCAAGAACATGATCATGCGGTGCGCACCTTGTACTTGCGCGGATTGAAAAATTGTCGATCCTTGGGATCTGTGCCACTTCCAGGGCCGCCTGTTTAACAGAATAAGCTATACATATCACCATACGGACACTCTTCTAGTATACCATGAAGGAACACAACTAGTATTTTGATCAGTGTGTCGAGACTTGTAGGTTAAGATCATGCTAAGGGAGTACCTGGAGACCCTTCCTTATTTCCGCTGACCTCGTAGCTACAAGCGACGGTAGCACTTGAGTATCAGTACGATCCTAGATTCATGAACCTACTAAAGGGTATGTATGTCCGAGACTTTCAATGTCCCAGTCTCATACGGCTGGATCGGCGGATACATGTTTCCAGTGCTTGCACGCGTACTGACTTGGCTATAGCAGGAGGCACGTCCGCGATGGTGTGTGCACAGCAAAGACTTTGCGCCTTGAGTTGCGCAGCTCCTAGGTGGAGTTGGAAACCTGATGGGAATTACGGGAGGAACTCGGACTCTGTGCCAGAGCTGTGTGGGTATGCGATATAGAATCATGCCTTCCCTCTACGGTCTGCAGGGAGAGTAACGATCATGTGATCGAGGTAATCAAGGAGTCAATGATCGGCTGCCAAGCGTGTTCACTAGTGCGCACCGCTCAGGCTGTGTTCACCGCCTTCGCCGCACATTAATATTCAAGGCGACGCAGCGTTTCTGAAGACAGCTTTTATCTTTCAGGTGGGCGACGAAACGGCCCCGAGGTCAAATCGCGTCAGTAAATTTGAGGTCAGTGGTGTATCATCTCTTCGATCTGTATTTGATCTTGATCACCAGTGTCAAGTCTTTTTCAACGCCATGAGCAGAGAAATTGGGACCCTCGTTATTGTGGTTCTAAAGGCGAAGAATCTGCCGGACAGGCATTCGCTCTACAAGCAAGATGTCTTCGCACAAGTCACAATACGTGGAAAGACCAAGAAGACGGCGGTCGATGCCAGGGGTGGACAACATCCAGTTTGGGATGAGGAGATTCGCTATCCGATATTCAAGTCATCTGTGGAAGAAGACAGGCAACTCGAAGTCTTTTGCTGGCGGAAGGAGCCGAGAACAGATGAGCTGATTGGGACGGGGAAGGTCGATATCACGGACACATTACGCACCGGCGAATTCGATGGTATGTGATTCACATCTCGTAAGTCACCGCCTCTGGAACTGATGTGTTTTGGGTAGATTGGATACAGCTCGAGGAGAAGGGCGTATATCGCGGGGAGATCTACCTTGAGATGACCTTCTTCGCAGCTGGACCGCCTCCACTGCAGCGCAGACAGTCGAAGTTCGACCCTTCAGAAAGGCTAACTCGCCCGACTCAGCCATACAAGTACACCAACAGTACACTCCCGGGTAACACGAATCTCGTCTCACCTCCTCGGACCCCACCCCATACAGCCCAGGTCAGACCCAACACCGCTCCAACTTCATCGACCGGGACATACCTCGCTCCACCTGCTTCTTCTTCTCCGCATGCCTCTCCGCGCGCATCCCCGCGGTCGCGCTACGACGATCTGCCTCCTATCCCTCAAGAGCACAGTAGCCCTGCCGCCATCCCAGACATCTTGCGCCCCGGCAACCACAAATCCGACACTCACTTCAGCGAGAGGTCGAATCCGCCTGATCGGCCCGCGCAGGCACCCCAGCCTTCGCCTCCGCACTCGCCCATAACCTCTGCAACGCCTGCGTCGCACCGTTCTTCGCTCAGCGGATCGATCGTACCACCCCAGTCTCTGCAACCAGGTCCCCATAGACCGCGCACCTCATCCCGTGCGACGCCTCCGCCGTCTACGATCCTTCCTCCTGACAACCCAGCCCACGCGCGCTACCCTGCGTCGCCGCCCCGCTCGTCTCCCCACTCAGTAGCAGCAGCGCCTGGTACATCGCCTTCACCATCGCACCCCCAGCAGGCTCCCTCTGTAACTAGCTACGCCTCTCCACCGCCACCAATCCACGCCAGTGCATATACCCAGGGAGTCCCGTATCCTCATACGGCTCCTCACACTGTCTCGTATTCCCAGGTAGATCCATACTCCCAGATACCTCCGTATTCCCAGACACCTTCGTATTCCCAGACAGCTCCATATATTCATCCTGCGACGAATCATACCCCGCCGGTGTTCTCCCAGCCCACAGCCCGTCCTCAGAGAGCCTCATACCCATACCCTCCAGCGGAGCTATATCCCCCGCCACAGTCGATCCCTTATGCATACGCGCCACCACCACCCAGATCAGCACCATCTCCGGCGCAGTCTGAGCGCTACTCGAGGCCTCTGCCGCTACCGGACGAGCCAGAGGGCACACATACCCCAACGCCCGCCCGTCCCCGGTCATACGTCTCCCCTGCGCCTACGCATCAGGCGCCGAAAGTCGCGTCTCCGCATGCAGGACAACCGGCAGCTGCGCCTCCGCATCATGTCGGTCATTCAGCGAATAGGGCTGAAGACCCTGACGAACTCTTAGCACGAAGATTTGAGGAAGAGGAAGAGCGGCGCATGCAGGAGGCGCGCGCGCGCGAGCTGGAGGATGAGGAGCTGGCGAAGAGGCTGGACCTCGAGTTCAACCTGTCCAAGGAGGGGGAAGAGGAGCGCAGCTCGGCCCCGCAGCTTCGCGTTGACCTAGATGACACGTCGCTGCAGACCCAGGTCGAGCGTTCACTTCTCTCCTCACATATGCCAGGATCTTGGTGAGACGGGGTTGCGATATCAAGCGCTATGCTGTGAGCTGTACAGCGTCGAAGACCTTCTTTGACCCACTAATGTACCTTCGTGATGTTTACTATTTGATCTTTTCGGCAGCATTGGCCCGCGACAGGATGCTGTCTCTGTCTCCTATCATGCATCGATACAAATAGCGTCTGACGTTCGTACAATGATATTCGCAGGAGAAACATCAGAGAGCCGTCTCTTTCGCACAGAGACTCGGATAGAACTGAAGACCGTCGCTACTATGCAGCCGTCTCGCGTCGCAGCGGCAGATCAATCGCGAGGTCACCGAGGATCTGATATCTGCAAGTCATATATGTAGCATTGCAGCGCGCTGATGTGTCTCGCACGTACATTCTGAAGCTCTATTTCGCGCTCAGCTTGAGGGTCTGGCGGCATCCCTTGACATTCTAAGCTGATGCTGATCAAGATGTTGCCCTCATGGTAATGGCGCTTTTTGAAGCGATTGCGCACGTTCAGCCTAAAAAAAGCATGTCACGACCCGTGACTCTGGTGAGAATATCGGCGACGCACAGAGCTAACAGTGAATTTATGTATACTGCTTTTCTTCAGGACAAACTCGCGGGGTCAAAGAGAGATCCGTCTCACTCACAATTACTTGCAGGGCAGTACAACATCGCCCACCACAAGTCAGGATAAGCATCCCAGTTGACGAGCATCCACGGGCCGTGCCGCCTGAATGCTGACTACTTTGGGCGAATGAGGGGCCTCACCATGATCAATATGACAACCTGTACCGTGCCAATTGCATATTAGACCATGCACAATGACACGAGGCGACGACATACGTGGTCAAGATCCCGCGACTGGTGATATAAAAGGTGAGCTCCATGATTAATTCCCTCGTCCTATATCATATGTTAATGGATATGATATGCTGCATGCGCCCTACACCCCCCCGTATTACCGATTTCTTTCGGTATAGGACCCTGCACACTATCAGGGTAATGTAGATATCTGCTATTGCAGCCAGTAAAACGGCTGTGCGCGCTTGCCACTGGCTTGAACGTGAACCATGATTTAGTGAGAATGTAAAATGAAACACACTTTGTTCTCGTTGTCCGAAACAATGATGTTGTTGTTTATACTCCTGCAAATACGTAAGCAGGTGAGGTTTCACGATAATATATATGTCATACATATTGTAAGTTACAACTGAGCATATGAATGATTGTAAGATATCCGCGAGACACTGCAACGAAATAGTATACATGCCCATACAGCTTGCTAAAGGGTGGTTTCTTGAGCAACGCAGTGAAGGAAAATTATGAAATAGAACACTACCGAAGGCTCCAAAAGATATGATTGACTATGAGAAATTGAGCTTTCATGGGAACGGCTTGCAGCGGCGCAAAATCATGAAATCGTACCATGTGTATTGTCAGAGGTAATCGATACCATCTCGGCGGCAGGACTGCGAGAGGTCTATGGTCAGCCTCCTCTTTCTTAAAATTCAGAGTCTTGAATCACGTTTACGGGTACAGTAGATATAATACCTGTGAACACAGTGAGATTCGTTGACTCGCGCTGTCATAACTTCATACTGACTGTTGCACTACTGTAATTATGAACCCCTGCAGGAAATGAGTGCGAGTGGCATTATGCGTTGACAGAGATGCGAACTCACTCCAAGAGCCCAGACAACCTGTTCAAGTGTTCAGTCACATAATCATGAGATTGACGTTCAATAAACACTACCATGAACGCACTGTCCGTTTCCATGATTTTCTGTACTCATGCACGCATACGCACAGACCAGACTCACGGAGTGATTGCCTCATTGCGCAGCAAGTCTTCGTGACGTGTTACATCTTCCACCCACGAGACCTGATGGAATATCGTTATGCTATGGTGCATTAGGTGTCATGTCAAACATGGAATGATACTAGCCACTGCATTTGACACCATTTTGATCGTATCCAGGAAGCTCATGACATAAAGCATTTGACTCCATTCTCGTGGTAGTACTCAATCGTAGGATTTAGGACTCACTAGAGGAAAGCAATCTTGGGCGCAGCTCTAAGCCTGATGTACATCTTCATAGGAAATATGGCTCACAAAGCATCTCAAAGATACGTGATCCTTGTGGTAATGGCGAAAATAGTAAACTGTCTGTGCGAGTGACAATCCATAGAGCCTGAAATTGATTGAATCAGTCTGACGCTTGAATATGAGTACTGGCGAGTGTACACACATGGAACTGATAATACACCCAATGAAGTATGCGCCAACCGTATTGTTGAGCAACGTTGCAGGGTCGGACATAACTCAAAATTAGCGGATGAAGGCAGATGACTTAGTGCGGTAGGCGGATGTGGTATTGAGGTCAACCAGGGGCAACTTCCTCGCCCTTATATAGCCTTATATTCCAGTAGAATCCATAACGATAGATTTCCTCTCACAGATTATACTTTGGGGCAACGTGGGGCAGAAGCTCACGGCAGGCATCGGCAGTGGTGCAGAGTCTGGCTTCATGACTGATGGTCAGATTGAGGAAGCTACTGGCATCGCATCGTGGGGTGCAGAGTTCGTCACTGTCTGCCATTGCACCCGGAAGCAGAGAGCAGTTGGGTAGACTTCGATGAACGGACGAATATTGACATCGCACGTCCCCGAGCGCCGAGCGCCGCTATGCTCCACGCCGCCTATCTGCAATTTCTGGTAAGGAGGTCTATCGGTATTGGTTTTGCTGTCATAGACACAGCATCCGCTATCATAGTACCTGATGGATCATATCGGAGATGAATGGGAGCCACCACGGAGTCTGATTTATGTAAAACCAGCTGTCCATAGAGTTGATTTTTCGTGACTGTCAGTCACATCAGTGAGATAGTGAGGACAGTCAGTTTACAGAAATCATGTCTTCGCAGTGCCACTGGGTAACCGACTGTATAAACGGGTATGGGTAAGCTATAGGCGCGTATAAGGCTCGAATGGGCGGCAGATCGTGAAGCGACAATGCTTTTCTATGAATATTTTGCGCTCGAACCTACGCAAGTGTGTGGGTGAAATTATGTCGTGTAGCCCATGCTCGTATGTCTTAGCCTATTGATTGATCGTAAGTAGTGTTGGAAGAGCTCAAGGACTAAGGACTTGTCATGGCGTCTCGTCAAGTGCGCCCCGGACGTTTCCGTATGCAGATCAAACTTTATTTCATCGATATCCTCCACTTTTTTGGGCATAGTCGCCCGCTCTTTGAGTTCGGACAAACGCGGGCCTTTTGCGTGCTATGTATATACTTCACGCCGGTTTGTCAAGTTTGAAGAAATAGGAGGCCGGAAGGTCTGTACACCGCCCCCAAGACCCCAAGCAGATGACAGCCGACGATGCCAGCGCATTGCACCAAGCCACCTCCTACTTTGAGCTCGCGAAATACGTGACGATCCCTGGAGTCGTCTCGATGGCAATCATCTACAGATGCATCATCCTATCGTGCGTGTTTTATTTCCAGCGAAAGCTGTAGCTTGAGAACATAAAAACACCCCTGCTGGAGTAGTAAATGTACATATGGTCTCAGCACACCACGAAACCTGATTGTCAGCATCGTGTGCCGCCCATTCCGCTTCATCGCAAACGGTAGTTAGTGATTGGACATTAGTCTGCGAGCATGATCCTGACCTTCTTAGTGCGTTTCGGCTGTCGTAGTTGTCTCGACTTGAACCTGCATAGCGTATGAATTCTGACGGTATCCTGCTTGTCCTCCTTGATTGATACTAAGTAATACATTGTCTCCAACGTATCCAACGAGTCTATCCGACTTGAAGTAGTTGCGCATGTTGAGCCTTTGCGTTAAAGACATGGTCATGAGAATGCAGTTTCCACGTCGGCATTTAGCACTCACAATGCGAAGAGAGAGTTCACATAAACTGCAAAAAATAACCCTCAGGCGTCATACTAGATCTTTAACATCAACTCACGTTTACTTCCCGGGTAGTGAAAGGCCAGCCAGATCAATTCAAACGGGCTTGCATGCAAAGTGCCAAGGAACTATGACTTTGTCAGCAACGCACAGATGTGATTCTAAAATTAGATCTCTTGCCGTAGCGAACTCGAGAAGCTGGACAAGACTTGATGCAGGTCAGACTCGAAACAGCACCAGTCTATACTGACGACTTACGCGACAACAATTCCGCGGTGTATTATATAGAGCACAAGCCACATTATCATGTGGTCTGTGCTGGGCATCCCATCAGCTAAGCTGCATGTGTTGCGAATGAAAGGCAAAATCAGGCATACCCATGGAATCCGGTTCTCTTCCTGTGCAGTATCAACGATAACGAGACTGCGATGTAAACATCTGCGACTCCAGCCATCAATATGTGTGTACAGCCAGGGACCTAGACAGTTGCGCGTTATGATTGATTGCACCATTGTGTTAGTAGACCGAACAAACTGCAGCGTTCTGGATAGCAACCGCGATGTTGGAGTTCTTCTCACTGCAGAGGTCTTGTGAGCACGCGGCAAACAAAGCTAGGTGATTGAACTAACTCACAGATTACGGACAGTTGCTGCCATTCATGGTCGGCCAAGTGTCAGCTGCTTCCAACGTGATATACACGTACACCCTGCATACCGATACAAAAGCCTATTGGATATGAGGATCAGATTTACAATAGATATTAATATAGCGGCAAACCAAAAGATACAAGGCACATGAGTCCCTAGTAAATCCTTTCGATTTGGTATCCATGCACAGCATTACCGTTCGAGACGTACCACCGTCATAGTCAAAAGCAATTGATATTGCCGGTGTTCAACCACTTGTCAGATGCAGTAAGTAAATACAAAAGCGGATATTTACACAGCTTACCTCTCCAGATGCAATAAATAAAATACCTGTTGACCGGATCTTATATATCTCAATTCCACAGGCAGTTGAAGAATCCACACACATTTGCACAGTTAATATAGTTACACCCTATTCATCGTCAGATCGTCAGTGTGCGGCTCCTATATTTACACATTGACTTACCTCAAGGAAAAAGTCGGCCTTCAGCGGAAATATCAGCAAAAAGTCGGTAAGCGTGAACTTGTTAATGGCATACCAGGAAGCTCCTAACAGATCTCGTGAGTGCACGAATCGGCGTCAGGATGGGATGACGCACCTTTCAACTGTGAGAAGGGCCAAAGGATTGGCGTGGTTTGTCACGTTCCAGATCCAGATACACTGAGCTGAGTTTCAATATTTTTACGTAGAAAGCTCCGGTTGAATATCACGAATCCTCACCCAAATTTCTGTGATTGTCCTAGCTGTGTCCAATGACCTAGAAGTGTTCTTGGGGAGAGGTCATATATGCAGAACACTCGAGTACATACCATAGTAATGCAACCTAAGAACAATTATGGTGCTCAGACAAAATGGTTCCTAGTAATGGACCCGAGCACTCACAAAGAGTTTCAACCATATGCGGTCCAGCGAATACCGCCGCATGTAATACAGCGTTTGGGCACAGGTAACGCCATACAGACTTTGGGACTTTTGAATCAATGTATACAGCATTTTATTATCTCACTCACAAGGTGCCGATAATGCTGCCAATGAGGCTACAACCGATGGTACTGTTCAATTGCGCGTTCAGACTCATTGGAGATGCAGTGGAGGCGTGATCACCAAGGGATCATAGATGGCACCTTATAGCATGATTCAATTACAAATCTTAGGAAACATTCGAGGCTGTGTCGGCAAGAGATCTGTCAAAAATGTCTGCGCCGCTAGCTTATCATACACACACTTTCTTAGCGTCGAAGTGGCATAACCTTGCCGGATGGAATCAGCGTTAAAAGCGAACACTTCAAAGGACTCTAGCTTGCCTTTCGTGCCTGGACACACCGGACATGAGAACCACAGGGGATGACAGATCAGCAGTCTACACGACCTGCTGTGAATTCTTTGCTCACAAGTCGACGATATGGTCTCTTATTTTCCGACCTGACATCGTTACTGGCGCACGATACATTAGCATAACTAGACCTTTATGATGCTTCTTGATCGGAATGTCTAAGAAATACTGTCTGACTGAGTGAGTCCTCGTGATCTTGGACAGGTCCTGCTAATTGTATAAGATAGATCTATAGGCGGGCTGAGAATCTGAGCCTGATAGTCGCACAGTTCTGGTTTCTTTGCGTCCTCGAGATTCTGCGGTATGCATAGACGATTGAGGGTCGGGACCGCAATATACGAGAAGGCCAGGCTGAAACGCTCAACAATAGATCGGCATGACTGCCTTGGATAGTTCCATTATCAGGGAAGCTGATGAACAAGGCCGAAATACGACAAACATGTCGAAGAATAAGATATATCCGGCATAGAACCACTCAAAGACCCTGTCGTTGTTGAAAATTACCTCATAACATTTCAAGCAGCGTCTTGGGCTCACCTCGGTGTTCGTAGCCGGTAAATAAAATCTTCACGATTGCTGTGGGGAGATCTCTTGACATGACGCCGTCAAACGTTGAGAGCTGTTATCGCCCGAGTGGTTCGCATCACCAAGTGGCACAGCCAATAGAGAAAGGCGATTGTTGGCCTTCGTGATTGCACATTCAACGCATCATGCCACACCTTTGATCATGCGTACGGGCTGGCTTCGGCTATGGCTATTTGAGCCGCTTGGATGTTGGTTTTGAGGCTGGATGCTTCTACAAGCGCCGAACAAGCGCCGACGGCCGTGATCACACTGTCAGAACGAACAGATGCGTTCATCTTCTGCGGTACACTCTCACTTTCACATACCCTCATTCTCACGTCCAAACACAAACCTATTTGCTAGATAGCCTGGACGTAGACTCCACCTCGGGATACTATAGGTCGCTTAGCTTCGCCGTGCTATTGAACTGCAGCTCTCAAGAACGATTCTTCTCAGCTCTAGTCACTAGTAGGCTTGTAGGTCATCAACCACAACTAGTGTCTAATTCCACGACACCTCGTACAGGTTACCTCCAAGTCTTGCTCGACATGGAATTGGCAGCGTCCTTGGGTGCCTACGCCTTCACCATCACAGCCAATGCTGTGTATCACACCTTCTCTTCGCTGATATCGCTGTCAATGCGGCTCTTGTGGCTATTCGCATGCAAGTTCATCACGCCACATAAAATCTGGCTGGCAGTGCAAGCTCTCCCAACAGTGGTTATCGGTGCTGTTCACTGTATCAACATAGCCGTCAGGATGAGTAAAGTTCTGTTTCTTCCCTTGGTGAGTTTCGCAGCGCCGAACGTAAGACCCTGCGCCTGAGAACAAAATCTAGTCTTTCTGTGTCTCGAGGCCCGCACGCGAACTGGGCGGCGTCATGCTCTGGGTAGTCCGAGTACTCTTGATGGACTCGCCGCTCATAATCCAGCTGCTTCTGTGCTATATCCTTGGCCGCCTCCTCGTCGAGATTGTGGCCTCGGTCAACAAGTTCAAGCTCGACAACCTCCCGGAAGAAGAATATAATCGAATAGCCGATCTCGGGCTTCAATGTCTTGCCGCCCTTGCTCTCCTTCATGGAACAATCTATGTACGACACCTCATGCTCGATTTCTTAGCTGGTTTGGAGTCGACAGTCCATCATTTCCTAAACCCGGACCCTCTCACCATGGAGTTAGCTGCCGAGTTCAATTCTTGGCTAGGGGACGCCGCTCTCCTTTCTGCGTAGGCATGTACCATGTACCAACCAATAATGTATTTATACGAGACTCGCTTTGTTGTAGTCGCAGTACCATGCGGCTTTCAAGTCGGTTCATTGGTCTCCTCAGAGTCCTCCCGCTAAGTTAGAATTGGTAACATCTGAACGACGAAGGAAGAGCGGCTCCAAGGTGTCTTCTCTGAGAATGATGTATCGCCGCTCTGGCTTTCTCTCGGCCACAGAGATGAGCATACATGATTTGACAGGCCAACTGAGGCTTCGTCTCGCACAATTGTAATGCAACCCTGAGATCAAAATCCGTCGACATCGGCATGTCGAAACCCGATGCCCTAAGGTACTACACCACGAATCTATCAATTTTTGACATGGACCCTACCCTACGCTCTTCCCTGGCCTTCCGGAGCCGAGTCCCGCGAGGATATACTCTAAATACAGCACTAGTTAAACCGCGGACAGCTTTCACATGTGGAGGAAACCCAAGGACTCCGGGACAAAGCACGAGAGGATGACGCTTAGAACGCACAGGTCTCTGCGTAATCTTCAGACCGAGGAGGACGAATCATCGCTATCCTCGGCTTGAGGAGCCGCCTGGAAGCCCGGCGTTGACATCGCGCCCGCCGAACGTACTTTTCCAACTCCACGGAGCATTTCCCCCAAAGCATGATTGAACCCAATCCGCCTGAAACTGAACTTCATTCCCACCATCTCTCCGCTTTCGTACATCGGTTTCACCTCCGTGCGATGCCTCTTATGACCGGACAGGCGAATCAGTTGTTCGCGAGTCTACATTCAGGGGACACACGTCCATCGATGTGTGCTGTACGACTTGAAGAGACAGCAACTCACCTGATCGGGAAGAGCTATGAAAGCTTCCCTTGACAATTCCTCCGAGTCGGTGTTGGCCGATGCGAAGGTGCCAAGATATTTCCACTCGAACCCGTTGTATGCGGCAAATTCCATCTTGTCTCTGAGCAGCTTCTTGTTCTGCACCTTGTTCCAGTTCCCCTTCTTCGTCCGGATACGGGTCGGCCGCACAAGGAATCCTGAAGAAGGGAACTCCCCCCAGACCACGTCGTCTCGTAACTTGACGATAGTCATCGCTCCGCTATCATGCGTAGCGAAGATGAAATCGGCGCACAGAGCGTACAACGAAATGTCTTCACTTACCACGACTAGTAGTGGCATCAGTGAGACAGAAGTACAGGCAGGACTCAACGCTCACTACTTTGGCAGCTTTCAAATATTCCTTGGGATTTCGCTCCAAACAGAAAGTGATCGGTGCGTCGTCGACGGGTCCATCTTGAGGGTTTGCAGATGGGAACAAACTACCAGTGGTCTGCACAGGTTGGAGGCCTGAGCCGAGCGCATTGACATTCTGAAGTTGCATGCGTATGCGTGCTATCTCAGCGGTCAGCTCTTCATTTGACGCCTTCCCAACAGCTCAGACGTCAACGCAGAACCCGATGCAGGCACGGGAAGAATAACATACTTCTGCGGCCTCGAGTCGGCGCCGAAGGCGGTCAAGCTCCCCGTTTTGAATGTTGAGAACGATCTGAAGAATGCCAGAGGGAACATCAGCAGTCATGGTAGTCATGGTTGACGCAGAGGAAAGGCTGCAGAGACGAGTCTCACCCACGGACTGCACTTCTGCACCTCGTGCTGATTCAATGAGGTACCGAAGAGCAATCCGCAGACATCTACACGTCAAACTCAATCATGAGAAGCACCCGGACACCGTGTTGGAAGGTCCATCCGTGGACTAGCT